CGGTTCGAAAGTACCTGGTGCCTTCAACCGTGGTTCTGGTGGTATTACTGCTTTTGTCTCTCCTTCCTGTCCTTACTCTGTCTATCAACTCCCATCCTATAATCCGCATACTTTGTCCCTTAAGGTTGGCTCCCTTACGGTCCATTGTGTATACTTACCTCCACCCTTATCATCTGATAAGGTGCTCTCGGCCCTTAGTTCATTACCTATGACTAGGGATACTATTCTATGTGGCGATTTCAATGCTCGGTTGGGTTCTCTCACTGGTGATGCTATCTCTAATGCTCGTGGTAATGCTCTCAAACCTTGGTTTGATGAACACTGCTTGTCTGTACTCAATGCGTCTTTGGCTTTTGGTGTTACGACGTACTCTTCTTTTCGGCAGCAACAAGAATTGAGTAGTATCATTGATTTGTTTTTGACAAATATTGGTGATGTTGCTTTGGTGAATCCTCAACTGGTGGTTGAGTCTGATCTGTCTCTTGGTTCTGACCATCGATTGATGTCACTTACTTTCGGGTATGTGCCACCTCTCGATGACACTGTGGCTCCTGGTGATTCTGTTCTGGCTCCTCGGCGTCAATGGAAGCTCTCGAAATTGACGAAAGAGAAGCCTTTGGGCTTACTCCGTGAATCCTTTCGATCTTCTGTTGCTCCTCTGGTTGGTACTCTTTCTGGTTTGGTGTCTGCTCCTCCTGGTGTTCGTCCCGACATTGATGCACTCAACGGTTCTTTGAACCAATGTTTGTATGAATCTCTGGATAGTTCTATTGGTGTGAAATCTGGTCGTCCTGGCCATTGGAAGAAGTACTGGACGCAAGAAATTCAGGATGCTGCTACTGTACGTGATCACTCTTATAGTCAATGGAGGCATGCCTTTGGTATTGTCAAAGTTGAAAAATGGTCCTTATACAAAATTGCGCATCGCAAGTTTCGCTCCCTGGTGCAAGCTGCAAAGCGAAGGTCCTGGAAACAGTTCTGTGGTATTCTAGAAAAGGATTTCTCAAAAGCTACTGCTGCTATCAAGCGCATCAAGCGTAACAAAGAGTCTTCTGCTACCTACAGTCATCCCGACGGTCCTGCTGCTTCTGTCACTGCTATGGGTTCTCATCTCGCTTCGGTGTATGATGGCTCTCTGCTTGCCACTGCTACTCGTCCTGCTGCTCCCCCCACTTTTGACTCTGTTCTGCCTTTTTGTGTGCCTGTGGATTTGTCACTGTTCGATGTTGATACTCTTGTATCTCACATTCAGCGGCTCCCAACACATAAAGCTCCTGGTCCAGATCATATTAAAGCTGAGATGCTCAAGTCCTTGGTCTCTGAGATTGCTCCGGTGTTGTCTCTGTTGTTCACTCTGTGTTACCAATGGTCGTATACTCCTGCTCTCTGGCGTCATGCCCAAGTCTTCCCCATCTTCAAGAAAGGTGATGCTTCTGATCCCGCCAACTATAGGCCTATTTCTCTGACTTCTGTTGTGCGCAAACTGTTTGAGTTCTCTCTCATGCCTGAGCTGGATGCCCATTCTCCTGCCCTTGACATTGCCCAAGGTGGTTTCCGCCCTCAACGTAGTCCTCTGGATCAAGCCCTCTGCTTGCATGACTTGATGCATGATTACTTTGTTGCGCACCGTCGTCGTCCTGTTGTCGCTTTCTTGGATATCAAGTCAGCATATGACACAGTCGATCGTCGTGTTATCTGGTCTGCTTTGGCTGGTTCTAGTCTTCCTCGTGCTGTTCTGGGTCTGTTGATCAACATGTTTGATGATGTGTCTGTCTCTGTCTTGATTGCTAATCACAACTCGACTGCCTTCTCTCCTGTCACTGGTGTTCTGCAAGGCTCAGTGCTCAGTCCTCACTTGTACTCGTTGTATATCAACTCTTTACCAAGTCTTTTGCGTTCTGGTGCTACTGGTGCTACTATGCTGCCTGTGCCTGGTGCTGATGCTCCTATTGCTATCAATAGTCTCCTGTTCGCTGATGATGTGGCTGTCTTTGGTTCAAAGTCTGAGGTTCAGCGTATGTTGGATCTTGCTGCTGGTCATTCTGTCTCTCTTGGATATAGGTGGAAGCCTTCCAAATGCGCTGTGCTTGGTACTGCTGCTGCTCTTGCTGGTTCTCCTCTTGTACTATACAATGAAGCCCTGCCTGTCGTTGACGAATTTACATACCTTGGTATGCCATTCCGATACAAAGGCCTGCATGCTCCTGGTATTCTGTCTCTGCGTTCTGCTGGTGCTGTCAAGACCATGGCTCTGTTAAACTCTGTTGGTGTCAACCGCAATGGTTTCTCTTTGCTGCTCTCCTCTCGCTTGTACAGGACATTTATTCGTCCTAAGCTTGAATACGGTCTGGCCATCTCGCATCTCTCTGCTCGTGATTTTACTGCTCTGGATACTCTGCAAAACCGACTTGTTGGCATGTTTGTGGGTAGTACTTGGGTCAATGTCGCCAAGCACATTACCTGTCTTCCCAGTATCAAACACCGCTACAATGTCCTGGCTACCCGTTTTGCTCTGTGTGCTGATACTCTGCCTGACGATTGTCTGCTGGTTCTGCTTCGTGCCCATTTGCACTATACAAGGTTGGATCGTTTTATATGTGAAAACCCTCTGTATCAGTCGCTGCCTGACCCTGTTCCTTCTTCTGCTGGCTTGCGTACTACCTTTGCTGCTTATTGGCAAGATCAGGTTAATCTCCAACTCTCTGCTGCTACTGTCACTGGTCGTCATACTTTGCTTCGTGCTTGTCGTCCTGATACCACAAGGCCTGATCCCATACTCTATCTGCCTCTTGGTCGTATTGCCCGTAGTCGTTTGGTCCGCTGGCGTCTTGGCCGCTTTACTAACATGCGTGAGGAGTGTCCCTGTATGTCACCTGCAGGTGTCTACATCTCTCGTGATCACTTTATGTACTGTCGTGCTCTTGATCCTGCCTTGATCGATGCCTTGCCGCCTGCTCCACCTGGTGTGCACCGTATTGACCATGCTCTTAATTGCTTGTCCACTAATGCCTCTGCCGGTCCTCCTGATTTCTGGCCTGCTCTACTGAACCTCCTGTATGCTATCGATTGCCTTGTGCATCCTCTGGCTGTCATTGCTCCGGATCCAGATCCAGCGTCTCTTTGGTACTCCAGTACTGGTTGATCTGACAGGGATGAACATGTTCCATTGTTGTTTTCTACGTGCGGCTCCTCGGTGGTAAGTCATTATCAAAGTTCCCATCCGTTGGTTGTCCCTCGAGATCCTCAATGTGAGCACCACTAGTCTCCATGTCCTATACTCTTGTCACTGCATTTTTTGTCCCTTTGAAAGTGCTCTGGAGGATTTTTTTTAGTTACTTGCTCTATATTTGTTCTTGAAGTTAGGCTATGCTCACATCGAGTGCCCACTAAATTTCATATAAATAAAAACCAATCTTAAACTGAGCTATACCCGCATCTCTTTCCGTTTTTCATCACTTTTTGCCACCCTCTCCGTAAAAAGTCTCCTTAGAATCACGAAAAACGCTATTTTCCCAACAATCAGCAACTCAATCAACTCCAAAACTATACCAGTATACTTGCCTTTAGTCTCTGTCTATTGTGTTATAGTTTCAGGTTTATTTAACATCTCCCTCATATTTTTTTGGATCGTCAACAATTTCTAAAAAAATAATCAGCAATATGCCCGAGTTTCAACACCCAACTGATATGAATCAGGTTACTGTTATCATGCAACAGTTACAACAACAACTTGCCTCTCTCTCTGAACGTGTTAATCAACATGATGGTATTTTGGCTCGTCTCGATGCTTTGGAAAAGGAAAACCAAGCCTTGAAAAAAATTTTACACGACAAGGATCTGGTCATTGAAAAATTGCGAGCCACGTCACAGGATTCTGTTACAAGCACCCCCATCAAAGGGGCATCTGGATCCACCACCTCTGCTACTGCCACCACTGATTCTGGTACTATTAGCTATTCTGCTATAGCTAAGAAGGCTGCACATCGCCCTGATCCAACTAAAGCTACTAAGAGAAAGTTGGCTGCTGGTCGTCTCTTCAAAACGTCTGCTGCTAAGGGTCCCCAAGGATATCAATATGTATATATTGGTAGATCTGGTAAGATCTTACGCTCTGAAATTCGACGCACTCTCAAGGCCATTGGGGTGGATACGTCTCGTATCCTCGACATCAACTTCCCTGCCTCCGAAGCTATTGGTATTCTCCTACATACCCAATATGTTGCTGAATTCTTGGCTCTGCTCCGTGCAAGTGAATCGGAAATATTGGAGGATTTTGACCCGTTGAATCCTGCTAATATTGCCGACCCAAAGTACGATGCCTACTCTGAACACGATCGAATGGATCTTATTGCTGAGATGGTCAATGCTCGCAGCGTAGATGCTTTGTCCCATATCCGCCCACTTAATGTGAGTAGTGTTGGCCGTTGGTTCCTGGATCTTGGATGGATAGGTCAAGCCGAACTGGACGAGGCTGTTGCTGGTGCTATGGACCGACTAAAGGAAAAAGACCCTAAAAAGGCTGCTTTCTTGTTCAAGCGTCGCCGTGATACTTCTACTGATTCTGAAATGGAGATCTAATGTCTCTTAACAATGAATCATGGTCTGGTAATTTGAATAATGTGTCTGTCCCCCCGGTTTTTGTCTCTCTCTCTCTTTGGAATGCGAATGGTCTTCGTCAAACAACAGTTCATGATGTTATTTCTCATATTGTTGATACTCATGTTCTGTTTGTCACTGAAACTTGGCTCACTTCTGGTTCCTATCCGATTGACTGGTCTCAATATCACTTGTATGGTTCAAAAGTACCTGGTGCTTTCAACCGTGGTTCTGGTGGTATCACTGCTTTTGTCTCTCCTTCTTGCCCCTTTACGGTCTTCCAACTCCCTTCATACAATCCGCACACTCTGTCTCTCAAGGTTGGCACCGTAACGGTTCATTGTGTTTACTTTCCTCCACCCTTATCCTCTGATAAGGTGCTCTCGGCCCTCAGCTCATTACCTATGACTAGGGATACTATTCTCTGCGGTGATTTCAATGCTCGGTTGGGTCCTCTCACTGGTGATGCTATCTCTAATGCTCGTGGTAATGCTCTCAAACCTTGGTTTGACGAACATTGCTTATCTGTGCTTAATGCGTCTTTGGCTTTTGGTGTTAAGACTTACTCTTCTTTTCGGCAGCAGCAAGAATTGAGTAGTATTATCGATCTGTTTCTGACAAATATTGGTGATGTTGCTTTGGTGAACCCTCAACTGGTGGTTGAGTCTGATCTGTCTCTTGGTTCTGACCATCGATTGATGTCACTTACTTTCGAGTATGTGCCACCTCTTGATGACACTGTGGCTCCTGGTGATTCTGTTCTGGCTCCTAGGCGGCAATGGAAGCTCTCGAAATTGACGAAAGAGAGGCCTTTGGGCCTACTCCGTGAATCCTTTCGATCTTCTGTTGCTCCTCTGGTTGTTACTCTCTCTGGTTTGGTGTCTGCTCCTCCTGGTACTCGTCCCGACATTGATGCACTCAACGGTTCTTTGAACCAATGTTTGTATGAATGTTTGGATAGCTCAATAGGTGTGAAGTCTGGCCGTCCTGGCCATTGGAAGAAATACTGGACGCAAGAAATCTAAGACGCGGCTACTGAACGGGATCGTCTCTACAGTCGATGGCGGTATGCCCTTGGGTATACTAAGATTGATTGTTGGGTCTTATACAAGCAAGCTCATCGCCGTTTTCGCTCTCTGGTACAGTCTGCTAAGCGCAAGTCCTGGCATAAGTTCTGTGGTGCTCTGGAAAGAGACTTCTCAAAAGCTACTGCTGCTATAAAACGCATCAAGCGCAATAAAGAGTCTTCACCTACGTACAGTCACCCAGATGGTCCTGCTGCTTCTGTTGCTACTATGGGCTCTCATTTGGCTACGGTCTACGAAGGTGCTCTGTTAAATACTGCTTCTCGTCCTGCTCCTGTCACTCCTATGGTCTCTGACTTGCCTTTCTGTCTCCCTGCGGACATGTCTTTGTTTGATACTGATACCTTGGTACTGTGTATTAAACGTCTGCCGACTCACAAAGCTCCTGGTCCTGACCATATCAAGGCTGAGATGTTAAAAGCTCTGACCTCAGAAATTGCCCCAGTGCTCTCTCTGCTGTTTCACCTCTGCTATCAATGGTCTTATACTCCTGCTCTCTGGCGCCAAGCCCAAGTCTTTCCCATTTTCAAGAAAGGTGATGCTTCTGATCCCGCCAACTATAGGCCTATTTCTCTGACTTCTGTTGTGCGCAAACTGTTTGAGTTCTCTCTCATGCCTGAGCTGGATGCCCATTCTCCTGCCCTTGACATTGCCCAAGGTGGTTTCCGCCCTCAACGTAGTCCTCTGGATCAAGCCCTCTGCTTGCATGACTTGATGCATGATTACTTTCTGACTCACCGTCGCTATCCTGTGGTGGCTTTCTTGGATATCAAGTCAGCTTATGATACTGTCGATCGTAGGGTTATATGGCAAGCCCTGTCTGGTTCTACACTTCCTCGTCCTGTTCTGGGTCTTTTGATGAACATGTTTGACGATGTCTCAGTCTCAGTCTTGATTGCTAATCATACCTCTGCTGCTTTCTCTCCTGTTACTGGTGTACTCAGTCCTCATTTGTATTCGTTGTATATCAACTCCTTACCGAATCTTTTGCGTTCTGTTGATACTGGTGCTACGATGGTCAGTCCTCCTGGTGCTAGTCGTCCTATTGCCATCAATAGCTTGCTCTTTGCCGATGATGTTGCTATCTTTGGGTCTTTGTCTGGTGTCCAGTCTATGTTGGATCTTGCTGCTGAACACTCTGTCTGTCTTGGTTATAGGTGGAAGCCATCTAAATGTGCTGTGCTCGGTTCTCCTGCTGACCTCTCTGATGCTCGTCTTACTCTCTACAATGAGCCGCTGCCGGTGGTAGATGAGTTTGTGTATCTTGGTATGCCATTTCGATATAAAGGGCTACATGCTCCTAGTATCTTGTCTCTGCGGTCCGCTGGTGCTGTCAAGGTTATGGCTTTGCTGAACTCTGTTGGTGTCAACCGTAATGGTTTCTCTCTGCTGCTCTGTTCTCGTCTGTACAAGGCTTTCGTTAGACCCAAGATTGAGTATGGCCTCGCTATATCTCATCTTGACTATCGTACCTTTGAGGCCCTTGACAAGCTCCAAAACCGGCTGGTTGGTATGTTCGTGGGTGGTTCCTGGTTCAACGTTGCTAAGCACATTACCTGTCTCCCTTCAATGAAACATCGGTATAATGTCTTGGCAACTAGGTATGCTCTTCGTTCTGCTACTCTACCTGAGGATAGTCTTGTGGTGGTTCTGCGTGGTGCTCTGTCGTACACTCGACTGGATCGGTACGTCTGTGAAAACAGTTTGTATAGATCTCTGCCTAACCCTGTCCCTTCATTTGCTGGTCTCAAGGCTCACTTCTCTGACTTCTGGCAAGATCAGGTGGACCAACAACTGGCTGCTGCTACTACTACTGGTAAACATGTTCTGCTTCGTGCGTGCCGTCCTTCTGTCTCTCGCCCTGATCCCATACTGTACTTACCTATTGGTCGATCTGCTCGTAGTCGTTTGGTTCGTTGGCGTCTTGGTCGTTTTGCAAACATGCGTGAGGAATGTCCCTGCATGGATGGATCTTTCATCTCTCGAAATCACTTCCCTCAATGTCGTGCTTTGGATCGTGATCTGTGGGATGCTCTGCCTGCTGCTCCTCCTGGTGTACATGTCATTGACAATGCCCTGAACATGCTGCCTATAAGTGGTTCTGCTGGTCCTCCAGTATACTGGTCTGCGTTACTATCCTTGCTTCATGCAATCGACTGTCTGGTCCCCCCTTTGGCTACTATCGCCCCTGATCCTGATCCCGGATCATTGTGGTTCTATCCTCCCTCTCATGGCTAACTGAGATGAACGTTTGGCCGATTGTTTTCTTTGTGCGGTGCCTCGGTGGTAAGTCAAATCAAAGTTCCCATCCGTTGGTTCATCCCTCAAGATCAATCGTGCCACTACAAGTAGTCTTCTGCTCTTTTACTGCCATCTCAAACTTTTTTCCTCATCTTTTCCGTTGTCTCTGTTGAGGTTTTCTTTCCTTAGTCTATATAGTTACTAGTTTTATGGCATATGCTCATACCGAGTGCCCAATTATAAAACATTGTATATAAATAAAAACAATCTTTAAACTGAGCTATACCCGCATGGATGTTTGAATGGCTCACTTGGTTAGAGCTTCATGCGGAAGCAGTGAGTATGCCGAGAGGTCGTGGGTTCGAATCCCACCTTCGCATCCATATTTTCCGCCTTTCTAACCTGGCATGTTACTCGGTATTTGCGCTTGCACGTTTAGGTGTGCTGCGGTGCGTCTGGCCGGTTTCTACCTTGAGTCCTGTTCGTCTCCCCGTCTTGCGGCGCGGCCATTGCCATTCTTCCTTCTGTTTCTCCTCTTTGGTGGGTTTTGATGCCAGTTTTCATTACTGGTCCCCTCCCTGTAGCAGCTCTCCTCAACCTTTAATTTAAACATGCTTTTTCCCGCCGAATCACTGTTAGTCTTGCAACATATGATCATACCGATTCCGCAGTTGACTACAATTGTAAATAAATAAAAAACCGTTATTAAAACTGAGCTATACCCGCAATTCCTATATTTCGTCGCCTTGTCAGATAAATGTAATAAATAAAGTTAACAAAGAAATAGAGCTTAACTAATGCTTAGTGTGTGGAATTTGAGGCTTTATAAGACTAAAGTTCACGGAAAAAAAGAATGAAAAACAATGAAGTCAACTTGATAAAGGTATATTTTATTATCAAACTGACAGGTGTAAAGTAAACTCAAGTCTCTCTACTGGCCAGGTAGATGATCCTTCTTATATACTATAACAATTGATAAAAGTTCTATTAATTGTATTAACAAATAAGTCAACTCAGATCAACTAATGTCTAATCATGCTATAAGACAACTCCAGCAAGCTAATCATGATTTAGCTCTGTCTGGATGAATAATTAGACTCTCATCCGAAGTACCCTGATCTATCCTTTCTATAAGGATAATTAATATCAATCTAGTAGCATGTATCCGATAGGTACAGTCTCCTTAGTCTATATCAATAGTACATATCTGAGTGTATATCGCTGATGAGCATACTTCTTTAGCATGTATCCGGATATATGGCATGTCTATAGCATATCGTATGCATGTCTATAGCATGTCTCATATATAGTACAAGTCTGTAGTACATAAAGTATCTGTAGCTAGTATCACGGATATAAGCATGTGTCTTATAGCGTGGATCATGAAGTGCACATCTGAAGCAACAAGCTCATATTGCATTAATCTTGGTGCCTATCCAGATATGGTAAACATCCGTAGTCAATGTCGGAATACAAGTATAAGTCTATAGTGCCATCCATGTCCGTGGTGCCATCTATAGCCTATATCTTATATAGTATGAATCTTATAGTACTAGCGTATCTGAAGTCCATATCTTCTTATAGTATAAATCGATATCGTACATCTAATCCAGCGTACATACAGTTTATATCTAAATCTGGTAACTGGATGAACTGTCGGAATGCAGATCATAGTGGATGTATTCCACAGTGTGCATCTCACCACGAAGGGCAGACAGCCTTTCCACGTCTTGGATTGATACTAGAGATTTCATAATGTACAATACAGAACATCTGGCTTATCAGACAGAACCGTAACTTACTCTTCTGGTAACGCAACCCACTACGCTGTCGTTTTAGGTCGAATTCTGTTCAAATCTAGCCATTTTCAAGTACGAGTAACTCATGCCACAAAGCGTTTTGAGCGTTTGGAATAGCACCACACGCCTCCTCTTGGCCACACTTTACTTCCTGATGTCTTATCTCAATTTTTTTGGGTCGTTGCAAATTCATGAAAATCATCATTTTTCCATGAGCATCAGCAAGGGAAAATTCTAGAAAATCAAATGATCGCGTTTTTCACCCCAAAAATGGAGCCTTTTTCTATGATACATATTAGATCAAATTGATCGTAAAGATGAAACGCAACATTGAAAACTCTTTTTATGAGATCTTCATACGCTAAATTTTAACATATTCACAGAAAATCTGTTTTCATATTTTTGGAAATTGCTCATTATTTTCGGTCTAAAAGCTAGATGTAATCAGCATCATTTGATGCGGCTTCTTTAGCCCTCTAGACATGTATTAGAAGGTTGGGTGTGATAACGACAGTTTTCATAGTCAAATTTAACAAAAGCGTTTAAAGGATGTGAGATCAAGTCAAGTTTGAACACGAAAATATCACTGCACAATTTCAAATTAAATTGCCGCGATTAAGGCTGATACGGCACAAGACTGAGACTAAATCTACTGGTCGTGACGTCGGATAGGGTACCCTCTCATTTTTCCATGCCCTCGTTTTTTTACCCTTTTTGCAAATCGCGTTTAGCATTAAATCATGGTGGTTTTGGAAACCGTTTGATTGGTAATAACACTCTAGCTTCTGATAACACTGTCTTGTACTGTTAGAAAGACTTGATACTGCTTCTTTGGAGTGAAATATATTAAGTATTATTCGATAATGAGCACTGGAAGGCGTAGAATTAACACTAACTGTATTTGTTTATTAGGTTTTGATAACTCTTTTGCCTACTTGGCGTGGGTGCTGCTGCCATTACTCTGCTATCTCTACTGCCTGCTTCTTTGGTTTATCATGTCTAGTGGCTGCTTCTTTAGTCTTTGCCTGCTGGTCTCTGGTGTCGCTCGTTCTTCGGTTTTCTATAGTGTTGCTGCTGGTGTTGCTGCTGGTGTTGCTGCTGCTAATTTGGTCTTTCCTGGTCTACTGTCTTTGGTGCTTGCTCGCTCTCTGGTGTCATTCGTTTTTTGGTCTTTCTATTATGGTGCTGGTATTACTGCTGATGTTGTTGTTGCTGGTCGCTCCTAATCTACTGTCTTTGTTGTATGCTCGTTCTGTGGTCTATATCCGGTGATTGTGTATCTTCTGGTCTATCTCTAGCTGTGGTAAGTGGTAAGTATTTTTTTTCTTCTGGTGACAATAATATGATACTTCTTTGAACGTTTGTGTTATTGCCTGCTTTATCGTGATAATGCATTCATCATGTTTGCCTTGTTGCGCTTACTTCTTTTTCTTTTTTTGGTAGTGTTTCCTCTGTAGCCTTACATGAAACAACATTAGTCATTACATTGCATTGCAAACTTATAATACCACTGTTGCTTCTGCAGTTGTGCGTATTTGTGCCATGTTGCTTTACATCCGACTATTACTACCATGCACGTTGCTCATGTATGCATTTATATTGCAACAGCAACAAGAAGCTTTTTTGAACATCTTTGATGTGGTGTTTGTTATGCGTTTCTTTGACTCGCTTTGTGTGAACGTCTCTTTTTTTTTTTTTTTTTTTTTTTGCCTACACATACTACTATAGAAGTATAGTAGTATGTTCTTTTCTTCTTTCTTTTATTATTATTATGTTTCTTTTGAAGCATACCTCTTTATTACGTTGTAGTGGATGTGCCTATCACTGAAGCTCAACAAGACATTATCCGAGGCTAGGAGTTGGATAGGCTGCCTCCACTTGGTTATCGCTACTTACTTTAGTGATGATTGAGGGTCTCAACGCCAGAATCTAAAGCTAGGTGGTGTAAGTAAGGCATGCTCTAGCATCTGGGGAAAGTTTAATGATAGCACAGGGCTAGATTTGGTATACCTAGCGGCGCTTAAAATTTTGCCTCACATCAAAACAGAGGGAAACCCTCGCAAATTTTTTTTAGGTCAGCGGAGTTTTCAAGCAATCTGATTGGCTCAGAGGTTGAAGTAGCAAAGGGTTACAACTAGTTGATTTCCTATTGATCTTTCATTTATAATAGTGTTGTGTTTGTAATAAAAGGGGTATCTAAATAGATACAATTTAAGTTCTTTATTCAAAAGTAAGACAAGATGCAATTATTCGATCTGACATCTATCGCACAGTTTTATGCGAGGAATATTCTTTAATAAATTCACTATGTGAGAAAAGTCATATAGCTAGAGCAGTACACTAGGTACCAAGTCCTCCCAATGCGATATGCCTTGCGAAGCATACGTCGTCGTGTATGATTGATTCCCAACATGTCTCAGTGTCATGGTTTGCTATCTTTTACCCCATACTATTACATTTTGGATGTATAAAAGTGTTTTCGAATAACTGTTTCCGATTTCAGGGTTTGTATTATCCAAAATCAGACTTTGAAGTATTAATACTCCTTGAGTTTTGAAAGTAGCATAATTCTGTAGCAATTTGTATCGAGAAAAACGCTGGTGTAGCTATACTTTAAATTGAATGGGTTTGATGCTAAGAAATAGATGACTATCGAAATAACCCAACTTTGAGTGATGAGCTTCATATAAGAATGTTAAGCACAAAGGATAAATGGATTATTATAATTTGTAGCTTATAAAAAATGTTCAATATTACAAAAACAAGAAAAGACTTATTTGAATAAGATCAAACACAAAAGCTAAAGATTTATTGATGAAGACAAGAGTTATTCTATTTATACTAAGTTCTGAATGCCAAAGTAGCAATTTATCTTGTACAACGCTTATCACATCTGGTGAACCTCAGCATTTAGATAGCTGAGATGCACTTCAATTATCATAGCTTGTCCATGTTGTTGCACAACACAGACATATCTACCCATCAAGAATACCTTAATCTTTATAGACAGTTGTAGCCCTTCTGGCTCTCGTTCACTTAGTAAAATCTAGCGGTATGGCTCTTTGAAAATCGGTCATTTTGAACGTCTTCCGTCATTACTCATTGACATCGCCCTCAATAAACCCACATCAAACATGCCCTATTCAACCAAAGTACCCTCTACAACTTTCATTACACATACATCCCACATTCATATAGTAATTTAAAAAGTTTTACTAGCAGCATCTATTCAAAATTAACTATTTTATATAATCTCCCTTTTCTCAACAACCATGCTACCTACGCAAATTTGGTTTGCACCATCGTTTAGAGGGCAAAAGCGGGGTTTCAAAACTAACAAAAACTTCGAAACTGGAGTTCGAAAATATCTTGTAGCCTTTCCTTTTTCGGATGCGATTGTGTATTTTAGGATTGTAAAATTGCAAACGAAGGAGGTGTTATTTACGTATGAAAAGTAGTAAAGCAAAACAGATTGGAAAATGATTGCTTGGTTGGATTCTTTTCTTGTACTAAGTTAATGGATTTTACGTAGCAGAATAAGCCTTTTTGAAAAAGGAGGGCTTTTATTAAGGACATGGATTGTTAAGTTGTAACTTATTATTCTCAGTAAGACTGCATAAAGCGAAAATTCTGTTTGTTCAGCTTATCATAATGGAAGGATCTCCTGTTAACATTTTCTCATAAAGCTGTAGCTTAGGTCTCAATAAGTTCGCAACTGATTAGTTATATAATTGTTTTTTTTTTATCAGAAATGCAAATTCTGAAAATGTCAGTTTTTCCTCTGTGCGTCTAAGACTTTACCAGCTGACAAGATTTAGATTCTCTTGTGGTGTAAGCAAGATGGAACCATGAATCATCGCAGACGCTACAGCCATTGCAGAATCTAAATTTATTTTGTAATCGTAGTAACAAAAATGTAATCAGCAATATACATAAGTATCATGCACTGATAGTCAGTGGCAAAGGATTGCGTTTTGATTAAGGGTGCAATAGTTTCTAGACACTACTTGTTACTGTGCTTTGTCATGGTTTCTGAAGAGATCCATAGTGATTAATCTGGCTGCGTTTTCAAAAGACGGTTTGCTACCAAAACAAGTACCGTTTCATTGCGAATTGATAAAGAGCCAACACGTATCTGTATAAATGAATACCGCTTGGTAAGGCTGTAACAGAATTTTAAAGTATCAATTCAGAGCATTGTTGCTATCACGGAAAATCGTCGACTAATCTTGATCTATCACTGTTTATTCTAAAAATACAATTTATGGTGGATATTTACTATTTTAACAATCGCAGTGTCACTCATTATTCAGCTCTTTGTTTCCCTTTGCCTTTTCTGCTCTTCATAGGTGCCGTCTTTACACGATCTTCCTCTTCCTTTCTTTTAGCTTCTAAAAGTGCACGTTCAATTTCAGCTTCCACAGCAGCAGCGTCCTGTGCGTCTTCGTCCTTGATTTCATCATCGTTATCTTCCACTTTTTCAAACTTCTCTCTCACTTTCGAGTAATGTGCAAGTTCTGTGGCGGAAACACTGGGAATAAGTTCTTCTAATGCCTTCACAAAATCGATTTCTTCTGCTTGTACGACAATTTCATCTGGTGTGACTAAATGAGACAGATAGTACTGTGCTGTCAATGGGCTTGGGAGGTCAGGCCTCTTGTCTTCATTCAATTTTTGAACCTTGGTCTCAATGGAATCTGCGACACGAGTCATGGCCTTCAACATTGCATCCGAGCAGAGCGCATAGAAATCAGCACCAGTGTAGTGGAAGGGACAGCGTTCTGCTACTCTACGAAGATCCAAATCAGGATGGAGACGGAATCTATAGTGTTTTCATGTGAGTATAAAATACAGGGGCGTATGAGCAACACAACATACTTTCTTGTCAAGGCTTCGATGATTCTTAATTGAGATTCGTGATCTTGACTCACACCAAGGTAAAGCAGCTTATCAAATCTATAGATAAGATGTGTCAGATCAGGAAGTTGCAAAAAAAAAGAAGCTTATCTTACCTTCCTGGACGCAATAAAGCAGGATCCAATAGATCAGGTCTGTTGGTAGCGCCAATAACAAACACATCTCCAGCACCGGCTTCTTCACCACCCTCACCCATGCCATCCAGTTCAGCCAGCAGCTGACTAACGATACGATCCATGACACCGCCAGAGTCTCCTTTCTCACCACGCTTGGGAGCAACCGAATCCAATTCATCAAAGAAGATGACACATGGTTTAGCATCACGGGCACGTTGAAATACACGACGCACATTAGCTTCTGATTCACCAATATACATGTTCAAGAGTTCAGGACCCTTGACAGAGAAAAAGTTGAGAGAGCAAGAGGTAGCAATTGCCTTGGCAAGCAATGTTTTGCCAGTACCAGGAGGGCCGTACAACAGGATACCACTACGTTTCTTGAGACCAGCGCCGAATAATTCTGGATGCTCTAATGGCAGCTGAATCGTATCAAGAATATCGTCCTTGACATGAGCCATGCCACCAACGTCGTCCCAGGTTACGGAGGGAATCTAATGTGCAAGTGTTAATGCGTGTGGTTTTGATTCACAATGTTCCTCCTATTACCTTTGGTGCACCGATAGAATCGGAATAGCTTGCTCTAGCTTCGCCTAGTGCAGAGTCGAAATCAGCAGCAGTTAGCACAATACCTGCAGCTTGGATATCTTGCGTGGTAATTGCACTAGCATCTGGAGCTGCTGCAGAGGAGCTTTCTTCTTCAGTGTCCTCTGCTTTACGATGACTATACAAATAGAGTTAGTACTATTGACTATGCAAATAGCACTATGTAAGCTTACATTGAGCGGTCAATACGTTGAAGCGACAACACACCAGCTCTAGCAACCAAATCAACCAGATCCTTTGCTACCAAAGCAGCTGTTTGAGTAGCCAAATTGGAGAGTGAGATATCAGGTGCTAATGGACTGTCATGAAGCAAGTTGGTCAATATTTGCATACGAGCCTTTTCGTCAGGAGCGTTGATTGAGATTTCATGTCTGAAGCAAGATAATACACTGGAGGGCAAGGCATCAATATCGCCTGTAGTGGCGATCACCATGACAGGGTAACCAGTGGTTGCGTGAGCGGCATTTACGTTTTGGATGCACTCTTGAAGAACAGTTGCCAGTAATGGTTCTGCAGATGTGAATGTTAGCTGAAAGCATATTACAGTGGCTTGTGTATAAATCACTCACCTTGACCAGACTCTACCACAGCACTTTTCTTTGCTAATCCTTCCATGTGTCTCAATAAAACCACACAAGGAGCAAGAGCAGCCGCCTTATCAAACTTTGCTTTCAAATGAACTTCTGTTTTAGCATCGGTGTCTGATACAATATCATACACTGAAAACTCAAACAAATGAACACCGAGATCTTCAACGACTTCCTTGACCAAGGTTGCTTTTCCTCCACCTCTTGGGCCATGAAACAAGGCATTGCAGGACAGCTCAAAATCACGGCCGAGGGGATGAAGTGATGACGAAACAAGCTCATGCAGTTGGTTGTATGCTGGTGATTTAGATCTGTTCAGTGGCAATTTTTTGGAAAAATCATAGTAGTGAGAGATGGGTCCCGCAGGCACACGAGAGTATTCAACGCCTGTTTGAATCATCTGTGTTTTGCTGGGCACAATACGACGTCCAGAACCAAAATAAGAGGGATGGACAGCTGAATCCGTATTTTCACCTTGATCGAGTCGAGTGACCTTGAAGTAGGCTAATGTAGTTGGTTTGATGTACACTTCTTGAGCATTTAAATCATCGTCTTGAGGCTTTAAACGAGCATTGTCTTCATTCAAGCAAATAGCAATCACATCTCCCTTACAAACGATACGCTCTTTGGCTTCAAACCATTGCTTTAAAGATTCCAAAAAGGCAGATTGAAGTGCTTTGTCCATAGAGGCAGGTGAGGCAATGCGAGCGATGCTGACAGCTTGGGCGATAGGTGGTCCATCAGCTGGAGGCGAGTTGACCTTTGTGATTGTTACTTTGACGTCGTCGATGGGAGCAGGAGGGAGAGGTAAATTGAGGTTAAAGTACAGCACTGGAGGAAGATAAATGTTGCTTCTACATACTAATCAGAACTTGATCACTCTTGAGCACAGTTTAACTTACTGAGCGCCTGCAAAATCATCTACGCCAAACACTCTACAAAGCCTTGACTTTTTGGGATCATTTCCACTGACGAGCACCCATTCACCGCTAAACACACCACACTGTGCTAGATCACTCACATCCACATAAACACGGCTTTCGTCGTCGTTGGCGCTGTTAGGAGAAGGACATAAGCGAGATTCAGGCCACTTTTTCTGCAAAATTTTGACGTTGAACTCTTTGGGCTCAGCAATGTTGGGTGTTGCGGACGAATTGAGCATGTGGAAGACTGAGGAAACTGAAGTGATGGTCGAAGATGCTTCCGATGAAGTTGCAATTGCGGTATCAGACATGTCAACGGTCAAAACTCTGGTGCGATCACTGGCGAATATATAACCTTGTTGCACAGGATTTGTCATTAAGACTTCATATGATAATCCATTGTCGAAGTGATATTGTCCTGAGCTACGAATGATTGACTTGGGCTCCTTGACAAATAATTGGATCAAAGCTTCTTGGTCTATAATACACATACGTTAATAGAGCCATTCCTTTGCAATGTCATTTTTCCCATCTAACTACCTTTCTGTGCAAACTCATATGAATGCTGATTCAAAGCGCCGACAATCAGTTCATCCAGCTCAATCAGCTCTACAGGTTTTATCTCAACGAGACAGGTAGAAGAATTTTCGTCCTTTTCATCGCGGCTATCCTCGTTTTCACCATCTTCCTCATCGCCTTCCTCATCCAAACGATATAACGCATCTTGCCCATAGACAGCCTTAATCAATTGACTACTAGCATACACTACATTCTTTCCTTCCTATTGACGTCCTGTCAAGAGCTTGCGCTTTAAATATGCTTATTCATACTATTTACCCCTTGTTGAGTAGGCTTGCAGTGTGCTATAAAGGAGGAAAAAGAGGACTTTGCACTCTCAGAGACAGGTGAATGCGCTGCCAAACTGGGCACAGATACAGATACAGTGATGAAATCTACTACAATGCACTAAGAAAAAAAAACACGGGGTTCAGGCATATCATGGATCGATTACCTTGAGTATGGTTGACAGGCACTAAACTCTTCCAGAGGTCATTAGAGACTTTGACAAGCTGGTCCTCGTTTCCAGAGTATAATTTGAGACTGGCAGTTGAATACACAGGCATGCTCAAGTGTATTTGCTTTTGAAAAGAGATGTGTAGAAAGGAAAGAGGATGGTAATAATATTCTGGATGCTTTAAAGAACCGAATATGCTTATATATGGCCTCCCACGCTTTAAGATTTTAGTGTAACAAGTTCATGTTTCCAATCATGTTTATTTCTACAGTGTAATGTGAAATATACCCTTTGCATTTTTCGGCCTGTGATCTTGTATGCTAATTCTTGAAGTACAGTGCCATTTCAATACCTCTTTTTGAATTCAAGCATAAGGTCCTTGGGACCATGACATCAATGCCTTCAGCAAACATGCCGCCCTGATGCATGGAATCCTTTGGTAAGCTCCATTGAAATTTCTTGGCCATCATGGATAATAGAACTCGCTGCTCAGTTAGCCTCATGTTGATACCTATACACTGTCTACTCGAAAGCGATTGATCAGCATGTTAACAAGTTAACATTTGTGGGCCTTTTTATCTCTGGTCGCTTCCAAAGGGGATCCAACCCCATTGCGTTTTGTGTTGTTTTCATTCTCTTGACTAAAGCGCTCTGGATCGAAGGTGTAGGGATTCTCTCAAATGCCTGCATCATGCTGAAGACTAACAATGTCTACAGTGACAATTGTGCCCTTGGAAATAAAGTAGGCGCCAAGTTGAGTGTCTTCTGTAGCAATACGAGGTTGACTTGAACCGCAGGACCCCATAATTCGCAATGTCTACATATGTATAAAATTCGTTGGATGTTTAGTGTGCTTGTGATTCGACAGTGGGCTGCTTACCTCTCTAATGACCATGTTGACGTACGGCATTTCTTTTGTTTGTTCCACAGTTGGGCAAACATTAGCGCCATCACCAAGCCATGCAATTGCTTCCTCGCGCAGTTTTTACATGTCCTAAGTACACTAATAGGACCAATGTCTCTCATTTGAGATAACAAGCCGCAGCCAGCCTACCTGATGTACCGCCAAAAAGTACAGCGCCGAGCACAGAGCGTTTGCCGTAGTGTCATCATCAGCGAGGATGAACGCGAGCAAATCATTCTAAGTGTGGCATATCGAGTACTATGCTAAACCGATAATGATGCTGCCTCACCATCATTTCTTTGTTCGTAAGTTTTCCGCCTGAAGAAGACTCAGCTTCAATCATCAAGATGCAAAGATCTTTTTTGTTGTCTTCAGTTGTGTTTACGTAACCGTTGCTTGCAATGGCAGTACGCTTATCCTCAATGATGTCCCGGTAGATCTCAGCCATACGAGACCCTGCCAACTGAAGAATTGGTTTAGCTCAGTCTACAATCATTGTTTATTGTATGCTTGATTACAACAGGAGAGATGGAAATGAGAGCTCTTTATATGCAAGAGTTTCATGATGTAGTGGCAATTTCCTCATTGGATGCTCAACTTTCAACCAAATACTCTTGCAGTCCGATGTAGAAACTAATACCGAGAGTTGGTCGAATCAAACCTCTCTTCATGTAAATCATTGTCTCTGCAAAAGGCTTTGATGGGTTTGCAGGTGAGCTAGTACCTTTACAAATAAAACAGTTTGTCACATCAACTGTAAAATATATAAGTGCTTCAAGTGACATGCATTTAATAGGTGATAAAATCGGCTAGTTTCATTAATGATGATTCTGGAGAGAATTTTAGCCTGCCATAAGCTTAAGAAGAAAGTTCGACACAACCCCACATATTTCTAAATAGTGTTGTCTGCTATTTCGGCCCGTTTTTTTTTAATATACAGGGTAAGTTATTTCATCATTCAGTGACGAAATACATTGACAGCTATAATAGCAATCTTCATATCCCTGAAATAAGAGATTAAGCTTCACTATACACACATTTTAGGTAAGCCCACTGGCTGGTATTACCATGTAGGAAAATTGCAATAAAGCTGCTTGGGTAAGCTTTAGTACCTTTCAATTCGGATCCGCTCTTCTTATTATCAGCGTTGTAAACATCAATTTCTGTCATCATGGATCACCAGCCGCTACACAAATGAATTGAATCTCAGGTTGATGTCTGTTTTAGATTGGCCAAATTTTTTCTCTTTTCGACTTCTTTAATCTATTTTCAGATTCGATTATATAAAGTGGGATAAACATCCCATACTTGCTTGAGCATTCTTGGGGTGCTTTTTGAGGCGCATCCAGCCGTGTTATTTATAAAACATGTTTTGAATAAACTTATTGAGCAATTCTTGAAAATACGAAATGAGATTTTTGGTCAAAATGTCGAAATTCTGCATATGAAAATCTCATGAGAGTAACTTTAGGGGCTGCCTTGAGTCGAGAGAAGCATTTTGATCTAATACATGCCTTAGTAAAGTCTTCATTTTTGGGATCAAAAACGCAATCATCTGATTTTTGATGTTTTTCATGAGGTACCCCTCATGCTTTTTGGTCGAAATTTTGGCGATCGCAAAAAAGTTGGGTGAACGTGTCAATAAGTAAGTACTACATGAAAGAAATTGTTTGATGCTATTCTGGCAGTCTAAAACGGCTTGTAACACGAGAAAACAGGGCTCTAATACGTTCAAATCATGCTCCGTTGTGCCTGTTTTTGACTAGTAAAAGGCAATACAAGAATACTAACGGCTTAAATATGATTTGCTTCCGCTGTTACAGACGTGCAATATCGTAGAAGAATTAGGTCCGCAGTTGCAGAACGTTTATAGACCTTCTAGTCTTACTAACGAGATACTGAAAAGCGAAATTTATTTACATTAGTAGGATACCATGATTTGCAAGACAATTTGGGTCTATTAGATAGTCTTGAGTGATAAAATTATACTGTACGAAGCTGGACCTATAGCTTCTAAATTTGTTTAAAGACTTTGGACTGAGAGGTTCAACTATAAGTTTCACGCGATCATACTAGCTGGAGATTTGACGCCATTGACGAGGCAATGCAAATCTGACAATTAGCAGCTATGACTAGACTAATTTGAAGAGGAGGCTATTTCTTACAGCAATCAATGGCTAGCATTCACACTAATGTACCAAGAAACATATGTGACAATGTTTATAAAGACTCCATCTAGTATCTTGTTCATTATGTAGCTGGGACAAGCAGAGTAGCTTTCTTGTATTCAACATTCATTTGAACCTGGCATATATGAACCTTACATGAACATGAAACAGCATCTCCTTCTCCTATGCCATCCCAGCTCTGAACTATTGCCAACATATCACTGCTTAGTAATAGTATGTATTCCTATGCACTTTCTGCAAATCTATGCTTGTATATATATATATATATATATATATATATATATTGGCCGATCAATCTCGCTACACTCGATGACGGCGTCGCCCTGCGGGCTCTTGCCGAAGGCATTTCAAATTAGAGACAATAAAAGCCTGCTATTTATTAAGTAGATTTTAGACAATCTCTCAGTAATAAAAAAAGAAAAGATAATATCAGAGTCAGGAAGGGGGAGGCATTTCTCCCTGTATCCTCCTCCCTTTGCTTATACACTGGTATCAACGGAAGCTATTATTGAAACGATGTGAAAGAGAGTTCAAGCTTTATGCAGCATTTGCATAGTACTACATTCTTCGTTTGTGCCACATTTTTTGGTAGTAAAATTGTCATACCATTCGCTGGTGTTGCTCTTGAGCTGGCGACATAAAGCTGGCTACGTGTAAATACAGAACTTGTGTAAGATCTACAGCGACTTTTTTCAAATATTGTCATTGCAAAAGGCGCGTTTATAATGAAAACCCCCCAAGAAAGTATTTGGGTTAAGTAATTGCCCTTTCAGTTCCATGATACCCATTTAATCAGCATCGCAATCATCATTGTCATTATCAGAAAGGCATTTGGGCCAGCCAGCAGCAGTGCCGCTTGCTAAAATTGATTAAAACTCAGTTTATTTTTTCTGTTCAAGATTGGACAGATTTTGTGTTTTCTCGACTTCTTTATTTTATTTTGTGATATTCGACTATGTAAATTGTGATGATTACCCTACGCTTCCTAATACATTCTTGAAGTACTTTCCAAGACGCTTTCAATGGTGTTAATTGTAATAGGTGTTTTGACTAAACTTATAGAGCAATTTAATAAAATATGAAATGAGACTTTTAGCGAAAATAGCCGTATTTTGCATATGAAAGCTTCATAAAAGTGGTTTCAGAGGTTGCTTTGGATCGAGAGAAACATTTTGATTTAATATATGCCATAGTAAAAGTCTTTATTTTCAAGGTGAAAAACGCGATCATTTGATTTTCGATGAAAACCATGAGGGGTACCTCATGCTTTTTGGTCGATTTTTGGCCATGTTTTTTTTGACCCAAAAAGTTGAGCAAAGGTGTCACCAACAAGTAACTGACAGATGAGAGCAATTGTTTGGTGCTATTCTGACCATCTAAAACGGTCTTAAACGCAAGAAAACACATTTCAAATGTACTCAGGTTTTGCTGTATCAGGGACGCTAAGGACTGAAAAGAGGAAATACCAGTATGCTGCTTGCCCATATATGAAGTGACTATATGAATCTGGATGTAGAGTATCACATAAGAATCAGATCCACAAACAATATGAAGGGATTTCATGAGGGTAAACATAAAAGTAGCTGTGTTTTGATAAGATACCCAAAGTAAATCAGTAGCGCGAACTGCGGCTGCGCAGGTTGTTTTTCACCGAAGGTACAGAGCCATCCGAAGCATAAACTCTCATATGATTAGTGATTTCATATCAATTAACAATCAAGGCTCTTCTAACATTATAGCTTTGTTAATTTTGCGATATTAGCCAAAGGCCCGCGGCAGCGCGAGCCGTTTGAGCGTAGGTCAGGAAACTACCCGAAGTGTCGAAAGGCTCATAATGATAAAGATAATTTGTGTAAGAAAATAGGATTCGAGAATACTGGTGGTATCAGTGATCCATTTTAGTAATAAAATAGCCACTCTATTGCATATTATTAATTGATCTTATCGGATTTATCTAAAAATCTGTGATTGTTCATTGTTAGAATACATATCCACAGTCAAAGCGTGTATACAACAGTTTAAGATAGAAAGGTGTTTGAAGAGCCTGATAAACCAGTACGAGCATTTGTCGTAATAATGCTAGAGCTTGGAGAGGCTAAGGATAAATCAGGGAATAATGATGAGGTAGCCTATCTCATAAATGTCACTTGCTTAATTTATCATGATCGCTTAATTGACTAAATCAAAGAACGCCTTCAAGTAAATCAAATCGCAACCACACATAACAACTTCTGTAGATATCAAAAATTTACTCTGTTGAAAATAAAATTTATTATGGAGGTTCCACTCAAAGACATTTACAAAGACTCTGTAAACGTGCTTAATAAAGGTTTACAAATGTAACGGACTTTATCTGGTTTAATACCTCGGTTGGTCCCATCTCGAGTCATTTGCAGTGCGAATTAGTGGTAACGTAGCATTCCTTCATCCCAGCTTTCCGATCTGTTTAATTCATCGTTTTCGCAAAAATCCCATGTACTGTCCAGTGAGTTTGCACGCAACAGTGAGTAGCAACGCAATCAAAGAGGTCTCTAAGAAGAAAGAGAGAGAGAGAGAGAGAGAGAGAGAGAGAGGTTAATGCCAGCATAAATAGATAGTATGGATATAAATGTGTTACTGGACCTGATATTGCAGTGTAAAAGGCTTTCTTACAAAGCACTAAGCAGACCAACTTAGTCCTCAAAGAAGGCATAGGGCTACCCATGTTCGCACAAAGCTCATCATACTTTGTGTTATCTGCTTGTGCATTGTACTTGATTCAAGAGATACCTAACATTGTTGCGTGAATGCCTTCCACAAAACGTGTCATAGCGCTGTAGCCAGGCTACTTGTAAGCCAGTTCAAACGTATGATGACCGAAAGCAGCTCACAAGTGCATTCACGCAACAGTGAGTAGCAACGCAATCAAAGAGGTCTCTAAGAAGAAAGAAAGAGAGAGAGAGAGAGAGAGAGAGAGAGAGGTTAATGCCAGCATAAATAGATAGTATGGATATAAATGTGTTACTGGACCTGATATTGCAGTGTAAAAGGCTTTCTTACAAAGCACTAAGCAGACCAACTTAGTCCTCAAAGAAGGCATAGGGCTACCCATGTTCGCACAAAGCTCATCATACTTTGTGTTATCTGCTTGTGCATTGTACTTGATTCAAGAGATACCTAACATTGTTGCGTGAATGCCTTCCACAAAACGTGTCATAGCGCTGTAGCCAGGCTACTTGTAAGCCAGTTCAAACGTATGATGACCGAAAGCAGCTCACAAGTGCATTCACGCAACAGTGAGTAGCAACGCAATCAAAGAGGTCTCTAAGAAGAAAGAAAGAGAGAGAGAGAGAGAGAGAGAGAGAGGTTAATGCCAGCATAAATAGATAGTATGGATATAAATGTGTTACTGGACCTGATATTGCAGTGTAAAAGGCTTTCTTACAAAGCACTAAGCAGACCAACTTAGTCCTCAAAGAAGGCATAGGGCTACCCATGTTCGCACAAAGCTCATCATACTTTGTGTTATCTGCTTGTGCATTGTACTTGATTCAAGAGATACCTAACATTGTTGCGTGAATGCCTTCCACAAAACGTGTCATAGCGCTGTAGCCAGGCTACTTGTAAGCCAGTTCAAACGTATGATGACCGAAAGCAGCTCACAAGTGCATTCACGCAACAGTGAGTAGCAACGCAATCAAAGAGGTCTCTAAGAAGAAAGAGAGAGAGAGAGAGAGAGAGAGAGAGAGAGGTTAATGCCAGCATAAATAGATAGTATGGATATAAATGTGTTACTGGACCTGATATTGCAGTGTAAAAGGCTTTCTTACAAAGCACTAAGCAGACCAACTTAGTCCTCAAAGAAGGCATAGGGCTACCCATGTTCGCACAAAGCTCATCATACTTTGTGTTATCTGCTTGTGCATTGTACTTGATTCAAGAGATACCTAACATTGTTGCGTGAATGCCTTCCACAAAACGTGTCATAGCGCTGTAGCCAGGCTACTTGTAAGCCAGTTCAAACGTATGATGACCGAAAGCAGCTCACAAGTGCATTCACACAACAATGAGTAACAGAAGAACCAAACTACTGCTCAAAGAAAAAATGAATTATTTTGAGGATATTGTGACCTGATTTTATTTTTGCTTTTGTCATTTTTGAGGCTATAGAGAGGATCGTGTAATAGGGAGTAATGCAATCTTTTCATCCCCTCAAATAACTCAATGTCTAAACGATCCAGGCGTATTTTCGAAGAGCTGTCTTCGGTTACGAAGGATAAATTACTTTTGCAAGCTGCTGTTGACCGCCAAACTATCAGACGTCTACGAAACGAAGTAAATTCAATTACGTTGAAAATTAGATAATTGATTCTAAACAAATTAACATTTTGCTGTTAGGCAGAAGGAATTGAAGTAATGACTAGTATTATTAATTGTTCTATGTAAACATGACATCTAATCTTGTGTTTCTTAAGCAATCTACAACTAGAAAGAAGAAAAAAACCATTTCAAAGAAGGAGACGTATTTTCAAAAGTAAGTACATTGTTAATATCATTAAATCTTCTGACTTTTTAAATACAACAGCTTAGCAAAGAATCAAGTGACAGATATTTCAATTTCAACACCTGGTTCTCACATTGATGGCCTCGCCAAAGTCCAGGTCAAAAGATTACACAAAAAGAAGAATGCTCCTGCTTATGAGAATAATAACATAAAAACACTTTCAATCAAATTCAAAAGGGTAAACAAGGAAAGCTTGCAGTATATTAGCGTGCTGATGATTGCAACTTTCTTTTTCATAGATCGTTAATTCAGGAAATCTGAAAGTCGTATTGAATTCTTGTGAAAACTACAAGCCCAGCACATCTGTTGAACATGTTGTTAACAGAATCTACTTGTTTGTGTAAGTCTAATTAGCAAACTATTGATTTGTATATGACTACTAATGCCTCTTAATTTTTGTAGACTTCGAACACACGTTGAAAGGCCCTGGATGTTTTCAAATGAAAACTTGAAGCGATACTCCGAATTTGATTTGCAAGTTAAATTTTGGGGTTACATCTTTGAATCATATCTTGGCCAATGTAGACACATTATCTTACATTGGTGAGTTGCAAAATCAAATGCGTTAACCTCTATTCTTTAGCTTACCTTATCTTTTGTTTCACCTTTTAGGGGAGATACAATGAGCAATACTTGTAAAAATATGGGTCTGCGGTTCAAATTGGACCTTCGGGTTCTGATCTTGAGGGAAGATGAAATGGTTGTAGATGGCGCGACAGGAGAAATAGCTAGAAAGGCAACAAAGGCAAAACTTTACGCTGACAGACTTAAATCGGTACTCACTACAAAGTGCCATTTAAACACATTTCTCGAATCATTAAAATATATATCAGAAGAAGATATTATCAATGTGCATATGCCTATTGTTCAAGTCATGGGGCTAGAAGCGAAGGTGTCTTCTTTGCGTTTAATTGAAAAGAAAAAATACGCCATGGAGGATCTACATTCGTTCAAATTTCCCCGAACATCAGAACAGTTGAAATCAGGAGAGCTCGAATCTTTGATCAATGGTCTTACTCTGATTGAGGTAAATGCAAGTACGAGGGCTTATACTGTCAAATGAAATATTTAATCCGTTGTTTATTTATTTTTTAAGGAAATGGTGAACAGCTTGGAGACAAAGTTTAACGATGGACAGACTGAAAACGAATCAAGCATGGACAGAATCTTAAAGGAAACAAAGAAAAAGAAAGAAACGATAATGAAGGAATGGTTGAGCGATGTAACTTGGGATTCAAATGATGAAGAGAGCGATGACGAAGAATCTGAAGAAGACAGTGATGAAGAGAGCGATAACGAAGAATTTGAAGAAGATAGTGATGAAGGGGACGAGAGCGATAGTGATAGCCAAGGAGTTAATGACGAGATTACCAATAATGATAGTGATGAAGAGGTTGTCAAAGAATCTTCACCCGAACAATAATCATATAACAAAACAATCAACAGTCATTCTTTTATAAAGCAAATGAAGTAACCACTATTCTACTCTGTTTTAAATTGAATTTATTTGTATTAATAAAAAGAATTAAAGGCTTGTATGAATTAATACGTGTAAACTATACATGTATCAAGAACTCTCTGGATTCTTTCACTTGTTTATTATATTACTTGTGTTGCGATTATACAGAGTATTAAATACAAATAGTGTCGTCTGCTATTTCGGCCCGTTTTTTTTAATATACAGGGTAAGTTATTTCATCATTCAGTGACGAAATACATTGACAGCTATAATAGCAATCTTCATATCCCTGAAATAAGAGATTAAGCTTCACTATACACACATTTTAGGTAAGCCCACTGGCTGGTATTACCATGTAGGAAAATTGCAATAAAGCTGCTTGGGTAAGCTTTAGTACCTTTCAATTCGGATCCGCTCTTCTTATTATCAGCGTTGTAAACATCAATTTCTGTCATCATGGATCACCAGCCGCTACACAAATGAATTGAATCTCAGGTTGATGTCTGTTTTAGATTGGCCAAATTTTTTCTCTTTTCGACTTCTTTAATCTATTTTCAGATTCGATTATATAAAGTGGGATAAACATCCCATACTTGCTTGAGCATTCTTGGGGTGCTTTTTGAGGCGCATCCAGCCGTGTTATTTATAAAACATGTTTTGAATAAACTTATTGAGCAATTCTTGAAAATACGAAATGAGATTTTTGGTCAAAATGTCGAAATTCTGCATATGAAAATCTCATGAGAGTAACTTTAGGGGCTGCCTTGAGTCGAGAGAAGCATTTTGATCTAATACATGCCTTAGTAAAGTCTTCATTTTTGGGATCAAAAACGCAATCATCTGATTTTTGATGTTTTTCATGAGGTACCCCTCATGCTTTTTGGTCGATTTTTGGCCATGTTTTTTTTTGACCCAAAAAGTTGAGCAAAGGTGTCAGGGAGTTACTACTACTCAAGTACAGTTGTTTGGCATCATTCCGGTGACTCAGAAAGATCTGCGTGTCAGGAGATGAAGGCTTGAAAGCTGTCAAATTTGGCTGTATTTTTGCTTTATGACTTTTATTTACACGACATGAATCACATCTTTAATAGCTGAAGTCTTCTGGAAGGGCAATTCGGCAGCCTGTACAACTTCTAATTTGAATAGAAGGCATATTGATTTTGGTAAAGCTAATTCATGCAAATTTTGATGTATTTTGTTGCTGATAAGCTTGATAATAATGAAAATAAGAAACCGAATTTGCTGCTTGAATACTATGGCTTTGCACCTTCGCTTCGCTGCGATCAAGCCCTCAAATAGATCAATGCTACCAAGTGTTGGATTAAATGCTTAGTTGTCATAGATTTTGCACCTTTGCTTCGCTACGGTAAATTCCCCCCTCCCCAAACCCCCTCCCCATTGTCGGCTTCTCCGGTGGTTTTGTTTACCTTTGTCCAGCTCTCAATTCTTTAGGATTATATTTGAAAGAATGTGGTTGTTTTGTCTATTTTTTAAAAACATAGTTTTCCAGTATATAGTGAAGATGTCTAGTGGAATGCTCAAGAGCTCAACGTGCTACATCTGAAAGTATCCAGCCCTCCCCTCTGAATTTTAGTCGGCCTAACGTTTAAACCACTCAGATAAGAGGGGGGGGGGTATAAAATGCAGCCCCACACTAGTTTTTATAGCGGCAACTCAACATTTGTAAATATACCATCCATGATCTAATCAAGGTACATTTCATTGGTCGTGTAAAGAACTTTCAGTTAAAAAGTAGGGGATTGAGAGGGGTGGAAGTTCATTTTAGCATCATCGTTATCTCTCTTCCTTCATCCTATTCACCCAACCATCAAGAACTTGTCACATGATACTCGCCGCCAAGTGCATCAAGTGGGTATTTCTATTGATTTCTTCCACTGTCTTTTTCCATTACTCTTTTCCTTCTTTATTCCGAACTATTAAAGAAATGACTCCTCACAAACTTTGTATGATTCCTGGTAAGTGCTGATTACAGCAAGTGGTCTGGCAAGCAAAATGAGACTAATATGATCAAAAGGTCCCATCGAGTTCCACGAAGATGTCCTCGCTGCCATGAGTACCCCTGCTACCTCTCATGTTGATCCCAACTTTGTTCCCATCTTTGGCGAATCCATTGAAATGGTCCGTAAAGTTGTCTTGTCCGAGAAGGCTCAACCTTTCATCGTTTCTGGTTCTTGTACCTTGGGTTGGGATATGATGGTCAACTTGCTGGAACAAGGTGATGAGGTGTTGGCCTTGAACACTGGTTACTTTGGTGATCACTTTTCTGAATGGTAAGTTTGAATGTGTGAAGATGTGTGTGTGTGAGGGGGGGGGGAAGCGTGTGAGTTGCGTGAACTTTATTATTAATAATCATGATTTTTACAGTTTGGAAGTCTATGGCGCTAAGATCACCACACTCCGTGCTGACGTTGGTTCTCGTCCCTCCAATGATGCCTTGAAGCAAGCTTTGTCTGAAAAGAAGTACAAGATGGTTACTGTCACTCATGTTGATACCTCGTAAGTGTGCATGTGATAGCAGCATTGATGGCAAAACACTCATGTCTTTTGTAGCACTGGTGTCTTGTCTGACATCAAGGCCATTGCTCAAACTGTCAAGTCCATCTCCCCTGAGACTTTGGTTATTGTTGATGGTGTTTGCTCCGTTGGCTCCGAAGAGATCCGCTTCGATGAATGGCAGTTGGATATTGTCATCTCCGGCTCTCAAAAGGGTTTGGGTGTCCCTCCTGGTCTCTCTGTCGTTGTTGCTTCCCCTCAAGCCATCGAGGTCTACAAGTCCAGAACCACTCCTATCATCTCCTACTATTCCAACTGGAACAAGTGGTTGCCTAGTAAGTATTTATAACGTGATTGATGTGGGGAGACATTGACATCTAACGGATATGTGTCATAGTTATGGAAGCTTATGAGTCTCGCAAGCCCGCATACTTTGCTACTCCTGCTGTTCAATTGATCTATGCTCTTCACGCTTCTCTCAAAGCCATCACCAGCCAACCTATGGAAGTTCGTTTCGAAAAGCACCGTGAGGTCTCCTCCAAGTTCAGACAAACTATCCGTGATTTGGGCTTGAAGACTGTTGCTCAATGCGAAGAGTGCTCTGCTAACGGTATGACCGCTGTCTGGTTGCCTGAGGGTATCGAGATTCCTCAATTGGTTCCTGCTCTTGCTGCCAAGGGTGTCCAAATTGCTGGTGGTATCTTGAACGGTTTAGCTGGCAAGTACTTTAGAATTGGCCATATGGGTATCTCTGTCACTGAGCCTGAGCGTCATCACATTGACAAGGTTGTTGAAACTTTGACTGACTCGTTGAAGGAACTTGGTTACAAGGCTTAAAGCACTGCAATGATAGATTTCGAAAAATTATAAATATTTTGTTTAAAATGATAGAGTAGTTCTTACCCATTTGTATTCCACATTTACTACTCTCGCACCTGTATACAACATTGATTCAACAAATTAATAAAAAAAAGAGGCTTTTATTATGTTCGTACGCTTATCAGACGCTAAAGTCAATGAATAGAGAATGAATGTTCATGCAATCTCGTGCACATGCGCTTAATCATACAGCCGGCTTTGACACTTAGTTATAGGCTTTTTCTGTGTCAATCAAAATCAGTGCAGATCAGTGTAACACAATACACAACGGATTTGTCTTGATTTGAACAAGCTAAAAGGCCATGATGCAATGGTAGAATTAGCCCCTTTTTTTTTTATCTCTCAGCATTCCCACCAAAAGGTCCTGATACAAATGAATTGAACTTTATTATTTCTTATTTGATGTAAGGCATGCATTTTTTTTATTGAAACAAGATAGATAGAATATACACAGTAAGTAAGAATTATTTTAGTGGACTAGGGGAGGGGAATCTAATGGGATGATTGGCAAGTGGCTTCATGGGCTGACTTGTGGGCCTTGACACATTTCACGCTACAGTAAGGCTGTGATTTACAACGAGCACACACAGGCATCACTAGCTTTTCAATGCCGCAATTGGAGCAAGTAACTGTATGAGGGTTAGATGAGGAAACCGAAGAAGTGGTCGAAGACGAGGAAGATGAATCAAAGGTAGATGTAGACGAAAAGGTATTTTTATGTTTTATCAACGGTCTCGATGCTTCCATTAGGCGTTGCATTGTAGCCAATGCAGTCTGTTGCAAGTGTTGTTGTGGTTCAAAAGGAGTAGGTCGCACAGAGGCGCATTTGCGGTAATAGATGATTGCCTGATTGACCTCATTAGATTGCTCGCACACCAAAGCACGACAGTTGTAGATAGTAATGCGAATTGCCCTGCGATAGTTTTCATCGTCATGATTACTGCTGCCGCTTATATCGCTTGCCAATGAATCGATAGAGCCTCTTTTACCCAGAGTTGTCATTACTGGAACATGGACATCACATTCATATGATTCCTCCTTGAGTTGTTTGGCAAATTCCCAAAGCTCTGCAGTAATCAAGTCAAACCAATGAAGGTACTGGTACCTGTTTGTTTCTCTGTGAGAAAGCACCAAATTTGTCATTTGTAAAGCTAAATCAAACAGATCACTGTTGCATTGGATAGGTTCTGATTCCCGAGCATACTTCAATGCAGTCATGTAGTAGCCTGCAGCTAGATCACAGCCGTAACAACCATTGGCATCATGCTTCATATTGACCTGAGAAGCCAAGCGTATGGCGTCTTGCAGTGAATGCTGGCGAATGGATTCAATGTTCAATTGCTGATGATAGTGGTTGGTACTAACGCTTGTGGGCGAGAAGTAGTCTGACTTGCCATCATGATGGGGTGCTGAAGGTACTATGATCTTGGGAGAGTACATATTTTTTCTTACAAGTATGAATTGAGAAAGAAAAAGGAAGAAACCTAGGCTCGCATTGAGCCTTCTTTTATATGTACGCACTGAGACTCTGATTGTGGTACCTCTCTTTAGTAGCAATTACCAAAGCACCGCGCTTCTGAATCTCAGTCAACTGCGTTGAGTTTATAACATCTGCACAGGTGATCTCTCGTGCCTAGTTTTTTAAATGTCAAATTACAAGGTTAATTGCGTCTTGATCTATCTGATCTTCCTTGCAGTCATGCGCACAAATAGAGCTTCTGCTGTCAGTCCTTCAAATAGAGCCATTGCTAGCTATTTGGAGGCTCCATCCCTCCATCTAATAAAGCTTCTTTGACAAAAGATAAACCAAATCAGCCCAAAGGGTAGTTCGGGTATTCAACTGTTCAACTTGAATCCACCATTCAAATCGATTGAATATGCACATGTTGAATTGGCATCATTATCATTGGATGCAATGATCACAGTACTACCCTTATGCTTGTAACACCTTGTTGAAAGTTTGGAATCGACCTATTAAACTTGTACTGCAGTGGCCCTGATTTAGTAATAGGAGATTACTCGAATTTTCCGTATGTCGGTTTGTTTATTTCATCTAATTATACCTACATGCTGGAAAAAGACAAACGCACAGTACCAATGGCATAAATTGAGTCGACTCACCTCACAGACATTTATCGTACAGATCAACTTTTGATGGCATCGTACCCTTACTGTTAGAGGCAAAGGTTACGATGGCAAACAATCTAACAGTTTCCATTAGATAATCTGATTACGCTATTTGTCTTGCTTTACATACGTAACATCCTTGATCCTTCTGTTGCACGAAAAAGAGTTAGAATTGGAAATTATAGGTTAAAATGGTATACACTTTACATCCTATAAAGGGTATTTTCTACATATTAGAGGCGATGCTGTATATCCAACAACAAACATGCAAGATACAAGAAACATTGCAGAGGGATTTTGCTGATAAGAGCAAAGACACAGACTCGACTACAATGAAGTGTGGTGTACAAACATTTGTTACAAGCTGAAGATGTCCTCTTCAGCACACAAGATTTTACACGTGGACCAACGCAAAGAGTCTATTTGATTTAGACTCTCATGTGGTGTTCAACCAAACAGCTATAACAGATTGTTGTAACAGTGTTATATTTCGTTCCTTGTTAAAAAAGGTAAGGGTCATTGCGTATACATGACAGATGGTTTGATGTATCATGGTTAACATGAATCCCATTTCCTTGGACGTGTTCACACACACAGAGAGAGGGAGAAGCAGCTTCTTAAACCTGTGTTTCACATGAAGTTTATTTGCACTGTATTCAAGCTCTTTACATACTAAATCAAGCCTTTCTACACTACATACCATTGGTTTCCTGGTCGATAATAATGGTTCTACAGCACAAATGTCTAAATGCAGAGATATAAGCCAAAACCAACCATCTTGGCTCCTCTTGTCCGATCTCTGACTATTGTTTATTGCGAGATGGCGTCTAGAAGTATGGCAAGTAAATTCTGGACCATTCGAGCCTGAATTAGAGGTATAAGGACTGATTTGAATGGCAGTCTTGAACGGCAGGAATGCGATTTGTCAGCCCATTCATGTTGTGTAATCTGGCTATTTTCAGTCGAGACATTTCTAAATGTGCAAGACGCATTTCTCGCTCAAATCCCTCAACTCGGTATACGTACAATCGCGATTAACCAGCCGCCTCGTAATTATTAGGCCATTATAAACTATTCGGAACTTGCTCAACGTCTTCTTTTGTCTTTCTTCCTATACACGATCAACATTACAAACAGCCTAAAAAGACCTTTCAATGATAGAAAATGGCAATTGTCAGTAGCGCACACTATATCAAGTAAAGATGCTATTGCATGTGTATTAGAAAGATGGAATGTAAGGCATATGCTAGACCAGCCGGTCAGCTTGCTCTTGCCGAATTCATCAATTGCAGATGGTTATAATGCACATTTATGAGCATAGCCTTGGAAGCGACATATACTTGAAGATGTCTAAAGCTCAAGATCTTCGCTGAACTAAAGCATATTGGATAGGTTTTACTGCGCAAAATGAATATCATTTGATAATAATAATTGCTATAATGAATGCACGAGATGATATAGCTTTGAAAGACAACTCAATTCTTATGGAAATGGTTTATCATTATGCAAATCATGTCTGCGCTGGTCTCTATGTGAGTTAGTATCAGGCATTCATATTAAATTAAGGGGAGTTGAAATACATGTAATCCCTGTCAAGGCACAATAGCTTGTTCCTGAATTTTGACCCACCTATCTGTCGCCAATAACAAGTCCATACAATACAACTAATATATACTGACATTTTCAAATTTCTTGATGATGGCAATTTCTTCAGTCATTTCTGCTATGCCTTCATTAAAACTAGCCACAATTTACAAACTAAGCACGCGGACATTGTATCTGGTCAAAGTGGCCATGAATGAACATCAAGAAGGCTGCTGTAAAAGCACTGAATCATTCGGTTAAATCAAGTGGAAAGATCTGCAATAGAGGGCCAATGGATGCTCCATTTCCCAAATCGAAAAAAAGCAGCCATTTGAGTTCAACGTGAGCAAAGCATCTCCAATCATCAAGCCCACGGATACCAGTAATGCAGCCAATGAAAACTACACGTGCTTTATTTAAAATCTTTTTAAACTTTAGTATAAATTAGCTTTGCTGACACTCTTTCAACTGGTTCATTCTCTGTTTCATACATTCTATACAGCCATGACCAACATTACAGTCGGCACCATCGACCCCAAAAAGACATCGACAGAGCCAAAACCTAAAGCAAACATTGCATTGCGACCTTATTTCGCAGACACTGATAAAAAATTCGTGCAGTATCTATTCTACTCTACATATTACAACCTTGTTCCTCAAGCTGTGCGCATCCGAGTCAAATCACCCATCGTTCTCGGTATTTGGATAGCTATCTACGCTTACCTGGTAACAGTGATCCCTGCAACTATTGGCAAACTAGGCTGGTCCAAGAATTTACTGATAGGTATTCAGATCTTGGTGACATTGGTTGTTTTCGGCGGTGGGCTGATTGGGTTGCTGTGGTATACTGACAAATTCGACATTACCAACCGTGTTGTGGAAGGCATCGAGAATGATTTGAAGGAACCTGATGTGTATTACCGTGGTGCTCCAGGCGATGTGCGCAAAGGTAACTTTTGGGTGTTGACGTTGAATGATGAGGTTGTGGGCTGTATCGGTATGGATCACACACCCAAGCCCGTTATCGACAAATCCGCCAAAAGCTCAGTCTACGTGCGTGCCTCTGAGCGTCCTCGTGCAGTTGATGCTCCTGAGATCCATCAAGCTGAATGGAAGAAAACTGCAATGATCATGGCTAGAGCTGATGATCTGATCCGTCTTACTTTGGTTGGTGTCTTTGATGTTGCTAGAGATTTGTACTTTAAATTCAAGAGCATTTCCCCAGCTGATGTGAATAGCAAGAACGAGGCTAAGGAAAAGGTATTGTTCGAGGCTCATAAGCCTAATGAAGCAAGTGTGCGTCGTTTGGCTGTCAAATTGGAGTGCCAAAACCATGGATTATCTACAGTGCTCTTGAAGAGAGTTGCTTTCTGGGCTCATGCTCACCAAATTGAGTATCTTTACGCTGATGTAGACGAACTTCAATCCAAGTTGGGTGAAATTTTAGTCAAGAGACATGGATATACTTTGGTTTCTAAAAAGAAGGAGGGTTTCTTCAAGACCAAAACCACCTACAGATTAGATGTCAAGCTGTGGATGAGTAAAGAGCTGGAAAGACGTGCTGAAGAAAAGATCCTTGAGGATCAAAAGAAAGAGGACGAAGAGCTTAAAGAGTACGAGTAAAGCCTTTAGTTTAATGTAATATACCATGCCACGTAATCTCTAGTTTAATTCAATCAATAAATAAAACAATAATATGCCTCACATATCTTTGTATAGTTGGATATGCACTACTATTTATAAAACGTCAACTATTATACGAAAGCAGTTGGTAGTTGTGCTCTTCCATCCTTCCATTTTCCTTCCTCTCAAAGTCGTCTCAAGTCTATGCTGCCAGTAGCAAGGTCAACAATGCTACTGGTTGCATGTAGTATTTGTCCGTCTGTCATCTACTAGATAGCATAAAAAAAGGTGCGACACGACTTTCCAACTACTCTATAAGGTATACTGGTGTACATTTTATCAATGTCTGTTTTGTTTTGTAACTTATTTGATTTGCATCACACTTCAAATCTCAAACTATTAGAAGCTGTTCCATTGCAACGTTGTCTTAAAGATTTTATGCTATCAAGGCTTTCGTATCGCTCTTAACGAACTAACCAAAGCACTAATTATTGGCATGTTATTGAAAAGCTCGGGCAAAACGACCTTCAATAACGAACAAACACATTTCTCTATGAACTACCAAATACCAAGAGGTAGAAAAATCGAAACCCAGGCACACACACACACCATCAGATGTGAAGTATGGTATATAATAAAAGTAATAAGCAAAGTGTGGTGGTATATAAATGTACAATGTTATACTAAGGGGTCATGTTGGTCCATGCTATTGCCTCGATTATGCAGCATGTTCTTCAATGCTCTTATAGCAAAGACCGTAAGCCCAATGCTAGACCAATCTTCATCCAGTAGCTCTTTTAAATCACCTACTGTCATAATATCTTGGTCTTTGAGCTTACGAATCCACTCTTCTGCTTTTGATGGGTCACGATTGGTTGCTTTGGCTGTATCGTACACGAATTCATCCACATTGGCATCATCAAAGTATTCTGCATGAAGAAAAACTGTCAGTCAGCCAGGCTTGTATGGGATGCAAAAGCTCTTGCCATACCCTTTTGAGCCACTTTGCTCATGTGCAATACATCTTGAGAAGGATAATCTTCACAACAGGAGCTCTCGCTTTCATCTGAAAAGATGGAATCCTCGCTGCTATGAGATTGTAGTCTTGCTGCTATGCATGCAGCTGCTTTCTCCAACTCGAGCAAGGCTTGCTTCTCCTTTTCTTCTGCGATAACAGCCTGTTGCTTTAAATATTCACATTTCTTTTCTTGATCAACGACTCTATCCATCAGCGCTGCTAATTCTAATTTCGATTTCTCCAGCTCTGAGCATATATCGTTCTCTCGTCTCCAAACTGCCTGTTGTGTGTTGTCCTGATTTCGCAGTTTCTCAGTATCTGGTTCCTCTTCCTTCTCAATATCCCGTAATATGCGATTGATTTCGTTTGTGATCCATTGCTGGTATCTCTCTGGCAACACTTGCTCCTCAATCTGCATAGGAAAGCAAAGAGTTTATACACAGATAAGCTATGCAATCGGATTTCCTATCTACCATTTCAGCAACTACTTCCTCCGCTGTGTCTTCTTGCTAGTGGGTTGAGTTGTACTACATAAGCAAGACGTCCTTCATGCATGCATGCCATAGCACTTACCGTATTAAACTCAAACTTGACACTTAACTTGTCAGAGCCCTTGAAGACAACTTGCAATGTGACAATAGTATGCGAAGGATCATTTTCAAGTATGACAACATCGGGCTCGACTGCCAGAAAAGAGCATTCAAGCAACTCTTGTGCAGATAGCCTACAGTGCAACAACCACGTGGTTTTAGCGCAAGATTGAGGAGCTAAATATTTGTAAATACCTTTCGTTTTCATTTGTGGACAAACAGCTATTGATGACTTCCAGTACTTGTTGGTTCTGAATCTTGGCCAGAGAATCTGGTTTAATGTGCTATTTTTTGCCAGTCAAAAACAAGTTCAAGCATGGACAAATAGCAAAATACAAACCTGACACACTTTCTTGTAGATTTGTGCTGTATTTGTACATTCCGCATACGGATATTCGCCCGTTGTCATTTCGATCAAACACATGCCGAAAGCATACAGATCCACTTTTTCATTGTAGCCTTCCTCTTCATACATTTCAGGAGCCATAAATTCAGGAGTGCCAATCAGTGTATATTTTTTGTCACCGAGCCACATATTTTCAGCTGTGCCTAAATCGCCAATCTTGATTTCGCCATGCGCGCCGTTAATAAAGATGTTATCGCATTTGATATCTCTGTGAATAATGGGCGGATTGTGTCCATGCAAGTAGGCTAAACCTTTCAAAATTTGACGACTCCAACGTTTCACAATCTTGGGGTTGGGTAAGCTCAGTTTACGGATATACTCTCTCAACGTTCCAGAGGTCATCAGCTCGGTAACAAAGATAAATTCAGTGCGGTTTTCGCTGAGCCAGGCATCATGAAACGCAATAATGTTTGGATGGCGCACTGATTTCAAAATTTCAATCTCATGTCTAACATCCTTATTATTATCATGTCCAATCTACACATGTATATATGTCAAAGTTGTAAGTATCCATTCTGTACCAGAAAGAGCGAAACCTTACATGTAACACATTCCAAGCTACTTCATAGCCTTCTTCACGATCCATGGCTTTATACACTACTTTGAACGCACCTTTACCGAGCAAGGTATTTAATCTACAGTAACGCTTATTGGGCGACCATTCCAATACATGCTCTACTTGGTTTGTATTAGATCTGTCGATTAGATCCTGATTAGCAGTATGATTATTCATGAATGTTGTGATGGCGGCCGAGTCTCCGTTGCTGGTGCTGTTAGTAGTGTAGGAGGCATCGATTTGTGATAGCTGGTAGTTGATGTGATCAGCGATGGACGTCGATGTGACCATGGCATCTTTGCTGCTGTCCATTAAGAAGGACGGACGGTATGTGTCCATGGTTGTCACAGCATGGCTATCAAAAGCAGGCTCTGCCTCGGTCATTTATGTTGAGAAATGTAGTAAAAGCGAGAGAAAGAAAGAGAAAACTTATCATGTTGGAAAAAACCATGTGTTTATAAGCATCTCGGAGTACGGCGGTTACTCAATGCAAGCCTATTATGTTGCCATGAGAATAAAATGTTGGACAAAAGCAGAATCAGGTACCGTCCTTGTCTGTTTCTGCCTAAACAAACAATAGCTACTACATATTTGTACAGAGAAAGCGAGACTAATTTGATCAGGTGCTCAAGAATGAGTTTGCTCGACATGTACAGAAATTAAATTTATCCCTTCTTGGGCTACTCGTTGTATTTAGTGTCGGCATACAATAGCATTAGTGCCAAAGATCTGGAAAATCGCACTGATCTGTCAATGTTCCTTCATGACCATGTACTCAATCAAGTGAAGCCCAGGGGTAGGCAGCAATAGGGATATTTGTTTATAATAATAAGAAGCTTTTATCACCGAGAATTGCGTTCATAGTGTCTCATGTTTCACTGCATTGGGTCTAGTAAATGCTGCATCTCAAGTAATGCCAATGGATTTTGTCATATTCACGTTTCCTAGACCCCTCATTCCACGAAATACTGCAGTGGAGCTCATAGTAAATAAAAAAGTTTAGAATGAACAGGGAGCACACATTTTGTACTTGAAAAAACAACCAACAGAAATCACCATATCTCAAATCGTGCCTTTATGTAGTGTTTAACAATACCTAACCGTAATGATCACAGCTTGTTTCAAGTGCTATTGATTCCTTGTACAATTGCTAAGAAATTAATAGGCTTTAGAAGTACTATGTTTGATATATTGAAGCGTATTAGGCCTAAAAGGTGAGTGATGTAATCGAAAGCCCCTCTACAAACCGCTTTGATCGGGTTCAGTCTGTTTATACACAAGCAGTATGCGTTGCCAGAAATTGTAGTTGAAGGCTTTTCGCTGCGTCAAAAGTGTTCAGCTCATACAACGGGCTTAACTACTGATGGAAAATAGCTTTACACAAATACGACAATTGTAAAAAAAAAATTGCAGCATTAGATTAGGTATTTAACGAATAAGAACAATACAATCTCCACACTATCCGAAAATCAAGAGGTAAGGACATGATGGATAAGCATTCTCGGCAGCAATAATACGAAACCATCATACAATATTATATAATACTATATCAAAATTATGACAGCTTTCTTTCAAAAATGATATGTTTAATGAGATTAATGTCTTTCAAATGGCAAGTCAAGCCAAGCTCATGGCTAGTTAATATTCACTGATTGCATTGAGTTATCCCTAGCTTGATCAACTGTTGGTTTATTCAAAAATCACTCGATATACCACAAGCCTGCTTCTTTTTCTTCAATTTTTTCTGTTCTCATCTGCACTGCTCAGCTCATTATGCGTTCTCAAAAGAAACAGAAAGCGTAATCCGTCGACGCCAGCCCTGTTAATTTGCCTTCCACATAAGACATCCTTCGCATAAATTTATCAGCTATTATCAAAGACTCTTTAGTAAGTGCTCCCTCAACAACTCTAGAACGGGCCTCATATTGTGTAGTTTCACTTGGCTTGCAAGTACTGAAATTGATTTTGATTTTCAACAAAGAAAGTATATTGACAATGGCCTGCGTTCAAAGCTTCCATAACAGCAACTTGATTCATAAAGAGCTTCATGTTAAGAAAAGTAAGCTTATACAAGTTCTCTTTCAAAATAGTGCGCAAACTTCAACATACTTTTAAAAAAAGTCAAATAATTTGAAGCACATGCAGCCGATTCACTCCACCTACTCTGGGCCAAAGGGTATCAGCTCTCAATCTCTAACAATAAACCCGATATACTTCGCGAAAATTGGCAGCTAGACCTTGAAACCTCTGTCATAAAAATTGCTCTACAGATATACCCCCCCCCCACAAACTTTGATAATGTATGGAACAACAGCAAGATTTTCGTCAACCTGTTCAACAAGCTCTTATATTGTTACTGTTACGCCATTACATTGCACCAAACCTGAAGAGAATTTAGGGAAGAGAAAAAGGAAAAGAGAACAGTAAGTTGAACATCTCATGGGGTATATACCACATTGACCAGCGTAGTTTTTCTTTCAGAGTGGAGATAATCAGTGCAAGCCCATTGACGACAATTAAAAGACTAACTTTTGAGTCGAGCCGAGCTGCGAAATGACAGATGCGCTTTTTTTATGAGTGTAGCCATTCCTTTACATGCGGTTTCATTAGAAGCTCGCCTTAAGCCTGTCATCTGTAAAATAATACTCAAAGGGTCATACCGCAGGATTTTACTAAGTGAACGAGAGCTTCAAGCTTAGTGGCTTCTGTTTCTTTTTCAATTCTCTATACGATGGTATGGTTATTATAGATAAATAAATAAAAAGTTGAATATCCCCTGCTTGTAGCTCGTAAAATATATGATTTTGAGCAAATTTATGAAGGGAATGTATATCTGGTACTTAAAACCATTATATCATAATGGATATAACATAGAGCTATTGAATGGTTTTTGTTTTGTGCGAATTGAGTGAGTACTTGTCGAGATATGGTCAAAAAAGGGTATCATGCAAAATCATGGATTTTCCTTCAAAATCTGCCTGTGATAGCAAGCAAAAAATTGGGTGACCTTTTTTTGGTCAGGACAATATTGTTAATATTTCATGATAGAGTCATACCAGAGCTTCAAGCAATAGCTCATTCAACAGGAAATTCCTTAGTCTACAATGTTTAGTAATGCTCAACAAAATGTTTTGATGACAGATACTGATTAATCTTTAGAAAACAGTCAAAAGATGGCAAAATGTATCTCATTAAATATCAAGTAAAAAATGTACACCAGAGACTTGATATGGATACCATTGTATTTTCCTTTGAATTCTTTACAAGTTTTATATAAGTTTGAAGGGGTGTTTACTATCAAGAAACGCGTACTTTTAAGGTCGATAGATTTCGGAATCCCATGGATCATCATTCAAAACAATAGAAATTGAAGCTCCGTTGGCCTTCTGCATGTGTGCACGACACAAGGGTGAATTTGACCAAGCATTTTAAAAATCGGAGCGTACAAAAAGGGCCATATTAACATGCTGGTTTCAAGTTATCAGTAGATACTTGACATGTTGAAGAATCTTACTTTTAAGACTAGACAGTTGTAACTTGCTTTGCTCGATTATAATAAGTGTTCCAATTTAATGCATGCATATTCCTCCGCTTAAAAATAGCATCTCCAATGTCGATTATATCATGAAACAGGCGTTTTCAATACCAGGTACTTAGTTAGAAGCTGACCCTATATCATTATTCTACAACATATTTTGGTTTCAGGATAGTATTACAAGTTTGTAGAACATAATGTAGCTGTATCTAGTATCACTGTTATAAGCATGTGTCTTACCTGTAATGAAATAGCCACCCAAATGCAACTTAATTGATAACCAAAATTCAACAAATAGCACTCATTCAAATTTATGCTATTTGGATCTATTATTAATGAAAGCGCCCAAATGTACATCAAAAAACCATTTAAACATACTAAAGTAAAGATGCACGCTTATATCGCACATCGTGTGAATGAATCACTCCTGATCACAGTGTATTCAATCACACCACCCATGATGGTCGTAATAAGTGATGGTGTCTTTATCCAAATAAAATCAAATCAATAACAAGCATATTCAAATATGATAACTATGTTCTGCTGCCATAATAGTTGCACAATACTCCAGATAAAGGGTTCCATACTTCAATAACAAACATCACACTTTAAACTGCCGAGGCTGTATTAAACCATGTTATGACGATAGCTCATCCAAGCCCATCAACATTACTCTAAGCGACCTTTATGGACAGCAATCTTGCATTGGTTACTACGTTAAATCAAACATCAACAACATTTGCCAGATATCGCAATAATAGCATCTATCGCTCTCTTATCATCACTAGTCTTACAAGGAGATTGTTAAGCACAAAGAATAAAAGGACTATAGTTTGTAGCTTATGAAAATGTTCAATATTATAAAAACAAGAAAAGACTTATTTGAATAAGATCAGACACAAAAAACTAAAAATTTATTGATGAAAACAAGAGTTATTTTTTCTATTTATACTAAGTTCTAAATGCCAAAGTAGCAATTTATCGTACAGCGCTTATCACATCTGGTGAACCTCAGCATTTAGATAGCTGAGATGCACTTCAATTATCATAGCTTGTCCATGTTGTTGCACAACACAGACATATCTACCCATCAAGAATACCTTAACCTTTATAGACACTGTAGCCCTTCCGGTACAAGAGTATTCAACAGTAATTATATATCATTTAAAGAATAGCTCAAGTTTAAATTTTTCAAAAGCATCTGTTTCTCAATCTACAGAGCTCTTCAAAAACTTATCATCTACCTGCAAAAAGAATATTCGTAAATTACCCCTAGGGTAATATAGGGTAATATTTCAAAAATTTGCAGTGGAAAAATTATAGTTGCCTAGTGTTCAAAAATTAAATATACAATGTCTAGACTGTCAGGGTTGAAGGGTATTCTGACTGATTTAGATCTGCAGGATATAATTGACAGGCTAATCACAAACAAGAATAAGAAGCGCAGGTTTAAACCTAGAGCGCCAGCTACCAGGAACATCAAACAGCGATTAACCTGGATAGCACACAACATTACACAAACTATATTGGATAAAACCAATATCCAAATCTAATAGTAATAAAGGCACCTTTTTATCCATTCAACTAAAAGGCTATAACATCTTCCTGCACACTCTTCATATCTATCTCCTTATATATTTCGATCAGATCTCAGATTGCATATACTATCTTTATATATAAGCATCTGGCAAAGACTGATAAACCAGTACGTTGTTGAGGTAGCAAAATGAGGGAGCAGATGAGTAGGTTCAGATCAATAAACCTGGGAGATAACAACCAACTAACCTCTGTTCAATTGTGGCACCTTGGCCGACTGAAAGAACCAACTTACAATAACAGGTACCAAAAATTGATGTGTCAAATGTAGATTTAGCGATAGAGAAAAGACTTTGAAGGGTGTTCGAAATAAAGTATTTCTTAGTAAAGATGATATGTTCATTTATTCAAAACTTCAAGATTATTTATAGCTTTCCAATTCCTGTATCGTTGTAACTTCATTGCTTCTTGTTCAATTCCAAAGGTTGCCCATGAAATCTCTTCGCATGTTGTTTATTCCAGTGTCGATGTGGATGTGGGAATAATGATTCATCTTGACATGCGTTGCCAAGTGTTTAGTTTGGCGTGAGAGTCTTGATCCATGTGTTGCTTATCTTGTTTTTCAGTTAGTGCTTGGTTTTGTTGGGGGGTGAGTATTGATTTTTGAAGTGATTGCTTGTTTGATTTGTATAAATATTAATGTTTGATAGATAAGGCCAAATTGTTGAGAAGATGAGAGCCATTTAAATGTGTTGCTAATTATAAGTTTGGTGGTTTTACATTGTTTTCCTTATGTGATGCTGTTGGTGTCATAAAATGTGTATACTGGTAATCTCCATGCGTGGACCTAAACTATCCCCACACATTTCACATGAATTCCTCTAATTGAAGATAGGTTGATAATAATAATCTCAAATACATCCACCAAATACTGATGCAATCATGTCGTATGTTCTTGATGATTCCACATCCATACTTGAATAAACCTTCATTGATTTGCCTGCACCAGCTATTTGCCTTGTATTGATCATCCTCCCTCATCTCGAATTACTGTAACTCAACATTCTCAGAATGATGCCTATACATACTTTTGTAGTGAACCTAGCTACGCAAGTGACCAGAGAGCACAAGTAAAATTAACAAACCATAAGAAACAACAAGCTTATCAAGATGTCAGGGTTGAAGGGTATTCTGACAGTGATTTAGATCTGCAGGATATCATTGACAGACTAAACACAAACAAGAATAAGAAGCGCAGGTTTAAACCTAGAGCGCCAGCTACCAGGAACATTAAACAGCGATTAACTTGGATAGCGCACAACATTACACAAACTATATTGGATAAAATCAATGTTCAAATCTAATATTAATAAAGCACCTTTTTATCCATTCAACTAAAAGGCTATAACATCTTCCTGCACACTCTCTATATCTACTTCCATTTATATCTCGATCAGATCTCAGATTGCATATACTATCTCTACGTATTAGCATCTGACAATTGGTAGCAACTTCTGTTATTTTTTAAATCCTTTTTTTCTATTTGTCGCCTATAACAGATAGTAAACAAAAGTCGATCATCAAGGCACGCCGGCTAAGTATTCATTAAAGGGAAAGATCGAAACATCTATATTAGATCTTTGCATTTACTGAATCATAATAGTCAACCCTCTTTACTACAGTTGTTCATAGTTCCTCTCTGTGAACACTACCTACCCCATCTCGTTCGCTGTTGATTCCTATTCCACGAACTCGGAGATCCCAAATAATAATCCAACTATCAAAACAAACACACAAATCTCGAGTCAACACTCTCTCTGGTCTCTCTCACCACATTTTATTAAAACAACATGGCTGAAGACAATCAACAACAACAAATACCACCCAACTATGTTCAATTCATGGAACAAAACCAACACATGCTCACCAACATGATGACTGCCTTCATTCAGGCACAAAATCAAGCACCTGCTGTCAAGTTGCCAACACCACCTACATACAGTGGCACTCGCAATGCAAGTGAAATTGATGCCTGGACTCGTTTGATTGACAAACAAAAGCTGCACAACAGCTGGAATGAAGAACGCACCTACAATTTTGCCTCTTCTTTGCTATCTGGACGTGCTGCCACTATTGTTGCCCATTATGAAGATCCCGACAGTAATCTTACCACACCTACAACGTGGATGGAGCTGAAGGACATTTTGATTAGCAATTTCCGTCCCACCAACGATCAAGATTTGGCCCGTGATGTTTTGGTCACCATTCGCCAAACCAGTTCAATTCGGGATTATGTGGATCGTTTTATGGATGCTGTCATTCCCATCAAGGATATTAGTGAACGTGAGCAATGTGATCGTTTCATGAGAGGTTTAAAGGACAAGGAATTGATTGCCAAAATTCGCGCCATGCCTATTGAATCACGTACGTTGGAGAAGCTGTTCTCTGATGCTCTGGCTCATGAATTCGCCCACCATCCGGAGATCAGTGCTGGTGTTCAGACAAACACTAGATACAATAACAACAACGGTGATGTACAGCCTATGGACCTAGATGCCATCATGCATCGTAACAACGACAACAACAGTAACAGCTACAGCAACAACAACAACAGAAACAGAAATAACAACAGGAGAAACAACAATAATCGCGGCCGTAATAGGTATGATCCCAGCCTCACATGTTTTCACTGCAAGAAAGTTGGACATACCACCAAGAATTGCCTCTCCCGTGCCACTGAAATTATGCATGCATTTGACAAGTTGGATCTGGACACTAGACGCAAGCTTTTCAAGAATGTTGGTGTTTTGAACTGTATTTTGGATGTTGAATACAGAGAAGAGGATAACCATGGTTGTGATTGCAACCAATGTCAAAGTAGTAATAAAGCTAGTGGTTCCTCTTACCTGTTGTCCCTGTGTGATAAAATTGCGGTTGAGAAAAGAAACGCACAGATGGATGAATTGAATCAAGTCATTGCCATGATGGATTCCTCTGTTGCGTCTTCTCCTGCTTTGGCTTCTGTGCCTGTTACTACCCCGGATAATGTCTCTGTACCTGTGCCAGACAACAATCCAGTGGTGAATTTAAACCCTGTCGTTGCGAACTCAAATACTCGTCGTCCTGTGGAATTGTCTCCTATCATTCAAGATTTGGATACGTCAACCACCATTGACCTCACCACTGACTCTGTGTACCTGACAAATTTATTGAATGCAGCAAATACCTCAACTCTACCTTTGTATGGAGCAACCGTCAGACTCAACCATTCTCTGGGTGTAGTCAAAGTCAAGTGCCTAATTGACAATGGTGCTAGTGAAAACTACATCTCAGGTAGAATTGCAAACATGATTGAAGGCCATCGTAGCGTGATCCATGGAAGAGAGGTTGAAACTGCAGGTGGCAATGTATCTCCTATTAATGAAAAGATTGTCTACGATTTGAATTTGCAAGGTCATACAAGCCCAATGTCAGCATTCGTCTTTGATACAAAGTTCGATGTCATTCTTGGTAGATCCTGGCTCAAGGAACACAAGCCTGTTGCAGATTGGTTTGATGATACGTGGACCTTGTCTTGTTGTGGTCCTGGTAAAACCACTATCTCACCCACGTCGTCTTCCTGTGTGTCAAGCACACCAACTCAACAACCGCCTGAATTAAATTACTTGGTATCTCATCTTCAAGCAGAGAAAATGTTGAAGGAGGAAGGCACAAATGCATGTTTCTTGTACATGATGGATCAAGGAGAGAAGGATGGCGCAAGTACTGGAATTACTCAAGAGAATGTGGTATGGACAGATCAACTGATGAAGGATTTTCCAACGGTTTTTCAAGACAAATTACCTGGCCTACCACCCAACAGACAAAATTTCTCACATGTGATCAACGTTCCTGAAGGTGTCAATCCCATCAACAGACCTCCTTTTCGTATGAGTCCAGCTGAACTTGATGAATTGCAGCGTCAACTGACCGAACTGCAATCTCTGGGCCTCATTCGACCATCGTCGTCACCATGGGGTGCTCCGGTATTATTCGTCAAGAAGAAAAATGGTGAAATGCGAATGTGCATTGACTACCGCGCTCTGAACAAGGTCACTATTCGCAACTCTACCCCTTTGCCTCGCATTGATGAATGCCTGGATCGTTTGCAAGGCGCTTCGTGGTTCACTTGCCTGGATCTTCGTTCCGGCTACCACCAAATTAGGCTAAAAGACTCTGATATCCCACTTACTGGATTTAATACCCGATATGGTAAATGGGAATGGCTCGTGCTGCCTTTCGGACTTTCAAATTCTCCACCCAGTTACCAAACTTGGATGAACGGAGTTTTAAAAGATTGCATTGACAGATTCGCTTTGGTTTACTTGGACGACTGTTGCATCTTTAGCAAGACATTAGAAGACCATATCAAGCATGTTCGTCAAGTACTCTCCATCTTTGAAAAGGAAGGGCTCATTGTCAACTTGAAGAAATGTGAATTCGGTAAGCGTGAGCTAGAATTTCTGGGTTTCAAGGTCTCCGCGAATGGTATTTTACCATCGTCATCGAAAGTGAAAGCTATCCAAGACTGGCCAAGACCTACTAATGTGCAAGAGGTGCGTCAATTTGTTGGATTAGCACAGCATTATCGCCGTTTCTGCCCGAACTTCTCTTCTGTGGCTGCTCCTCTTACTGAATTGACTCATGGTAATGGTGCTAAGAAACGTGCTATTGTCTGGAATGATCAATGTGAAGTTAGTTTCAAAGCTATCAAACAAATGCTAACATCATCTCCTTTATTGAAACTACCTGATATGAGCAAGCCATACCGCATTGAAACCGATGCAAGTGACTTTGGAGTAGGCGCCGTGCTTTTACAGGAGGATCCTGATTCTTCTACTTGGTTGCCAATTGCGTATGAATCCAAGAAATTATCTCAAGCTGAACAAAAATTGCCTGCCCAGGAACGTGAACTAATTGCTATCATCCATGCTTTGAGAACATGGCGATGTTTTGTGGACGGTTGTCAAGGTGGTTATACTGTGTATAGTGATCACAAGCCTCTGATCTACTTCAAGTCTCAACTGAACCCAACACCTCGTCTTGTTCGTTGGATTGCAGATTATGAGGCATTCTCGCCAAATATCGAGTACAAAGCTGGAAAAGACAACGAAGTGGCGGATGCTCTCTCAAGAAAACCAGATTTACTTGTGGAAAATGGAGAGAATATACCTTCGTTGGCACCTGAATACTTATATGCTGCTTGGGATCAGTTGTCTGATACTATCAAGACTGATTGGCCTATTCTGTATGTCGACAAGAACTACGAAAAAATGAAATCAGATGCATTGCGAAAACGCATGGAAAAGGAGGAGGATCAGTTTGTGGTACGCCAAAGAACAGTGTATCGACTAGTCAAGATGGAGGATGGAAGCATAAAGCAAGTCAAATTTATTCCGTTCTCGGATCGTGCTGATTTGGTTTTCAAGTATCATGAAGCTTTTGGCCATGCTGGTATCAAGACTATGCTAAAAATGTTCACTGAAAGGTACTGGTGGCCAGGTTTGCGAAAGGATATTCAAGACTGGCTGAAAACTTGTACTGCTTGTCAGCTGAATAGTCGCCGTGATCAGGTTCATCAAGATGTTGTAATGAAATAGCCACCCAAACGCAACTTAATTGAAAACCAAAGTTCATCAAATAGCACTCATTCAAATTCATGCTATTTGGATCTATTAATGAAAGCGCTCAAATGTACATCAAAAAACCCATTTAAAAATACTAAAGTAAAGATGCATGCTTATATCGCACATCGTGTGAATGAATCACTCCTGATCACAGTGTATTCAATCACACCCATGATGGTCGTAATAAGTAATGGTATCTTTATCCAAATAGAATTAAATCAATAACAAGCATATTCAAATATGACAACTATGCCCTGCTGCCATAGTTGCACAATATCCCAGATAAAGGATTCCATGCTTCAATAACAAACATCACACTTTAAACCATCAAGGTTACATTAAATCATGCTATGACGATAGCTCACCCAAGCCCATCAAGGTTACTCAAATCGACCCTTATGGCCAGTGCTCCTGCATTGATTACCACTTTAAATCAAACATCAACAACATTTGCCAGATATCGCAATAGCAGCACCTATTGCGCTCTATCATCACTAATCCTACAAGCCAGATGCAAATGTATAAATACTCTTCTTTTTTTTACTCAATTCCAGGATCTTCAGTTCATTTTATACACAAAATAAAATACAGTTGATTTCTATTGTATTTTACCTTTGCTTTATTTTTTTTGTGAAATCTATTTAAACCTGATTTCACTGCATTTTTTACAATATTCAAACTATATTTTATTAAACAAACCTTATCACAATGTCTGACAATACCAACAACTCTGGCTCTCCTTCTGTCCCCTCTGCTCAAGGTTCTCCTGCTCAACGTCAACCTGGTGACGATACCATTGAGCACACTAGGCAGCAAGTCCAGGCCATCCACTTGGATCAAGGTACTGATGTCGGACAACAACTTCAACCTTCAAACCATCAAGAGGATATTGCCATGATGGATGCTATGCCATTTCGATCCTCTCCTGTTCCTGCTTTGGCTAACCATGCTCCCAATGATGGTGGTGAATCCTCATCTCAAGTTACTTCTCATTTGTCTGCGTCGACATCATGTTCATCAGGTAATGCATCCTCCTCTGCTGCTGGTTCTAGCACGTTGAATTCCATCAAGAAATTGGTCTGGCGTCGGGATTCGTTTGTACGTCTGTTGCTGGACATGGTCGAGGGAACTGATATGAACAATGAGCACGGCCAAAAGCATATTGAAGATATGCGATCCAAGATCGAGGACCTGAATCGTCTGATCTCCACTGTCAAACACTCAGCCAAGCTATCCGAATCTAATGTCACCGCATCACTCACTGGTGACAATGAGGGCATCTCATTGTCCAAGCAAGACCTACCTAAATTCCAACTTCGTTCGCATGCCACCAAGTACTTTCCCAACGAAATCTCCTATGATTCGATTCATCATTTTCTGCGCTCCTTTGAGAAGGTAATTTCGTCTTCAGGCAAGGCTGTCGAAAATGTATGGCGGCGATACATTCCACTCACGATTCCATACGACCTTGATCTCTGGTTGAATCAAGACCTGCTGACAGCAAAGTCGTGGTCCATGGCTAAGGAAAAATTCACTTCCAAGTTCAGTAATGCTGCTCTACGCTTGGATGCTCGTCGTGAAGTTCAAACCGCTACCATGCGATCTGGAGAAACTACGGAGGAGTACTACAACCGTTTCGCTCGGGCTATGATGGAGGCAGGCTACTCATCTGAAGATACCACTCTTGGCGATACATTCTTGCTCGGCTTCCCCAATGAATGGCAGATCCAAATCAACGCTGTTCTCGGTGTTCACTTCCCTGGGTGTTCTAACTTCACCGCCAGTCAGATTGTCACCTGTGCCATGAACGTCCTCAACAGTCAAAAGTGTCCTGTTTCGTTTGTCAACGCAAAGCGACATGGTGGTTCTCGCGCTTCGTCATCCTCATCCGGTTCATCTGGATTCTCTTCCTCTGCTGCTGCTTCTTCTTCTGCTCCTCGTTACTACTGCTCAAACCATGGAGGCTCTCAGGCCAGACATCACGAGAAGGACTGTCGTCTGAACAAAGGTGGTTCTTCATCAAGACGTGTAGTTGAAAAGGCAAACGTACCCAAGAAGGCCAGCGGAAACACTTTCTGCAAGTGGTGTGGCAAAACTTGGTTCCACGGTCACTCTTGCCCTGAGTACCAAGCTATGAAGGGTTCGTTCAAGGTGTTGAGCGTGAGAAGAGAAAATAGTGGTCATCGACCCTATACGACTGGCTCCAGTAGTCAGAAACAAAAGCGTCATTCCCGTAATGGCAAAGGAAAGCAAAAGGACTCCGGGTCCAGCGAAAGTGACCTCTTCCGCGAGGCTATGGAAGACAAAGAATGTAAGTCTTCCACATCAAACAAAAACACTTTCAATTTAATAACACCATTGCTTCTCAATAACATTAGAATCATCGGAAAGGTGGATCCTGGTTCAGATGTTAGCATCATTAACAAATCCGTTTTGAATAAAAAATTCTCTACTATCAAAAATATCAAAGCATTGGGTGGTTATTTAACCTTTTTGAGCATGAACAAAGATGGTAGTGCATCTAAAGCTGAACGCATTGGAAGCACCGAACCCATCAAAGTAACTTATATGAATGGAATCACATTTGAACATTCCTTTGAAATCATTGACTTCAATGATTCCATGGCTGAAGAGTTTGATGTACTCCTAGGAGTCGACATCTTGCCTCGCCTCAACATCTATCTTAGTGGAGTAGCTCATTGCTTTCCTGACACCGAAAACGAAATTGCTCAATTCAAGAATATAAACTATGACACTGAAAACGTCTATAATCCAGAAAATGCTGATTATGGTACTTCTCAGGAACGTCACATCCTTCTACAACAGATCGAACAATCTCTGAATGCCAACAAGAACATCCCTGCTGACGCAGTATGTTCCATGCCTGAAAGTGTAGTGCATGTTCCTATATCCAATCCCAAGGATTGCTTCATTCGCCAGTATCCATTATCCATCAACTCGCATGCCGAGATTGACAAACAAATCAAAGAATGGCTTCAAAATAAGATTGTTGAACGCTGCAAACCCTCATCAGTGTTCCATTCACCTCTGATTACGGTGACAAAGAAGGATGAGAACGATCAACCCACCAAATTGAGAGTGTGTTGTGATCTCCGTCGCATCAATGCGTCCATTGATGACAATTACCATGAAAATTATGCGGTTCCCAAGATTCACGAAATCTTTGAACGAGTGTCTTCTAGCGCACGCGTAATAAGTAAAATTGACTTACACCAAGCATACTATTCGTATGGTGTGCATGAAGCATCTCGCAACGCCCTTATATTCTCGCATAATGGCATTTTTTACAGATGGTGTAGGGCCCCTTTTGGCCTAAAATTTATGAGCTCTCTGTTCGTAAAATGCATGTCAATTTTATTCACTGGTTTATCCGACGAACTGAAATTCGAAATGGAAAAGAACATGGATCCTTCCCAAGTTGATCCAACCAAAGTATGGGGTGGCATCGAACACTACATAGATGACTGCGTCCTGCATAGTATCTGTGAGAAAAGCCACATCAAGCTTATCAATCTTGCCATTAATCGCTTGACATCCGTCAACCTGCGCATCAATGTGAAAAAATGTTCATGGTTCCAGACATCAGTCTTTTTACTAGGCTTTGTGGTTGGACCTGGCATACAAAAGATTGATATGCGTCGTTTATCTGACATAGACGAATGGCCCATTCCCAAAACTGCAAAACAAGTTCGCTCGCTTATGGGTGTCGTTTCCCATCTGCGAAACTTTTGTCCCATGCTGTCCAAGGTTGCTGAGCCCATCGATAGTCTTCGAAATGACAGTGACGTAAAAAAGAATTGGACACAATTGCATACTGATCGGTTCAATACCATCAAGCAAATACTGCTCTCAAACCAAATACTGCATGCTCCAGTGTTGGACGACAAAATGTTCCTCCAATGCGATGCTAGTCTCTATGGCATCGCTGCCTGTCTTTATCAAAAGGATAAACTGGGTAGAATCAAGCACATTGCATTTGTTAGCAGATCTCTCAATTCAGCTGAGCGCAACTGGTCTACAAACCGTAGAGAGTGTGCCGCTGTTGTCTTTGGATTCATCAAATTTAGATCGCTACTGTGGGGTCATAATGATATCGAGGTCCTGACCGATCATTTGGCATTGACCTACATGTTCACATCTACTTCACTAAACAGTACGCTCCAGAGCTACTTGGAAATCTTGGGAGAATTTCACTTCACAATTTCACATGTGAAAGGCATTGAAAATGTTCTCTGTGATGCTCTCTCAAGGGTATATCCAATAATTGATGAAGACAAATGGCTGGAAGATGAAAATGATCGACAGATGAGAAAACTGCATAAGCTCATTCTGATCAAAAGGGACACCAACAAAAAGATTGAAGTAAACCGTCAACGCACAGTCTATTCTCAGGACCGCAATCTCAACGTACTTGCTGTGAAACTAAATAGCAAAGAATTCCAGAATTCTACAACGGATTACATTGCTCCTCCAGAAGCAGATCGGGCTCAAATCATCAAAGATGCACATAAAATAGGCCATTTTGGCATTGAGTCTGTGGTTCAACATATCCACACGTATTTGGGTTTACATTGGAACACCATCTACGCTGATTGCAAGGAAATACTTAAAGCATGTCCTGAATGTGCAAAGCACAACGTCGCTCGTCGAGGTTTCAACCCTGCTAAAAGCATCGTCAGCTTTGACGCCTTTGATCACATTGCTATGGATATCTTAGGTCCTATGTCGATCACCGATAAGGGAAATGTTTATGTGCTGGTTGTGATTGATCTCTGTACTCGCTACATTATAGCTCGTCCAATTCCTAACAAAAATGGCGCTACAGTCGCTCAAGCCATACTATCCATCTATGGTGACTATGGTGTTGCTGTTAGCATCCAACAAGCTGACAACGGCAAGGAATTTAAATCCAATCTCATGGATCACTTCACAAAAACGCTTGGCATCAAGCAGCGACATTCTCTTCCTTACTACAAACAATCCAATGGTAGTGCTGAGAACGCTATCAAACAATTCGAGCATACGCTACGCAAAATGTGTGGTAATGACACGCATAACTGGGATGATCGCGTACCCATCGTCCAACTTGCACTCAACATGAAAGTCAAAGAGCGTACTGCCAGTACCCCATTCAGTCTCATGTTTGCTCGTCAAGTTAACGTCAATCCCAATCCAAATAAACTCAACCTCAATGGACGTCCTGCACTATCCATTCAAGAGCTCCAACAGCGTATCGAACACATGAATACCATCGTGTTTCCTGCTCTCCAAGAGCGTACACAACGGCTTGCTGAGGAATACAATAAGCGTATGGATAAACGTCGATACATCCTACCTGAACTAGCCTTTGACTCTCCTGTCATGGTCCGCCTTGAAGAAGGTCGTTCATCCAAACTCGCGCCTCTCTATGCTGGCCCATATTTCGTTGTCAAGCGTACCCAAGCTGGCAATTACATTCTAAAAGACGAAACCAATTCTCTCATGCATCGTGAATATACTCCTTCTGAACTCAAACCTGTCAACATTGATGAAACTACCATTGAAGACGAAATCTTTGAAGTTGAGGACATTCGCGATCATCGCTACCGCGATGATGATGAGATCGAATACCTAGTTAAATGGGCTGGTTATTCTGAACGTGAAAATGAATACATTACAGCTGATCTGTTCTCCTCTCCCATTCCAATCAAAAAATACTGGGAAAAGGTCAAGCTCAACAAGGAACTGCAACATCAAAGACATGCACCACTACCTACAAACAAACGCCCCTCAAAACAGGCTGGTAACAAGCGAAAAGCAGGCACTGATCACACAAGCCGCGAAAACACTCGCCGCAAACATTAGTAGCTTCCAGCTTTCCTTCCTCCACTGCCTTCGGCACTTGTTTCTCTGCTCTTGCTTATATCTATGTCTTCCTTCCTTCTACATGTTCCAATCAAATCACTTTTGGTCGTCTAAATTCATATCTCTGTCAACTTTTTCCCCACAAAAAGTTTGGCTGGGGGCAATGTAATGAAATAGCCACCCAAACGCAACTTAATTGAAAACCAAAGTTCATCAAATAGCACTCATTCAAATTCATGCTATTTGGATCTATTAATGAAAGCGCTCAAATGTACATCAAAAAACCCATTTAAAAATACTAAAGTAAAGATGCATGCTTATATCGCACATCGTGTGAATGAATCACTCCCGATCATAGTATATTCAACTAAACTCATGATGGTAGTAATAGGTGATGGTATCTTTATCCAAATAGAATTAAATCAATAACAAGCATATTCAAATATGACAACTATGCCCTGCTGCCATAGTTGCACAATATCCCAGATAAAGGATTCCATGCTTCAATAACAAACATCACACTTTAAACCATCAAGGTTACATTAAATCATGCTATGACGATAGCTCACCCAAGCCCATCAAGGTTACTCAAATCGACCCTTATGGCCAGTGCTCCTGCATTGATTACCACTTTAAATCAAACATCAACAACATTTGCCAGATATCGCAATAGCAGCACCTATTGCGCTCTATCATCACTAATCCTACAAGCCAGATGCAAATGTATAAATACTCTTCTTTTTTTTACTCAATTCCAGGATCTTCAGTTCATTTTATACACAAAATAAAATACAGTTGATTTCTATTGTATTTTACCTTTGCTTTATTTTTTTTGTGAAATCTATTTAAACCTGATTTCACTGCAGATGTCATGCATCCTCTGCAAATACCTCAAGCTTTTGATCGTTGGCATTTGGATTTTGTGGGTGAATTGCCTACAACTGGAAACGGAAACAAATGGTTGTTGACGGCTGTGGATTACCTCACAAACTGGCCTATTGCAAGATCAGTACCAGTAGCATCTATGGAAGCGGTAGCGGATTTTATCTATGAGGAGATTGTCATGCGATTTGGTTGTCCCTCTGAAATTGTGACGGATCGAGGTGCCAATTTTACTAGTGGTCTTGTAACAGCTTACACCAAACGTGTTGGAATAAATCACAAGCTCACCTCGGCATTTCACCCGCGCACCAACTCCAAGGTAGAGCGATACAATGGCGTGATCAAGCAAATGCTTCGTAAGTATGTCTGTGGAATACATCCACTATGATCTGCATTCCGACAGTTCATCCAGTTACCAGATTTAGATATAAACTGTATGTACACTGGATTAGATGTACGATATCGATTTATACTATGATCATGAGAAGATATGGACTTCAGATACGCTAGTACTATAAGATTCATACTATATAAGATATAGGCTATAGATGGCACCACGGACATGGATGGCACTATAGACTTATACTTGTATTCCGACATTGACTACGGATGTTTACCATATCTGGATAGGCACCAAGATTAATGCAATATGAGCTTGTTGCTTCAGATGTGCACTTCATGATCCACGCTATAAGACACATGCTTATATCCGTGATACTAGCTACAGATACTTTATGTACTACAGACTTGTACTATATATGAGACATGCTATAGACATGCATACGATATGCTATAGACATGCCATATATCCAGATACATGCTAAAGATGTATGCTTAGCGATATACACTCAGATATGTACTATTAATATAGACTAAGAAGACTGTACCTATCGGATACATGCTACTAGATCGATATTAATTATCCTTATGGAAAGGATAGATCAGGGTACTTCGGATGAGAGTCTAATTATTCATCCAGACAGAGCTAAATCATGATTAGCTTGCTGGGGTTGTCTTTTAGCATGATTAGACATTAGTTGATCTGAGTTGACTTATTTGTCAATCTAATTAATAGAACTTTTATCCATTGTTATAGTATATAAGAAGGATCATCTACCTGGCCAGTAGAGAGACTTCAGTTTACTTGACACCTGTCAGTTTGATAATAAAATATACCTTTATCAAGTTGACTTTACTGTTTTTTTATTCTTTTTTTTCCGTGAATTTTAGTCTGTAAAGCCTCAAATTCCACAATGTCAATGGTGCTATTCATCGCTGGGATGACTTTGTGAATGCGGCTTTGTGGGCAAGTCGAATTCGAGTGCACTCAACAACAGGCTTTTCCCCTTATTACTTGGTGTATGGACGTGAACCTAGACTGCCTGGAGATGTTTTGAGACCCTATATCACCAAGGAAATGCTGTTGGACAAACGAACGGTAGCTGACCTAACCTCGCGTGAACTAGAACTACTTGGTCAACATCGTGCTGCTGCTGAATTTCGTTTGAAAGCCATGAGCGAAGCGGACAAGAAGCGTTGGGATGCCAAGATTAAACCCACGCACTTCGAAATGGGTGATATGGTTATGCTGACTCATGAAGGCAAATTTGGCCTAGAACCTCGCTACAAAGGACCCTACATTGTGACAAAGGTGTTCCCTGATTTTGGTACTTATCAACTGGAAACTATTGCTGGTGAACCATTACAATCGTTAGTACATGTGGACAGATTGAAAGCAGCGAAAGGTGACAAACCCAGGGAGCCATGGTATGATCCTACTACTAGTCGTCGTGCTGTTCGTGAAGCCGATTCTCTTCGTATGGCCTCAAATACTAGTTCCACTGACCCCAATGGTACCACTGCTACTTCCTCTTCACCATCACCTTCGATTTTCTCATCAAACCCAAGTCTAAATCAACCTCAAGATGATTTTATCGACATGCCAATTTCTGATCAGAGCACGCCAAACAACAGCTCCACTACACAACCTACTACCACTAATAAACCGCCAACTCACTCTCAATATCATCACATACTTACACAACAAATATCAGATGAGGATAGCTCTCTACATGGGAGTAGTGTGATGGATGAAACAGAGGACAACGAACGTGGATTGGGTCAAATCATGGATGGATACGACTTTTTGTCATCTACTGATAGCGATATTGAAGACACAGATCAACCACCAACACTATCCCCACCACATACCATGTCTCCACCACCATCTCCTTCTACAGAATCGTCTTATTTGTCATCTCAGTCTACAGTATCGAATATAAGTAGTGGTGATGCAGCAATAATCAATGAAACAGTCAGTGTTGATACAGATCTTGAACTGGATGAGCGTGTATCAGAGCCAGAAAACACAGAAATGGTGCCAGGTCTTCGAAATGAACCTCATGTTGTTTCTCCTGCCAGCCCACCTTCCGTTATTCAAGCTACTCCAGAACCTGATTCCACTACTACTGTGAATTTTTTCCCTCCTGCTGCTACAAACCAAACTCCCATTGCACTTACTTCTCGTCCTGGGCCACCAAAAAGTACTTTTGTCTTCAAAACTCCTGCCATTCCAAAGATCCACACGCAAAATGAGACCACCCAACCTGCAAAAATCGTCGATCTCTCTTCTCATATGCCAAACACTGCCACTGGTTCATCAAGTTCAAGTGATGTTCAGGGTCGAACATTTGTCTCGAAGGGGGGTGATGTCAGGGTTGAAGGGTATTCTGACAGTGATTTAGATCTGCAGGATATCATTGACAGACTAAACACAAACAAGAATAAGAAGCGCAGGTTTAAACCTAGAGCGCCAGCTACCAGGAACATTAAACAGCGATTAACTTGGATAGCGCACAACATTACACAAACTATATTGGATAAAATCAATGTTCAAATCTAATATTAATAAAGCACCTTTTTATCCATTCAACTAAAAGGCTATAACATCTTCCTGCACACTCTCTATATCTACTTCCATTTATATCTCGATCAGATCTCAGATTGCATATACTATCTCTACGTATTAGCATCTGACAAAGACATAACAAGCAGCATGGCGCAGCAGGAAGCGCGCAGGGCTCATAACCCTGAGGTCGTCTGATCGAAACGGACTGCTGCTATATTTTTTTCCACTTTTATAAAAAGTGGTGTGCGTAGGTTTTTTTTTTTACAAAATGTAATGAATATCATTCATCTGCATGGCCACTTAACCCTCTTTCGTTGGAATAGTATATCAAATAGTCTTGATGAAGCGCTAAAGAGTTCTAGTAACATGGTTGACGTTTGAAAGCAAAATGTTGCGTGTCTCCCTTGAGCTAGCATCAACAGTATGTTAATGCCTTTCTAAATTGTTAAAATCGCGCAAATGCTTAGTTCGGCTTTAAGCAATTAATTGATGTATTCTAAATGCTTTTTATTATTGCTTTAATATCAATATTGATAACAATTATAAGTGGTTTATATAGAGAAAAAAAGGAAAAAAAAATACAAGGTAGTAGTAATTAGGGATAAATAGGAGAGGTCTAATGTAAACTATGCATTTTTTAAATCGTTCATGCGCTCTTGCAATTGCTCATAGGTTTTGGTATCATCGAAAATATCTCTCACTTTACCCATCAAACTCTTGAGGATAAGGCGAGATTGATAACGCCAGTCAGCACAAATGGGAGCACCATCTTGTTGTTTATCACCCAAGTTTTCATACATGTCCACAGTCTCAAGAGCAACAATGGCAACATCTTCAAACACGCTTTGTTCGGTTTCGATGCGAGGGTTGTGCATTACAGATCGATAGGCCTTGACAGAGGTTTCAAGTGCGTCCACGTAACGGCCTTGCCACAAGTAAAACTTGGCACAGATCATCCAAATTTCAGGCGAGTTGGTGATACGGCTTAAAATGACATCTTCCAATAACCTTTGTACATGTTGTGAGAGACGGGCACCATCACGATCATGGGGATCTTTCCAGTTTTGAATCACACTTTCTACAATCATACGCAATACGCCAATATCAACAGCTTCATCACGCACCTTATCCCAACGGAGCTCAACTACACGTTGCATAGCGAAAATAGCATCTGCAAATTGACCCACGTCAATAGACACAAACAACAAGTTTTGCCACATTTTCCAGGAATCAAACTTGACCTTGGTAGCATGCTTCAAAGCCAAATAAGCGTCTGTCTTTCTATCCATCTTGATGTAAATACTAGCCAGGTTGTTCCAAGCTTCAGGTTGATCGTCATCCAATGCAACAACACGTTGGAAAGCGCGAGATCCAACTTCCCAGTTCTCTGTAAACATAGCAGCACAACCAAGGATATACCAGGAGCCCTCAAACAGAGGATTGATGCTGAGAGCTTTTTGGTAGCAATCAATTGCAGATTCATAGTTTTCACGCTTGTATTCATAAGAGCCCAAACTACGCATGGCACGAGCGTATCTGTGATTTGACATTTCCCAAGACTTGCGCCAGTGCTCAGGTTCAGCTTCAAGATCGCCCAAGATGCACCAGTATTTAGGAGAATTGGGGTTCTCCTCCATCAAGCGCTTCAACACATCTTTTGCCTTTTGGGGTTGTTCCATCATTTGATAGCAAGAGATCACATCTTCCCACATTTCAAGGCGCTCAAAGATCTCGACAGCAGAACGAACTACACCAAGAGACACAAAACGGCGAGCCAGCTCACGCTCCATCTCCCACTTGCTGGGCAACAAAAGATCATAGAAATAAGCAAGACGCTCCTCTACACCAGAATCCTCCACCTTGATTTGATCCACCAATGCTTGCAGTTGGAGTGCTGAACGCTCCACGGTACGTCCTTTGTTAGCCTCCAGACGAGAACGCAAAAGCAAACCCATGGTATGTACCATCCAGTTGTTGGCATTTTCGAGCACACGAGTGACATAAGGCACCATTTGTTCAGCAGTGATGCCGTGATCAGGGTTGGTGTTCTTGACATTGAGACAGAAGGCAAGCAATAAGCATTGATCAATGACATTGAGATTGCCATGACGTTTGCTGTTTTCATCTGTGTTCTTTTCGTTTTCAGTAAATTGAATGCGCTCCAGAATAGTGTCATCGTTCAAATCCAAAGTTTCTGGTCGAGCAGCTTCCTCCGTGCCTTCTTCGTCAATTGTGTTGTCCTTCTTTCTACTCTCTGCTAAAACGACGAGCTGGGATACATCGAATGACTGAAACTTGGTACGACGACCCAGCGAACCGGTTAAAGACCAAGTGAATCCGGATTCCTTTTGTGCTGACTCCATCTTTTCCAAAGCCTCTTTATCTTGTCCAAAATAACTGTAAATCAATGCGACCTCGAGTTCATGACGGATTTTGAGAGCCTCCTTGGATTCAGCCTCCACAATGGCGGCAGATTGTACTCTTTCAGCACTTTCCTTGGCCAATTCCATCAATTCAGACTGAAGTGAGCCCGTGAATTCGTCTAATAATTGCTGTTGGATAAAGACTGAGCGCATGGCCCAGAATGAGCCTGTCAGCGTGGTGTTACGGACAGCATATAATAAAGCACGGGCAATAGTCAAGAACCCAAGCTGCTGAGTGAGGTGATACACTTCTTCACTATCGACAGAAAGGGATTTGAGACAGGCTCCATGCATTCTGATTTCGCAAATGTCCTCCTTTTGACCGAAAAACAGCTCTGATACTGAGAAGGAGGGAATAGGGCCAGTCCAATTGATCTGCACAAATGTGTTGAGACATGCGATACCAGTGGCAAGGACTTCGAAGCGATCCAATTCGTTTTCCAATGAAATACTGGCAAGTTTGCTGTCGACCCAGTTTTGAATGTTGCCATCCTCCTTCAGCATCTCCGAGTCTTGTTGACAGTTGTTGAATACAATGCTGTTTTTTATAACATTGGCATAACGACCTTGTTGGATGTCAGATACGATAGCTGTGAGTTTGTCGTTGTTGTTGTCCAACTTCAGCTTGCTACTGAGAAGTGTAGCTATTTCTGCTTGTTGGAATGCCATTCTATCTTGTATGCGATGATCAAAATGTATGCAAAAAAGTGGTACTCCAAGAAAAAAACGATCCCAAAATATTTAAGCTAATCCAATAAGCCACAATGTCTATTTGTAAGGCAAAGGAAATTGACGGAACTTGATGGAAGCCGTAAATTACTAATGGCTTGAAATTTTTTGGCATCAGTGGATCGTCCAGATAACGCAGACTTTGACATGTAGCTGGGATGATGCAAATCTAAATGTCTTTTGGTTTGGTTTATCTAATAAAAGCTCAAATTTGATGCTGATTTGATGGCATTCGATTAAAAAATTTCCCTATTTCTTGATTTGGGGATGCCTCAATACATTATCAGGGCAGATAAAGAACCTCGAGCGATTAGATCCTGACAGCTCACATACATACAGTGAAAAGGGCTCTTTCTGAGCTGTCGGCTATACAGGGCTAGAGCATCTAAACTGTGTTTTTCTCAAAGGATGAGTCAGGAAGAAAGAGAAACTTCAATTTCCGAATTCCTTACTATTTTCATGCAAAGAATGGTATATGTGAAGGAGGTATCGACCTTGCCATTATGAATATCTATTTGGGTCGATGTTTGTTTTTGGAATTCGAGTGCTATGATATAATTACGTAGGGTACAAGACCTTTACTATATCCATCTGATTGACACTTGAATTTTCTCACAATGCCTATCAAAAAAATTGTTTCTAATGATATGTAAATGTATTGCCCTGCCTCTATCAATACTTCATCTAGTATCACTAGGCAACTGATGCTCAAAACAACTAAAGCATCTTATCTGCTGATGACATTTGATTCAATCACAGCATTGTAAATTCAAGTTGTTTGGTAACACCAAAAGGTACAAACCCCCCCCCCCCCGAGAGAGAGAGAGAGAAAGAAAGAGAGAGAGAGAGAGAGAGAGAGAGAGAGAGATAGAAAGCGAGTGTAAGATTTCATCACCTTCATACACCATACCAAAAAGAGGTTATCCCAGAAAAAAGTGTATATAAAATAAACCAGGTTTGTATCCACACTTCCACACACTCTCTCTCTTCTCTCTTCTCTCTTCTCTCTTCTCTTTCTTCTTTCTTTGCCTCATTGTAAACAAAAATGATTAGCGCATTTCTATCTCGCAAAACCGGTGTAAAACATCCTGTGCCTCAAATCAACGGTACTGAGGACCAACAGCAGGCTGTCAATGAGATTCATCATCAATTTAATGTAACAACCGAGAAAGCACGTACTATTGTCAAGCAATTCATGGAAGAGATGCAAAAGGGTTTAGATCATGAGGGCGCCACAAGTATATAATGCAAATGTGATGGAACCAAATGGCAAAACTAAACGTTTCCTTTAACAGTGCCCATGATCCCCAGTTTTGTCACAGGCCGTCCCACTGGCGATGAGAAGGGCAAGTACCTCGCTTTGGATTTAGGTGGAACGAATCTTCGTGTATGTGAATTTGAATTGAAGGGTGATGGTCAGTTTTCAGTGCATCAACAGAAATATGTGGTAGCAGAAGAGCTCAAGACGGGAGAAATGCGTCGCCTCTGTGATTTCATTGCTGATTGTGTCGATAACTTTGTGTCTGAATATGGTGATGACCGTGCTCATTCTACAGAGCATCTTCAATTGGGCTTCACCTTTTCCTTTGCTGTCAACCAAACTGACATCAACAGAGGCACTTTGATGCATTGGACAAAGGGATTCAGCTGCTCTGGTGCCATCAACAAGGATGTCGTCGTCATGTTGCAAGACTCCTTCCTTCGCAAAAATATTCATGTGAATATCGCTGCTGTAAGTAGAAAACGTTTTTTCCCTCTTTCTTTTTTTTTTTTGCCCCTGCCCCTCTGTTATCCAACTTTTCCCAGTGTGTGCGTGTGTGCTCATGTGTACAAGGGGGCTCAAACGGGAATTCTGAATGGGTTTGGGGGGGGGAGGATCACACTATGAAACGAGATGGAGATAGATCATATACAGCTGATGGAAGGTCTCACCACTGTTTTGCTTTTCACATATAGCTTGTAAATGACACTGTGGGCACGCTGATGGCCAATGCTTATCGTCGTCCTGATACGTCCATGGGTATCATCCTTGGCACAGGAACCAATGCTGGTAAATTTTACCCTTTTTCTCCCAAATCCAATTTACTCACGCACAATCTATATCATATAGCATACTATGAGAAACTCAAAAATATCAAAAAATGGAAGGGAGGAGAGCAAGTGTTTGAAGAAATGGTCGTCAACATGGAATGGGGGGCTTTTGATCGTGAGCGTCGTGTATTACCACTCACCATCTACGACAATAAACTCGACCGTGAGTCCATCAATCCTCGTGAACAGCTGTTTGAAAAGATGATGTCTGGTATGTATCTGGGTGAAATCGCTCGCAATGCCATTCTTCAATATGTCGACCATCACGTTCTGTTCAATGGCCTGTCTTCACCTGATCTCAACAAGCAATGGGGCTTCGAAACCTCGTACATGTCAACCATTGTTGATGATGATTCATCTGATCTTGTCCAAGTGCGTCATATCTTGGAAGAAACACTCCTCATTCCCTCGACTACCTTGGGCGATCGTCAAGTGGTTCAAGCAATCTGTAAGGCAGTGGGTCGTCGTGCTGCTCGTCTGGCTGCTTGTGGTGTTGCCGGTGTCTTGGCTCACACGGGCGGATTAGATGCTGATTCTGTTGTTGCCATTGATGGCTCTGTTTACGAATTCTTCCCTCATTTCGAAAAGCACATGGTAAAGGCACTTGAGGAGCTCTTTGGCGATGAGGCTACCAAGCACATCAAATTCTCTTTGGCTAGAGATGGCTCTGGATTTGGTGCTGCTATGATTGCCATGATGGCACACAAGGCTGCATTGGCCAAATCCAACGGAACAGCTTAAATCTGCCCTGTAACAAGTTTCTTTTCTTTTAACAAATCACTATTCTTACCCTTCTGAGAAGGCATTTCTTACCCTTTATCCTACTTTTGTAAACATAATGAATAAAAACTCCTTTTTTCTTTTCTTTAGTCATCTTGAACAATGGTATCTTATCGAGCTAAACACTTGGTTAGAGTTTCAAGATCATTCGGCGGAACCCTGACACTTTTAATTGTAACACGTAAGATGTAACGAGCCAGATGTATATTGAGATGAGAAAGTTGGATGAATCATTCCTTTTTTTTTACCGTACGCTGCCTCGCGCTAAATAAATACTTGTATGATAATCAGGTACAATGGTAAAATGATCTATTTTAACATCCATCTTTCCACGGTTGTCGTACTCTGTTGAGCCCCTTGTGTCAAATGACTTTATGATATATCTGGTTGCTGTAAAATTCAATTTAATCCAGTCCTCCCTATCCGTGCTTTTAATATTTGAAGCATTTTGGTACATGTTTCCAGCATTTGTAATGATTATGCAATCATTCAATGTATACAATAATGATATACAGCACGAAACATACCACATGATGTACATTATAATACTTGACCCGCCTACACCACTACACTCCTATTATCCAGCTATTAACAGCTTGAAATCGTGTTCTCCATAGTTCAAGCTTAGATTACAATGCAAGGAACATGGCGAAGCTTGCATTAACGAAGAACGCTGATGACATTCGTTGTACTGTAATCGCAATGTTGCATCCAGACTTATACACTGTACTTCTCTGGAGGTAATTTGTTACAAATGTGTGCAATCATGACTGGTAAGTCTGATATCATTATCCACATTCAATATCATATATCCCAAATCGACGTTCTTCCATCTATATTCAAGAAAACCCTGATAACCGGTGAGTGGTACGAAGATTATCTAAGCACAAAGACAAGTTGAGGAACCAAACTGTACAAAATCATACCGCATTTTTCCTGAATTCAGTCCTCGGTACTTGAGTTTTGCTTCAAGATTGAAACGTTATTCTTTGGGAGTCTTTTGATTGTATGACACTTGTGTTACTTTTAATATAAACTTGTAATCAACTACTGGATACTAAATAATACCGTCGTATGCTCTTCCTCAACACTGAATGCTTTCACATGACGGATGAATAGCTTCTGCAAATCGTGTGATACAGCTTAAGTGCATCAAAATTCCTATGGTCAGAGCCGAAATCCCACGCAAAGTGTGTGTATTGGCCTTTATTAGTCAGAATAAAAAGCCATCATAGAGCCATAATTGAAGTAAATGCACATATTTTAAGACGGTGCGTTGTACACCTTTAATCAAATGCATATCGTTATTCAAGGCTATCGCTATAAAGAGGCATTTACAATACAAATATACATACAATATATGAGATGAAAGCTTTATTAAACAGAATAGAGCAAACTTCTGTTGTTTTCGTTGACAAACACAATGATTCACAGAACCCAACTTCAACTATTCCATCTTGATGTCCGGGTCTCAAGAATTTCACTCATTATTTATACGCAATACAGATATTCAGATCATGTAACTTTAAGGGTATAATGCGATAAATCTCAAACAACTTCTCTAATAAAACATGCATTGGATGAACTTTCTGTAACGCACGTGAAATGTACCTGGAATTGTTTCTAGCTATACACCGCAAACATCTAGCAATCACAAAAAACATATGTGCTTTACATAGTACGAGTATGTCTACGCTTTCGACGGCTTTTTACCTACGCTTCGCTTCGATGAGAAGCAACCTGCGAAGCGGCAGCTCGCGCTACCGATTGCCCCTGCATATCTTATCAAAATACTGCCACTTCATTTTGACCCTCCACTTACATATGAAAACCCTTCATATTATCTGTGGATCTGAGTCTTATGTGATGCTCTACATCCGTATGCAGGTAGCTATTTCATATACGGGCAAGCAGCATTCTGATAGCTCCCCTTTTAGTCCTTAGTGTCCCTGATACAGCAAAATATGGATGCATTTGAGCTGTGTTTTCTCGCGTTGGAAGCCGTTTTAGTTCGTCAGGATTGCATCAAACAATTGCTCTCAGCTGGCAGTTACTTATTGCCACTTTTGCTCAACTTTTTGGGGACCAAAAAAATATAGCCAAAATATGGCCAAAATTCGACCAAAAAGCATGAGGTACCCCTCATGGTTTTCATCGAAAATCAAACGATCGCGTTTTTCACCTTGATAATGAAGACTTTCACTATGATATGTATTAAATCAATTTTTTTTGTATTTAAAAGTGTCTTTTATTGAGAATAAAGAAAACGACAGTACGGGACCATGAGGTTGCTTACATATCGCCTAAGAAAGAAGAAATCAATTTGAAGTGATCGGCGAGAAAAGAGGAGAAAACTATCTGAGTACGCCATGATTTACCATCAAGAGAACAGCTCCAATGATGCTGCCATAGAGAAGAGAAAGCAGCTCCAAGAAGTTCCAAGATGGAAATATCTAGAGGATTTTTTTCCTGGTCGTGAAGGGTAGAGAGACCAATCCAGATGGCATTGTCCGTAGGGAACAGATCGGAAAGACCGAGGTGGGAGATGACCTCAAACCAGAAGAGGGATTTCATGTCACAGCCGACGACCAGATGGTATTCATCTTCAGGTGCTTCAGTACACAACTTACAGAGTGTATTAAATCAAAATGTTTCTATCGATCTAACGTAACCCCTGAAAATCGCCTTTGTGGAACTTTGATATGTGAAATTTCGACTTTTTGGTCAGAAACCTCTTTTCATATTTTTGTAAATTACTCAATAAGTTTATTCAAAACATCTATCTTATTTGGTACCATTGGATGCGCCTTGAAAAGCACTCCAAAAAAGCTTATACATTTTTTTTTGTAGGGGAGTCGAGCTCCAGGTTTTATTTAAAGTCCTTAAAATGTCATACTGAGGGAAAGAAAAGACTGTTGGTGGACCCAATGTCTGATATGATGGGGAATAAGATATATAATGAACTAAGTTGGGAGAGAAATCTACTACTAATCAGGTGCGGCACCTAGAGCCAATACAATCATGCGAATCGTCAAAATATGGATACTGGATAAGAGCACAAAACACCAAACGAGGACATCAGTACTATGTCAAAATAATCACCAAAAATTCATTCATTGAGATTTGAACCGGGATCATCCAGATGGCATGTTGGATGCTTAACCACTTCGCCCTACCACCACGGGCGCCAAAAAAAGCTTATACATGGGATAATTATCAGACTTTATATAGTCGAATTTCACAAAATAGTTCAATCGATTCGAAAAAACACAAAATTTGGCCAATCTAAAGCTGAACACGAGCCTGAGTTTGAACTAATTTTGGCAGATGCTGTGAGGCCAGCTAACAAACTCAATGCCCTTCTAATCATGAAGGCAGTAATAGATGCTTATTAAGTCAGTGGAAAATAAGTGGCAAATTATATAATAGTATTGTTAGCCATGATATTTTTTTGAAGCCTTGCTGTTGCAATTCGGTACATCATTGTTGTCGCTGACAATTGCTACAGGCGCGCCCTTTCTGAATGCTGCGACCAGGGAGAACTTGATATTTTTCTGAAAACCTCGAAAAACCAAAGACGTTATAATATTAAGATTAAATTTATTTTACATTTAAATTGTACTTGTACATTTCTCGCTGCAAGCAATGAATATTTAGTAAATATAAAGAAATGAGCAGTTATCAAAAGCTGTCGCATTAAACAAGATTAGTTCTTGACAACAATAGGACCAGAAGTCCAAGATTCCCAATCCTTCTTCTCCTTGGGGTTACCGAGAAGCTTCAAAGCAGTGAAACGGAACTTGTAGGTACCTTCAACAGCAGCGATAGGAAGGGGAGCATGAGAGATGGAGGCAGGGACATAAGTACCATCCCAAGCAATTTGAGTGTAGACTTGATCACCAGTGAGGAAGTTACGGCCAACATAATTAAGACCAGTGACGAATTGACCAAGGACCTTGTTGGTCTTGGCATCCAAGAGTTCAGCGTTGATTTTAGGAGAGGGAGTCAACAAACGCAAAACGGAGATGGGAGCAGAGTTAGCAACTGAGCGATCAAAAGTGAAAGTGTCCTTTTGGCCATATTCTTTGCTCTTTTGGTCAATGATAGTAGGGAAACCAGTATCAAAGATAGGCAATTCCTTTTGCTTACCAACAACACCAAAGTAAGGGACCTTGAGGTCCTTACCCTTGCTTTGTTGCTTGGACTTGATGTGAATAAAACCTCCATAGAAGATATGGTCCTTGGGGTTGGTCTTGGGAGGAGTAACAGTAACCTTGATCTTTTGAGACTTGCCAGGAGCAAGCTTGAAAGTCTTCTTGGAGAAACGCAACTTGGCAGCAGCGACAGTGTTACCGGCGGGTTCAAGAGGAGTGTAACCAGAGGCCTTGACATCATAAGGAGCAACACCAGTGGCAACATCGTTAACAACTTCATATTGAATGGTCGTGGAACCGTGGTTGGTGACAGTGATGGTTTGAGTTCTATATTTGGTGGTGGCAGTGTCGTTGAAACTGATTTGAGCAGGAGAGATGTGGGTCTTTTGGGTGATGGTGTCATAGACTTGAACAAGACCAGCACCTTGACGGATGGGGTTATCAAGCTTGGAAGATTGGTATACGTTAGTGGAGTAAGCGTAGTTTTGGAATTGTTCGTTGATGTAAGCAATGGGCTTCTTCTCCTTCTTGTGGGCGTTCAAGTACAAGGCAACGGAGCCAGCAACGTAAGGAGCAGCCATACTGGTACCAGACATGACACCGTAGCTATCGAGATAACGAGGCAAAGTGGAGTAGACGTTGCCACCGATACCAGCAATGTTAGGCTTGAAGTTGAGTTCAGCAGAGGCACCAGTAGAGGAGAAAGTAGAGACAGTCTTGGCGTTTTCAATGGGTTGAAGAGAGCCCTTCTTGTTGAAGGTAAGAGTGACAGTACCAGCCTTGATAGCAGCCAAGAGAGCCTTACCATCAGCGTTGGAGATGGAGAGGACGGGGATAGTGACACCTGGAACAGAGGGAGAGATAGATCCAGCAGCATTGTTATAGATGATGACACCAATGGCACCAGCAGAAGCAGCATTGTTGACCTTATCAGCAAAGGCACAACTACCTCTTTGGATGAGAGCAATCTTGCCACTGACAGCAGAATCAATTGAGCCAGCAGTACAAGCTTCACCAGTATTGGCACCAGACTTGTCACCATAAACAATGGGGCCGTTAGCGAGCTTGGAATCATCGTTGGCAGCAGTGTAGAGAATATCATGATCAACACCAGTGGCCTTGAGGTCCTTGGAAACGTAGTAACCGTTCTCAACAGAGGCAACAGAGAAGGCATTGATAGCAGTACTGGGTTGACCGACAGTGTAGATACCTTCAGCACCAGAGTTACCAGCAGAGATGACAACTAAATGAGGGTTCTTATCAGTTATCTGTTATCACGCCAGCGTCATTCTCTACTTACCACTGACACCCTTCTTGACAATCTTGTTGACAACATCAGCCTCAGCATCGGTAGTGATGGACCAAGAGTTGGTTTCACCCAAACTCAAGTTAATCACATCAACACCAGCATCGTAAGCCATCAAAAGAGCCTTGATGACGATATCGTTGGTGACACTACCCTTACAGCCAAACACACGCCACATACCGAGGTTAGCTTCAGGAGCAACGCCAGTAAAGTTCTAGAGCATTTGTTTAGTAGATATTCTCGTACGCATCTTATATATGATACTCACAGTAGACTTGTCATAACCAGCAATGATACCAGAGACATGAGTACCGTGGCCTATGCAAAGTATAGAAGATGAGATGAAAGGCACTCTCTATGACACAATTGGACTCTTACCTGAAGCTCCAGAAGCAGCACCACAGGCATCGAGAGGGTCGCTGTCAGGCTTGGGAGCGTTCAAACCAGTGTAAGCATCACCGACCAAATCATAACCTTTGATGACCTTGAAACCTTTACCAAAGCCTCCGCCCAAAGCAGGATGCAAGTAATCAACACCTGTATGCAACAAACAAAGATTTTCATGTCAATATTTATGTGTATATGTCATCCAACATTTAATGATGTTACCTGTATCGAGAACGCCAACAAAGATACCCTTACCCTTGTTCTTGAGCTCAGAGTGGACTTTATCAACTTGAGTCAAGGCGTGAGGCAAAACTGAGGGGGCCTTCTTGGAGCCCTTACCGCCAAGAGTGACCTTGGGACGCTCGATGGTTCTGACAGGGTAGATAGCTTCAACGTCAGATCTATCGAGGAGAGACTTGAGGGCAGCAGTGTGAATTTCCTCATTAGAAGTATCAATGTCGACAGAGATACCGTTGAAGAAATCGTGCTTGAAGTTTTCCTTGACCTTCAAATCGGCACTCTTGAATTCTTCGGTGAAAGATTGTGTGAAAAGTGTACCTGAATTTTGTTGTTGACCAGAGAAGCTGATAATGTAACGTCCAGGAACAGTGTTGGAGGAGCCCTTGATGTACTTGGGGTGAGAGATCTTGACAGCCTCAGCTGTCATAACAAAGACAGCCAAACAGACACCTGCCACTACGATAGGGAAGATGGAGAATGAGTTCTTTTTCATTTAAGGAAAGGAAAGTGAGTATTAAAGAGAGAAAGAGAGAAGACGAAAAAGGATTGTTATGGGGGTATTACTACTACTACTGATGGATAAGCAGCAAGCAAGAAAAAAAATTGTTTATGATGACAATCTGATACAGGAAAATCAAGATGTTTATATATGAAAGAGCTGTCAAGGTGGCACTAACCTATACAACTGATTACACATGGTAGAAGACTCTTTGTTTGGTATGCCTTAAACCGAGTTTAGGAAGAAAATCCTAGTTTAGTAAGATCCTCTGTACTCGTGTAAAATATATAAATGCTTGTGCTACATGAATTCATTAAATACAATATTCTCGGTCGATCCTATACTGTTGGATCACATTATATATATGGAGCAAACTTCCAATAATGGCGAAAACCGATCGTTTTTGAGTGGACTGTCTATGTACAATGAAGTTTCATCTTCATTGGGCTTTCAATGACAGCATGGCCCTGAACCTGCAGCATTTATAGCCATTGCGCTTCTCATCATGCAGTTAGCGTCTGCTTTTCATGCGCAATGGCTTTGGTCAATGACTCACAAGGCAGACAGGAGGGAACAAACGCCATTGCATCAGAGTATGAATGCATTGCAATGGTGCTTACACAAGACGATATGGTATTTTTAGAATTTCCATCAGTCAATGGAGCTCAATTGCATAGATAGCTATGCGTGCTTCAACATTGCACAGCATATGATTTGATGCATTATATTATAGTTCTCTAGATTCAACCTTAATTCTGGAGATTCCATCATGACGGTAAATAGGAAGCCATGTACATAGATTGCCTTGTCAAAAGCAACACTGTGAGAAATATGGGCCCCAAACAAGCAAGAGGATCGAGCATCAATGACTGTTACAAACTACTATTCAGGTAGCAATAAGAACATACAAGCACACACACACACACGATTGATCAAGTAGAATGCCATATACGAAAGACAAGGACTCGTGCTGATCTTACAAATTTAGCATGTCGTACCTGAATATTGCATATTTTTAAAAGAGCCAAATGTTCTAGAGATATACTGGGTTATCATGAGAAGCAAAATGATACCATTCAGCAAAAGATAGCGGAACAAGCGAGGATGATCATTTGTCCGTTGCACTGCTTTCAGTGATTGCATTGTCATGGATACTCTTTCTGGTTTCCTGATTCCATGCAACATTAAAAGCCTCATTTCAATGAATTGGATCGCAATTAGACGGATTGAAGTTGTTTGTATTCTCACCGAGAATTAAATGAGAGAGGTGGATTTTATGTATTCATAGCTTATTCCATGAGCAATGCAAGCCAGCATGATGCTTTAAACGAACCCCAATCCTATTGCAATTTAGTTGGTGTGACTCCTGTAATATCAGATGCGATCTCTCTGTGGTGCGGAGGGATTAAGGGGGAGAGGCAAATAAGAGGGCGAGCGAAAGAGTCAAAGAGAGAGAGAGAGAGAGAGAGAGGAGAGCAGAGGCAATGAGAAGAAACACAATCTTTTATAACTTGTTAAATTACAATACAAAATGGCAACATCTTCACCTTTATACCCGCCCTCTGTCAACAATGCCAACAATCAGCTGCATCCTGGCTTATATGAATATCTGGCAGAACTCGTTTCGAAGCGAGTGGCCACAATCAAATACATTCGAAAAGCACACGAAGGCACTACACACTGGTTCAACACAATTTTACTAACCAGAGACAATTTGACAAGCATGTACCCCAACTCAAAGATGATCAAGAGGTGACTATAGACAAGCAGAAGCATTTGAAAGAGATAGGCACTCATCTAGCTGTATGTGTGTATCAGAACAAACCACTTTTACGCTTTAGGCTTATCTTTAGGTGCCATTTTGGATATCACCAACCCAGTGGATTACATCAAAGCACTGAGCCAGATCATGACTGAATTCGAGCGACATACCAGCGATGATTCCAAGCAAAAAATGGTAATTGATCTATTCTTTTAGCTGTCGATATGGATGCTTATGCGACATCAATCATAGAAAAACATCTTTCGAAAAGCCAAATCCAAAGACGAGAGTGCATTGGACAATACAGGCGACTACGGCTATTTGATCATTCCACACATTGTATGTATGATATCAACTGGATCTCATGCACTGGATATTAACCGCTCTATCACAGCCATTTGAGATGGATTACTTTGAAACATTTTTTACATTGATCGATATCATGGTAGAGGCGTATTACAAGCTGCTTGTGGGTACTGAAGGGCCTATTTGCACACAAGCTTACTTTGAGTTGGTGCTCAAATGCGATGGAAAGTTCAAGGTGAGTGACAGAAAGGGCTTGTTTCAGCATGTGCAATGACCAACCTCTGTGTATGCTAGAAAATTGTGGCAATGATCACCAAGGAGCTTGATCTGCTAGCACGCAATGCCATCAAAGACGAGCTCAAACTGATTGATCCACTCTGCTCTCTGGCCAAGGTATCTTCTCCTATTGAATTGGATCCATCTCTTGCTGATGCCTAGCAAGGGAGTTTCAATGTCCCTCAAGCAGCATTTCGTAATGTGGTCAGCTTTGGACTAATGCTTTTCCCTCTCTCTTTTTTTTTTCTTCTTCTTCTCCTCTTATATCATTGTAACGCAAAAACCAAAATACAAATAATAAATAATACCTCGTATCGCATCAAACCATACATACATACACATATTGACACAACACTATGGATTATGTCGGAAGAATCGGTAGTCTCATCACATCGTTGAATAACTTTTACAACGAAATAAATCCTGCAACATTATCGGGTGCCATTGACATTATCGTGGTCGAGCAAGAAGATGGCGAACTTGCGAGCTCTCCCTTTCATGTGCGGTTTGGCAAGCTGTCTGTTTTGCTGCCTCAGGAAAAGAAGGTAAGGATTCTATTACTACAGCTACGGACGAGATGACAGAATTTGGGGAGGGGGAGAAAATGAAGGAGTGAGAGGGCAATTATGTCAATGCAAATGTCGGAGTGTGGTAGTATCCATCATTTGGGGTTTTGCTACATGTGTGAATATGGCATGTATAACTGATCATATGCTCTCATTAGGTGGAAATCAGTGTCAATGGGGATAAAGTGCCTTACCTAATGAAAGTGGGTGAAGCTGGAGAGGCCTTCTTTGTCTTCGAAACAGACCATGAAGTTCCCGAAGAATTTCAGACATCTCCCATTTTGCAAGCATTAGCAGAAAATAGGTCCGATGTTGAGGTAAGGGCCCCAAACATTTGGCTAAAGTTATACTGTGGTTGCCGTATTGACGAAACTCTCGTATTGAAGGAACCTCCCTTCCTGGACATTAGCGAGCACAAGGACGAAAAAGGTAATGCCAAGTAATAGGATGATCATGCCCTGAGGTATTTAACGCAATAAACCCTTTGTAGATGCCTCTGAGCAGACCAAAGATACCTTTGAAGACGACGATGCCAACAACGACCACGACAAGAAGATACCAGCTGAATTGCAGTCGCCCAAGATGATCATTGAGGAGCAGATGGACAAGGTGGTCACCAAAATGGACCCGTTCCAGCATACGATGGAGGATACACATCAGCCTAAGCCCGAGAACAATTTGTACGCGATGGACGATGGGTCAACCTTATTGGAGCGAGTGACCCCTGAGGCTATCACCACTACAACTATAGCGAAAGAGAGATTCATTGTGAGACCGGTCGATGGAGATATCAACTCTTTGTGGATGGATGTCACTCACACGGCAGAACAAGACTTGAAACTACCGGCAGAAAATATCTCGAAAAAGACAAACGATGGCTCAGGGGAGAAGGAGTCGATTGTACTAGATATCTCTGGTTACAAAACGCAACAAAAGGGCCAGCAGGAAGAGGAAGAGGAAGAGGAAGAGGAGGAGCAGGAGGAGGAGGAGGAAGGTGTATCAGCACAGCAGCAGCAGGAGGTTCCTACTACAGAATCACAAAAGACAGCACATTTATTGACTGAACAACCTGATACAAGCACAGAAGCCGAACATAATGCATCTTGGGGCTGGGGCAAATCCCATGCTACTAACGAGTCCAAGGAACAGGAGGAATCCACGACATTGGTCAAGGAGCTCCAAAATGAAAATGAAACAGTGCAGCTGAAATCTGGCCAAACCTACCGTATAGAGATGAGTTTGTGTGGGTTTTCGGCATTCGGCTACGATCAAGATGAAAATGCCCTGCTCTTCAATAACCAGCAAGTGAGCTACGATGCCTTTGTGCACAACCCAAGCATTCTGAACGATCCTCGACTTGTGTTTCGTTACAGGAACCATTATTTTGCTGCTGTAAGAAACAGCCCATTGTTTACCTCGTTGCTGATATTCAAGAAACCATTGGAAAAGGAGGACACATCCAGCAACAAGGTGTCGGATAATCGAGAGTCGTATTCGTATGGTGTTGGTTGGAGACAGTGGTTGAGTCGCTCATCGTCCGCAGATCCAGTACCTACACTTGGAACGCTCGAGAAGGGAGACATTGGCAGCAGTGAACATGATCAGCAAGTGCCAGACGCAAATAGCCAGCAAAATGCACCATTTACAGGCGAGCAAACAACATTCACAACCACCACCAAGACCACATCTGTAGGCTGGAGCCCAGATCACACCCATGACGATGGTCCCTTTTTCACCAAACGTAAAAACTATGCCAAAACGCTTCGTCTCACATCTGAACAGTTGAGGAATTTGAACCTCAAAAAAGGTGTCAATACCATCAGTTTCTCTGTTAGTTCAGCGTATCAAGGCACTGCTACATGCGTCGCCAAAGTGTTCTTTTGGGACTACGATATTCAAGTGGTAATATCAGACATTGACGGCACCATCACCAAGTCAGATACCATGGGCCATCTCATGACCATGATTGGCAAGGACTGGACACATGCTGGCGTAGCTCAACTGTACACGGACATTGCCAACAATGGATACCACTTTATGTACCTCACCAGTAGAGCCATTGGACAAGCAGATTACACCAGAGACTACCTCAAAAAAGTGCTTCAAGGCAATTATCAGCTTCCAGATGGGCCTGTTATCATGTCGCCTGATCGCTTGTTCACTTCTCTGCATCGTGAGGTGATTATGAGAAAGCCAGAAATGTTCAAAATGGCTTGTTTACGTGATATTCAGCGATTATTTGGCGGACGAGACCCCTTTTACGCTGGTTTTGGTAACCGTATCACAGATGCCATCTCATATCGTAGTGTCAACGTGCCGTCCTCGAGGATTTTCACCATTGATGCACAGGGCGATGTCAAACTGGAGCTTGTGACAGGGTTTAAATCATCGTATGTTCATCTGAATGACCTGGTAGATCAGATATTTCCACCCATTGACAAGACTATTCAAGAGGAATACAGCGATTACAATTTCTGGAAGCCTCCTATGCCTGAAATCAATATACCAGAGTTGGAAGAAGAAGGACCTCTACCGACATCGCCCAAGCCAAAGCCCATCAAGCCAGATCCAACAAGTCTCCCCAAAGAATCAGTGGTTGCATTTGAACCAGAGCCTAAGCGCGGCATCTTGCGTAGCTTCACATCCAGGTCTTCCTCGAGTTCCATCACCACTAAAAAGGCAGCACTTGTCAAGAAACCATCCTTACTCCCACAACCATCACTAGCCAAGACACTGTCATCGCACAATAGTGCCCCTGATCTGACGATCGAAGCAGCAGCCCACAGCAAAGTGCTATCTGATGACGATGATGATGCAGACTCAATCAATTTAGCGTCGCCTAGATCACTGCCAGATGATTACAAACCATCCACCATCGAGCCCGATAATAGCATAGCACCACCGCAACCTACCACCCGAGCAAGGTCATCTTCAAGTATCATGAGCAAGGTCATTGGTGGTGTATTCTCTCGACGAGTAGTAAGTCATAGTGATCTGAACCTGAGCAAGAAGCCATTAGCTGAGGAAAAGCAGAAAGAGAAGGAGAAGCAGCAGCCGCAAGAAGACAATGAAGATGATCTGTATGCGTCTGAAATGGATGATTTGGATCTAGACGAGATTCCCTTTATATAAACCATTTTTTGCATTTATATATATATACATACTTAATCCTTATTTAATGCTGTACAATAAACATTTATATCAGAGAGAAGAGATGGTGCCACAAGCATAGTGAGCCATGATGATCTACTTTGTAGCACACTGTATCTCCTGGGTTTCAACGCGTCCAACTCACATACACACGACGGATGACAAAGAGAGGCATGAATTGGTGACCCGAATAAATTGCAATTACAAGTGGTGCTTTGACATGCCATCAGGATGTGTGTGTGTGTGGCGCAAGTGACCCATTACTCATCATCATCGTATCCAGGCAACAAAGCCATTGCCCTGGTGGATGCTGCTGTCAAATCAGATTGGTTTGCGTAATGAATCCGTAGCAATGATCTGATCCAGCAACACATATTCGACAACGTAGATGGATGCTTATGGCCAGTGACTGTTTGGAAAGTTGTAGAAGCAAGCAAGCACATTGGCATCCATTGCCATAGGGACATATGTTTGATCTGGAATCTTCTTGAAGATTGGAATGTCTTGATGAAAGACGATGCTTAGACCCATTGAGTCTTAGCGTAGTCTACCTTTCTTACTTTATCTCTCCTTCTCCCTTGATGTCATTCACACAAATACATTGGAGTTGATCCCCGCTTATTTAGCTTTGTGCAAATTTGACATGGGCAATCCTGATTCGACCAAAATTCACCTAGATTTATGTAGATGAACAAGCCAACATGTTCGGTCCACTAAATTAAATCGAGTTTAAGCCAATCAAGACATGATACATGGACGTCTTTCAATTTCTTCATTTCCTATATAAATACATCCAACTCCCTCATCTTCCTCTTCTTCTCTTCAACGTCAAGTTATAATATTATAAAGATGCAAAATAAGGCCTCATTACTGGCCCTTTTCGCCGTTATTCTTGCGCTGTTTGTCAGCACCTTTGCTGTTCAAGCTGCTGCTGAAGATAAAGAAGCCTATGGCACAGGTAATGTATACATATTCAGGACAATTGGGATTGAGACACGGGTTGACTGATACGCGTTATTTTGTAGTGATTGGTATCGATTTGGGTACTACCTACTCTTGTGTTGCTGTTCAAAAGAACGGTCGTGTTGAAATTATTGCCAATGACCAAGGTCATCGTATTACCCCTTCCTATGTCGCCTTCACTGATGATGAACGTTTGATCGGTGATGCCGCCAAGAACCAATTCTCTGCTAACCCTGAACGTACTGTCTTTGATGCTAAGCGTCTTATTGGTCGTCGTTTTAACGACAAGGAGGTCAAGCAAGACATGAAGCACTTCCCCTTCAGCATTGTCAACAAGAACGGCGCTCCCAACATCAAGGTTGCTGTCAAGAACGAAGACAAGGTCTTTACTCCTGAGGAAATCTCTGGTATGGTCTTGACCAAGATGAAGGAAACTGCTGAAGCCTACCTCGGCAAGCCTGTTACTCATGCCGTTGTTACCGTCCCCGCCTACTTCAATGATGCCCAACGTCAAGCTACCAAGGATGCCGGTACTATTGCTGGTCTTAACATTATTCGTATCCTCAATGAACCCACCGCCGCTGCTATTGCTTACGGTTTGGACAAGAATGAAGGTGAGAAGAACGTCCTCGTCTATGATTTGGGTGGTGGTACCTTTGATGTCTCTCTCTTGTCTATTGATGATGGTATCTTTGAGGTCTTGGCTACTGCTGGTGATACCCACTTGGGTGGTGAAGATTTCGATGCTCGCGTCATTGATCACTTTGTCAAGCTCTGGAAGAAGAAGAACGATGGCGAAGATATTACCAAGGACCTCAAGACCATGAGTAAGCTCAAGCGTGAAGTTGAAAACGCCAAGCGTGCTCTCTCTTCTCAAATGTCTGTTCGTATTGAAATCGAATCCTTCTACCAAGGCAAGGACTTTTCCGAGACTTTGACTCGTGCCAAGTTTGAGGAACTCAACAACGATTTGTTCCGTAAGACTTTGAAACCTGTTGAACAAGTCATCAAGGATGCTGGTTTCACCAAGGATAAGGTTGATGAAATTGTTCTCGTTGGTGGTTCTACTCGTATTCCCAAGGTTCAAAAGCTCCTCGAAGACTACTTTAACGGTAAGAAGCCCTCCAAGGGTATCAACCCTGATGAGGCTGTTGCTTTCGGTGCTGCTGTTCAAGGTGGTATTCTCTCTGGTGAGGAGTCCTCTGACAAGGTCTTGTTGTTGGATGTCAACCCTTTGACTCTCGGTATTGAGACCACTGGTGGTGTCATGACTAAGCTCATTCCCCGTAACACTGTTATCCCCACCAAGAAGTCTCAAATCTTCTCTACTGCTGCTGATAACCAACCCACTGTCTTGATCCAAGTCTTTGAAGGTGAACGTGCCTTGACCAAGGACAACAACATTCTTGGTAAGTTTGAGTTGACTGGTATTGCTCCTGCTCCTCGTGGTGTTCCTCAAGTCGAGGTGACCTTTGAAATTGATGCCAACGGTATCTTGAAGGTCAGTGCTGCTGATAAGGCCTCTGGCAAGTCTGAATCCATCACCATCACCAACGATAAGGGCCGTCTCTCTGAAGAAGACATTGAACGTATGGTCAGAGAAGCTGAAGAATTCGCTGAGGAAGATAAGGCTGTTCGTGATCGTACTGAGGCCAAGAACAAGCTGGAGAACTACATTTACACTGTCAAGGGTCAATTGGGTGAAGATGGTGTTCTTGCTACCAAGATCTCTGCTGATGAAAAGGAATCTATTGAAGATGCCATCAAGGACAAGCTTGCTTGGATCGATGAGAACCCTACTGCTCTCAAGGAAGACTTTGATGAGAAGCGTGAAGAATTGGAATCTGTCATTAACCCTATCACTACCAAGTTATATGCTGATGGTTCTGCTGGTTCTGATGATGAGCCTTTGAGAGATCACGATGAATTGTAAATTGATTATACACCCTCCTCCTTTCCCTCTTTTCCCCCCTCCATAGTATCATCTACATCTCTCTCTTTCTCTCTTAGTTTTTTCTTTCTATCATTATATACTCCCACATTAATTTTTTGAAGGTTTTGTTTTCATAAAAGAAAAAAAAAAATCAATAAAAAGAACAGCTTCATTTTATACATAGCAAAATATATTTGGAAATATCTTGTCGTGTATTGATGTTCATGGTTTGTGAAATAGTGAGCGCGGATTTCTCTTATGCTTTTGGACATGAATCAAAATGCTTGAATCAATTTTCTCCGTGTGCACATTCTCAGTAGTGTACAACAAGACTCTTTATTCTGATGACCACTTACTATTTAAGCTCAATACACTTGAGTGCACTGGATTCAAGTGTTTAACATAGTGGCAATCAATCATAAATGTAGATTTGGTTCATGGTAGATTATGCAAAGATTGCTTTAGCTGCGTCTGACATGCTGTCATAGCACTTTTCTTTAATAATATCAAGATGCTGCTTTGGTGTAAAAAGTGCAATACTTTTTTTGAAGATGAGAACGCTTTCAGAAGACACAAGAGAAAGCATCAATCAAAAGTAAAAGTCAATACCTGGGAAGGTGTAGATATAACGTTTTATTGCAACATATGCGTGAAAGAGACTCGAAAATATCATCGGCGAAGCCGGTATTGGGGAGGGAGTTTCGGGGAAGGGCCTAGTCCCTCCACCAGAATCATAACGTATCATAGTTTGCATCAAGCCCTTGAGATTAACTTTATGGGAGGAGCAAAACCATGACAATCAAGCACTTAACCCAACATTAGGTAGCATTGACTTATATGAGGTTTCTACCATAGTGTTTTAGCAGTAAATTCAGCCTTTCATTCCTACTATTAATAAGCTAACCACCAATAACATAACGCATCAAAATTTGCATGAATTAGCTTTAAAAAAAACTAATGTGCCTCCTGTTCGACTTAGAAGTTGCACAGGCTGTAAAACTACCCTTCCAGTAATTTACAACTACCAAAGATGTGATTCATGCTGTGTAAATAAACGCTATACAGCAAAAACACAGCCAAATTTGACAGTTTTCAAGCCTTCATATCTTGACACGCAGATCGTTCTGAGCCACCGGAATGATGCCAAACAATTGTGCTCGAGTAACATTAACTTCCTGGCACCTTTGCTCAATTTTTTGGAGACTAAAAAAAACATGGCCGAAAATCGACCAAAAAGCATGAGGGGTACCTCATGGTTTTCTTCGAAAATCAAACGATCGCGTTTTTCACCTTGAAAATGAAGACTTTTACTATGGTATATATTAAACCAAAATGTTTCTCTCGACCCAAAGCAACCTCTGAAACTACTTTTATGAGGCTATTATATGCAAAATATGGCTATTTTCGCTGAAATCCTCATTTCAAATTTTATTAAATTGCCCAATAAGTTCAGTCAAAGTATTCATTACAATTAGCACCATTGGAAGCGCCTTGAAAAGTACTTCAAGAATGTGTTAGGAGGCGTAGGGTGATCATCACAGTTAGTATAGTCGAATAACACAAAATAGATTAAAGAAGTCGATAAAAAACAATATCTGTCCAATCTTGAACAGAAAAGTCAAACTGAGTTTCAATCGATTTTAGCAGCGGGTGGCACTGCTGCTGCTGGCTGACTAAAATGGTTTTTCTGATGATGACAGTGATGATTGGGATACTAATCAAATGGAGACCATGAACTTGAAAGAACTATCGCTTAGTCTGAATACAGTGTTTTGCTTTTGTTGGGCATTTTTCCTGTGAAGGTGACTTTTGCAACGATAATCAACAAGTCTCAAGGATAATATTTTTCAAAAGTGGCTGCAGATGTTAAAAGTGCTGCATTTACGCATGTCCAGCTCTATGTCGCCATCTCAAGAACAACATCAGCGAATGGAATGACGATTCTACTATCAGAAAACGAGGTGTATCCAGAAGCTCTATACAGTATACAAATACTTTATAAAACTTGAGCGCTTTTTCACATCGGTTCAATAGCTTTTGTTTAATATCATTGATCTCCCCCCCCCCCCCTCTCCCCTCTTATCGACACTAAACTCGAACATCTCATCGCACTATTGAAAGCATCACTTTCATTACTCAAAACCCCGTTCGCCTACTTGTTATAATTTTGAAAATACCTTGTTTTATCCATAACAGTAAGCACTATTCACCAACCATTACATTGAATTTAATCTACATTATTGCATCGAAGACTAGGATGTACTCATGGTGGATCTTGGAGCTGTCGCATGGGTGATCGTGTTACTTGCGGTGATTCCCAAATGTTATTTAAACTGATTCAGGGTTTGCATTTCAGCTACAGAGCTCTTTTTTCCTCTTTGCTACATAATTCATGTTACGACTATTCAAGCGTGGCATCAACACACATGCACTGTCTACATCACTACAAGCTAAACGAGTGGCTGATTTGAAAGAGATTGCAACTGGATGTGGTGTCTTGACCAGTGGCAACAAGCGTGACCTTGTGCAGCGCCTAACAACCCATTTTACATCGCCCACGCCTGCATCTTCCTCCATTCTATCATTTGACTTGGGATATCGCAATCTCGCTTATTGTCATCTGGACGCAAACAAAACCGTGTTGGATTGGGCACGTGTGGATTTGGATCTGCCCTCATTTCATCCGTCTGTGGTGGCACCTATTGTACGACAGTTTATCAAGGACAGAGTGATGCAAAGCTTAGAGGTAGCTGATCGTGTTTTGGTGGAAAAGCAGAGAAACAGATCGAATGGGTCTTACAACATACCGGAAGGTATCATCAGAGTGAACTGTGTTGAAGCCATTCTATGGAGTGGACTCTACGAAGGCATTGATCGCATCAACCGGCAGGTAAACATGACACCCGTGCTACGACAAAACATAAATCGCGCTTGGAAAGACGAGATACAGCAGATGATAGACGAGGATCCCCACAGATTGAGTAAACTGAAATCACTCTATTCGCAAAAGAAGTTGGCAGGCGCCTATTTGGTGCAGCATTGGCTAGACACAGATACAGTGATTACCTGCTCTGATACACTAAAGGAAATGTACGCAGCTGAAAAGAAAAAGGACGACCTGAGCGATTGTCTGGTTCAAGCGCTCACTTGGTATCAATGGGAATCGTATACAAAGTCGTTTATTCAGCAACAACAGGATTTATTAAATTAATTGACGGCAATGCCTCTGCCATGTTTATCCACAAAACTACCGTGTAATGTCACTGCATTGAAAGCACCAATGGTGGTTCTCGCAATTTCTATAAAGGAGCAAGCATCCAAAATGAGCAAAAAGCACGATTCGCTGCCATCTTCCAGTGTGGTGTTGACAATCGACATGACGACGCCTTCATCTTCGTCTTGGCCATTAGGATGGGGAATAAAGATGGGTTCAGCACACGAACAGCCAGGTTCATCCCAGATTTTAGCAGAGCTTTCTTCATCAGTATTCGGGCCCAAGTACACATTGTTCAAGTCCAGCTTGATGAGACCATTGACAACCGATCCAGAAGCATACGGAGGCGCATGACGAGACTCGCAGACACCCCAACAGAAACGATATGGTTTCATGTTGTAACGAGGATTGAAACGAGGCATCTCCAGATCATGGCCAATGACGGTATACGAGGCGACTCGACGCTTGTTGAATTGGGTGAGTTTGGAGAAGGCATTTGACCAAGAAGGTGTCCAAGCATCAGCACCAGGCTTAGCAACAGGAACTTGTCCTAGACGATAACGTCGAAACTGAGATGGTGCAATTTGATGTTCCTCTTTGTGAGCCGTGTTCTTGTCAAATACATAGCGAGCAGGCTGCACCTGATCCAGATCCAATTTTCCAGTGGGTGTCTTGCCCAATTCGAAGCTCGCATCCACGATATCCGTGTTTTCATACATGCAGTAGTCCATGTAGATTACACGCTCTTTACGGCCACCAGGCAACTCGACATCTTCGTCCCAGGCATTGGCAGTATGGAAGGAAAAGCAAGGGTCCGCTTCGTAGGTAGCAACATGATGGCCAGTGTGTCGGTCAATAACGTGGAATAGCGTGTGTCTTGTTTCATCCCAATAAAATGTCTGGTAAGCAGAAGAGTAGTAAATGGCAGACAGGCCTCCGAAAGAGTAGTAGTAGGGGAAGTTGGGGATGATGATGTAGTTTTTGGTCATGCTAAAGGAGTGAATATAAGAGGGTTTCAGCGCTTCCATGGTTTTCCAAGCACCCAAATGACGCCAGATGGGTTGGTGCAGTCGAGGTTCAGGTGCAGGCATCGCTTCTTTCTCGCCAGGAGGAGAAGGTAGATACGGACCCAGGGAGAAGGTTTGGAAGGTGGGAAAGGGACCAAGCTTGACCATGAAGTTGATGTATTCGTCAGTTTCTTCGTCGTATTGGTGGTGAGAGGCACACAGTTGGCCTTGTAGCTTCTTGCTGACATGGGCATAGGTGAACATTTTGATGGGCTCTTTTCAAGAGGGTATGATGAGTGTTTGAAACATGTCACATTGCCACATGGAATACATACTCAAGGATTCGGGATCTACCACTTGAAGGGTATTGGCATCTCTCTTTACTACCAGAGCTTCACCTCGTTTGACACCCGTTTCTTGCTCCAAAGCATCGCCCAGAGGAAAGTTGGGTGTCACTGTCACATTGACCATGTCGAATTCAGCATCATTTTCTTGAAGAGCGGCGTTGGCACCAAACTTGGAGATGTGGTGATAAACGGATTGAATACGGCCAAAGATAGTTTTGCATGGATCAGGGCCAAACGTCAGCAGCGTAGGATCTCGTTGACCAATTCTGCGTTCCACGCCATGCGATGTGTGTCGAGAACTGTACTTTACTGACTGCGTTTCACTGTTGATTTCAAAGCGATGTAACATGGCAAGACCGTCAAATGGATGTCCAATGTGGAATGTATCACCATTGTCTAAAAGCACATTGTATCGGCCCGATCCTATGGTGTGTGATGAGTATTCTATAACAGTGATAGACAGAATGAGAAACTTACCTGATCGATACATGACACCATTGACCCAAGAGGGTATCTGACCATCTAATTTAAGCTCTACAGGTGACTCGACAGACGGAACGTTTTTGAATCCTACTGGAGAGGGCGCAGCCTCATTGACATTAGGATTTGCTTCAGCTGGAGTGATCATAGAAACAATGTGATTTTTATAAAGGACATTGGAAAAAAAAAGCAGAAAGCAGCAGCCTGTATTTATACGCAATTTCTATATATTCATTGTCGTTCATATCTTGGAGGTGTATAGTGCTATATGACAGCTTTGAAAAGATGATGGATAAAGGGGAAGAGGGGGGATAGTGCACATACATGTTCAGGGCGAAAATACAGAACTACTCTATTTAGACATTTCATTGTTCTTGCTGTCAGCCTACTAGACTATACATATATATATATATATTTACAAGTAGTTAAAATAGCTTTCCTGTTTACAACACTCTCTCCTTATATCATATTGTAGCTTAATTGCTGTTACTAGCAGCATTAGCAGCAGTGTTTGCTTGTGTAGCTGTAGTTTTCGCTTGATCACTCGATACTTTGGCAGATTGCACCAGTGATAAGCGATGGTTCTCTTGTCGTAATGCCTTTTCATACTGTGATCTTCTATATTTCTCTTCCTTGGCTATCATACGCCTTCTTTCCATTTCTTGTCTATGCATTGCCTCGAAAGGAGTCTGTGGAGGGCCATGGCCAAAGCAGCAGCAACAAGTTTCCAAGAAGCTGTGTGCCATTCGATTGGTATTCGCCACTACGCTCTCTGATGAAAAAACTTACCTTGACCATAGCGAATTCTCTTCGACATAGTAATGCGGTGCAGCAGCGCCACCTATCAACTGCGGATGTACCTGTGGTGGAGTCATGTACAGTTGTTGCTGATGGTGTGGCATTGGCATGTCTGCATTCAGAGACAGGGGTTTAATGCAATATTCTTTGTTCTCTTTATCCTTGGTTCCTTATTTACTTACATTCGCTTGACATTGGTGCATAAGGAGATACACCATAAGGATTCATGCCAGGGTACGAGTGCTGTGCGGGATGATAAGATGCTGTAAGTGGATGGGGTGTCAACGGCAATGCTGCTGCTGCTGTTGGTAGTGGAGGCTGGCTGTTGTAGTGGAGATGATATGGATCCATATGTAATGTATAGAAAGAAAAAGAGGCACCTTGTATAGAGTCATTTGCAAGTAGTATAGAAAGAAAGGGAATTTATGATTCACAAAACGATCTCGTGAAAGGTGCTTTATTAAGGCTATTGTTTGTTTTTTATGTGCTTTTTGTGTGCACTATACAGCTGATAAAGTTGTCTAGCACAAACTGACGAAAATTCAATGATTTCATTTTCTCTATTGTGTTTACAGTTCTTGATGAATTAAATGAGGTTGGTTTTCACTAGTGAGATGTGTGTCCTTTTTCAAGTCTATTCAACGATGATCAGTTTAAATGCTATTCACTTGGATCTCGCACTTACATTCAATGGTCTCCGGGTCTATCTCTTTGGGAAACATAACTTGATACTCCACAAACAGATCACCATGCTGAGAGTGATTGTCTTGATGTGGCATCCCTTGACCTTTGATTGTTTGCACAAAGCCATACTGTGTGACACCTTCTCTTACAAGCTCAATGATAGAATTATCCAACTGTGCCACTGTCTTTTTGAAACCCACGAGCGCTTCAATCAGTGTAATGTATTGCTTGGTATACAAATGGTCGCCCCGCCTCTCAAATGTTGCGTGTGGTGCTGTCCTCACTTCAAATATAATATTGCCAGGAATCGTTTCAGGATATTCATCTGACTCTTCATCCAGAATAATGCGTTGTCCGTCTTGCATTCCCCTTTCAATGTGCAGTGAATAGTCTTCGTTGCCTCTGCGCACCTTTTTGCCAGCACACACAGGGCACACATGATCAATGACCTTGCCTTTACCGTCGCATTTATGACAGGCCTGCTGGAACTGCTGAAACATGCCAGGCCCTACTTGTGCTCGTTTGATGATCATACCACGGCCCTCGCATTGATCGCATGTATGGATGTCCTCTGGTTTGCGTGCGCCACTGCCATGGCAATGGTCGCATAGCACTTGCTTGGATACGTCTAATTGAATGTCTGCTCCGTTGTACAGGTCCTCTAATGTCACTTGGAATGGAATGAGAACATCAGGTCCTCTCTTTTCTTGGTGCCCTTGATGCTGCCTTCCACCACCAAAGAAGTGAGAAAAGATGTCAAATGCATCATGGAATCCTCCTCCTCCGCCTCTTCCTTGACCTCCATTCTGCTTCAATCCCTCTTCTCCGTAGCGATCATAAATGGATCTCTTTTCATCGTCCATCAAGACCTCATAAGCTACACACATCCCAATGAATACCTATACCCGCATCAGTCAAATGGATGGACGTACCATTAGCAATTTCCATGAATTTCTGCGACGCTGCCTCATCGCCATCATTCTTGTCTGGATGATAGACTCTGGATAATTTCTTGAAATGTCGCTTGATTTGTGCTTTTTGCGCGTCGCGAGGAACGTCTAATATGTCATAATAATCTTTGGCTGCTGACACGAGAGCAGCTAACAATGCCCAAGTGACAATGAGTAGCCATGTTATTTTTCCACGCATCCTTTCTAATAAATAGCTAAGAAGAAGAATACTTTTTCAAAAGGTTGACAAGTAAAAAAGCAAGACAAAAAAGCCAAGAGTTAATTAAGAAAGCATTGTAGCCTTCAACATGCGGTTATTCATTTTTGTGTTGGAGCATCATAATTGGGCGAATTCCATTTGTTTATACTGCCATCCATGGTTCTGAGGAGTTCCAGTAAGCGAAAAAAAATGCATGTGCTCATACGACCAGAGCATTTCCAATTTTCTTGAGAGTTGAATCTTAATGGCAAGTTTGAATCAAACTTAGAATGTATAGTGATAGATACATGTTTATTGACATGCGAGGCTTCAATTCATCCAACATGGAAAGATCGTTCAGGGCAGGCACAATTTTATATATAAACATACTCAGACAACATGTTTGGTCAGTTTTGGAGCTGTATATTCTACAGCGAGATGCTGAACAAAACAGATCAGCAGCAGGATTTGATGCCTAATAACGCAAGACCTTTTCATCGACATTCTGTAATTGAAACCACTAGAATACAAGCACAAAATTTATTTCATATTGCTCTCAACCCCCTTTCTCTAATCATGACCACAACCTCAGTATCTTCAGAACCTCTTTCATCAAACTATCTTTCCAACTACTCTTCAACATCTTCCTTTCATAATTTTACTCGTAGACATTCCATTTACGGAACAGAAGATAGAGTGGTTTTGGACATTGGCTCGCTGTACATCAAGTGTGGTTTTTCAGGTGAGTCTTCACCTAGACATCTCGTGCCAACATGGTCTTATTTGGGCAAATTAAGAGATGGTGATGGCGAAGTAATGAGAGTTCATAAAGAGGTAGAGCCTGCAAAGCATCAGCATGCACTGAAGAGCTAATAGATGTTCCAAGTTGAACGAACTTTATAGCCTCGACATCATGGCCAAAGGCAACCTGAACAACATTGAAGAACGTCTCAAGAAGCTGCTCCATGACATTTATTTTCGGTAACAAGATACCTGAAGATAATGATTGCCAGGTACTGACATTGCTTGTAGATTACTATTGACTGACCCCAAATCACGTAAAGTGATAATATGTGAATCGCCTCTTGCACCAGTCATTCTGAAGCAGATGATTGCTAAGCTACTATTTGACTACTTCCAAGTGCCTTCCATATCCTTTGTGCCTATTCACCTTATGGCACTGATGACTACTGGCATCACCACCGGCCTCATTATCGATGTCGGCAATTTAGAAACCAGTGTACTGCCTGTGAGTTTTCATAGTCTGATCTCGCTATGCATTTAAACTAACAAAAACACTATAGATCTACGTCTCACGACCCTTGATCCCATATATATCCACAACACCATTAGCCGGCAAAGCAGTGACAAAGCGACTTAAAGACCTTTTATTTGAACATGGGCGCTTCATTCCCCCTTCCAACTTACACTTATCACTTGCACCCCATAATAATATACCTGACAACATCCTGACACCTGAATTACTAGAAGATATCAAAACTCGAGTTATTTTCTGTTCGCCACTGATGATTGGACAACAACAGCACCAAGATCCATCTTCATTATTAGAAGCTTACAAGAATTTTAGTAGTGCGACTGATTTGTATTATCCCATCACCTTGAAAGATGGCACTCGAGCTACACTCTTATTGCCCGGTTGGATTCGTGAAAGAGCAGTGGAAGTGTTATTTGAGGGTGATGAGGATGAACCTAGCGTAGCACAATGTATTTTAGATTCGCTGCTGAAACTGCAACCTGATCTGCGTAAACCTTTAATATCGTCCATGCTGTTCATCGGTGGCACTTCACTTTTGCCTGGATTTCAGTCAAGAATGAAGCAAGAATTGCTGCGAATCATGAGAGATCCCTTGGATTACGAAAAGAGACGCTATGGATCTTTACTGCGTTTGCATAAATCCGTAAAGTTCATTGATAATCCAGAAGAAAAGGGAGCAGGGCGCATATTCATGAATAATGTGCGAGGATGGATTGGAGGTAAGGTACAGATGGCAAGGCTACCGATACTGTGATATTAATTCCTTTAATAACAGGCTCATTAGTTGGATCTCTCAAGCTCTCAGGCGAAGAGATTACCAAAGAAAAGTTTTCTGGAAATGTTACTGACTGGTCTATTGGCAATTGGAGCAATGCTGGTGAAACTTTAGATAGAGAGCTTAATAATGTTGGCAATAAATAGGGCTGATATTGCATTGATTTTCTAGTTATGGCAGAATGATGAATTGGCGCTTATTGTGAGCTACATAAGATTTATGAACCCCTACTACACATTGAAAAGCGTATCACCTGCTCATCAGATGTGCTCTTCTGCTTAATCCCACCAATACGTACTGAATTTTCACTTCTGAACGTTGCACTACCGCATGAGAATAAAAATATCTGTGGATTTAACTCTGCTACGATGCTCTATGTTTGTATCAATGAAAACAAATCAAATCCGAGCAGGTTGTAGCACACTTGTAATGCCTATTATTACTCAAAAGTATGCAAAAGACAGCTAAATTTGTATGCATTTAGGCAATGATTTCTCAGGATAGAAGCCGTTTTCGGCCCGCCAGGATAGCACCGAACAGCTGCTTTCAACTAGCACTAGCTTCCTGCCACGTTTGCTCAACTTTCTTGAGATTGTCAAAAATTCATCAAAAACCATGAAGGGTACCTCATGGTTTTCATCGAAAATCAAATGATCGCATTTCTGACCTTGATAATGAAGACTTTGTTATGGTATATATTAGATCAAAATGTTTCTATCGATCTAACGTAACCTCTGAAAGCATCTTTGTGGAACTTTGATATGTAAAATTTCAACTTTTTGGCCAAAAACCTCTTTTCATATTTTCTGCAGTTGTTCAATAAGTTTATTCAAAACATCTACCTTACTTGGTGCCATTGGATACGCCTTAAAAAGCATTCTAAGAAAGCTTAAGGAGGCATAGGATGAGCATCATATTTTATATAGTCGAATCTGGCAAAATAGTTCAATCGAGTCGAAAAAAAGACAAAATACGACCAATCTAAAACAGGAAAAAATATTCTGAGCTTGAATCAACGTTGGCGCTGCTGGCTGACCGAAATGCCTTTCTGATGATGGCAATGATAGTTGTTGGTGTACTAGTTAAAGAGGGAATCATGCATCTGAGAGGACTACCGCTTCGTTTGAATAATTTTTTTTTGATTTTTCTGGGAATTTCATACCTAACAATGCCTATCTTCACCAACAATCAGCTCCAATCTGATTTGAGAGTCAAGTCGAATATAAGCACTTTTGTTGATATAACTTTAGACGTGTTGTTATTTTACACTCAAGATCTTATCAGCACGCTTGTAAATGAGAACAAAGGCTTTGTGAGCCTTGTCCGGTACCTAATATTGAATAGCTGCATATGCTTGTTGCGTTTTAAAGCATGGATCGAAAGAAAAATAAGCTTGGCTTTTTGCATACAAATATGTTCGTTTGATGAGAAAAGCCATATCTCTAGTTTTGCTTACACTTCATACTCTGCAGCATACATCGTCTCTCTTTATTCGATCTTGGATCTTCAGTCTTATGACAAACAAATGTAATGAATCACTATATATCCTTCACTGACATGGTCTACACTATATAAAGTCCCTCATTTGTATTGATCAGCATCAGTCGGCTGGTCATTTCTAATGGATTTCCAGAGTACACAACAAACTCGTTTGGATCCACAGCAGTAGCAAGGCCATAAATGTCTTGCACATTGGTCGTGATGAACCTGATAGAGTCTTCTTCACTAATTAGACCGCTATCTAATTCAGCAGAGGAAGGGGATGATGCAGCTAGCCATCCAGCTTCCCAAATCAGATTACGAGAGTAGCTGTTGTCAGGAATGCCTACTGCAATCTTGACGCCATGTTTGTGGAGCACATGTGCTGCTGTACCGTTCGTTAATGGCGCGCCTGTCAAGCAATGAATAGAATCAAAGTTGATGGGTGTGCACAAGACGGGACTGAGCACCACTGGGATGTCTGCTTCCTTTAGGAATTGAGCAACGAGATAGGACTCGGTGCCGCCGTGAATTACAATACGAGCCTTGGGGAGATCTTCTCTCTTGAGTGTAACAAGAGAGGCAATTTCATCCTTGTTATGAGTCGTAATGATAGTAGGAATTTCACCTCTGGCAGCTTGGCCATAATAATTGTTGTTTGCCATGTTGTCTGTCAACAGTTGACGAATGTAATTAATTTGACTGGAGACTGTAGGAAAGCTGTCAGATTTGAATTCATGGCCAATTTGCATATGAAGTGCAACAGCCTTGGATAACAGAGCACCTTTATGCAGCACTATCAATAATGGAATTAGCATGAATACTCATCAGTGGCATCCTTGACTTACGAGACTCGGCATGTGTCTTGAAAGCAGCAGAAACACCAATGACAATGTTTTTAGACATAGGAGCAGTGATTACAGACAGGATGCCTCCTTTATAAGCTGCTTCTAATTGATGTGTACCAAGCTTAATGCCATCGACAGCTCGAAGGAGGTCCTTGGGGTTATCGTTTCGGATAGCAGGCGCATTTCCATCACCCGTCATGGGCTCAAAGAACATCTCAATCAATCCAAGGCTAGATCCTACACCGACGAATCCAGGGAGAACATACCCACCTTGAAGGTCATACACCAGCATGTCTGTTGAAGTGGATGCACAGTGAGAGCCAGTGCATATAATGGTGCCATTCTCAACAACCAGATTCAAAGGTCCCTTGACAAGTGTGTTATTCAGGAATGAGTATCCAGCATTTTTCAGCACAAAGCTTTTAGCCCTATCCATTCTCTTTGGCACTGTTTGCACGCTATGCTTTTTAGTAGCCTGTTGAGCATTCTCAGCAGGTTCAATGGGACGCTCATCAAACAGAGGTACACCATCCACAAGCACCTGCAAAGGCACAGCAGCCAAGGCAAGAGGCTCACAATCCCAGATGACAATATCTGCGTCATATCCAACTTTGAGAGACCCGATACGATGACCCAAGCCCATGGCATTAGCAGGAGTAGACGTAACAGCTCTGAGGGCTTCTTGTGGAGGCAAGCCGTAATGCGTGGCTTTAGCTGCCTCAAACATCAAGCGCTGTGAATTGAGAACAGGATGATCACTCTTGAGTGCTAAAGGAACACCTGCCTCATACAAAATTTTGGGAGCTTCAGGGATCGATTGGTACGTCTCTTTGGTGTATCCCCAATTGTCAGCAAAGGTAGCAATGGTGATGTTATTTGTGGCACGACGCAGAATTTCTGGGACACGATAGGCGTCCAAGGCATGATGGAAAGCACTGATGGTAAAGTTGAATTCCAGTGAATGGCGGATTAAGGCTTCGATATCGTAAGTTTCATAGCAATGAATATTGAGCAAAACCTGGCCTCGTAAGAGTGCAACCAATGATTCCAAATCGATGTCTTCCGGAAACACCGTGTCCACCCGACCATGCTGAGCATTATGACACCAGTCATCTTGTTGGCGCATGAGCGCTTGGGCCTTGGTTAGCTCCTTGCGCAGCATATACGCCATGCCGAGACGTGTAGAGGGTTGCATGTGTAAAAGACTGCCATAGATGCGCTGTATTCACGTCAGTGACATGCTGCAATAAAATCTTATGGGTCTATTACCTTGGGATTCTCACCACACGCCATCTTCATCCAACGCCACTCTGTATCCTCAGTGTTGTTGGCTTGCACAAGCATATCCTCGTTACTGACAGTAGATCGAGGACGCAGCTTGAAGGCATAAGCTTCACCACCAATGACATTGGCAGACCCAGGCAAAGCTAAGACTGATGTGATGCCACCAGAGGCAACAATGCGAATAGCGTTATCGGAGGGATTGAATCCATCGAGTATACGTACGTAGGGCGTAATAGGGTTTGGCATCTCATTGGCATCTATAGAGGAGGTATATCGTGGCCAGCCATCGACACCTATATGACTAGGCACAGATGAGTCAATGCTCATAGCAGCAGTATGAGTATATATACCTGTGCATATCTACTAAACCAGGACTGACAATGTGTCCAGCAACATCTATCACTTTCACGCCTTGAGTGCCATCCACTTGGATACCCTTTTCCACTTGCCGAATAACACCATTCTCAATATAAACATCCACATTTTCCAGCACTTGTCCTTGGCCATCCCAAACGACTGCATTTTTCAAGAGGATAGGTTCCTGGGTAGGATCAGCACGGGGATTGTACGAACGATCTTTGCTAGGCAAATTGGCTCCCTTCTTTTGGCGAGTCTGGATGGCTTCACATTTGGCACGGCCAGCTTCTAATGTTGAAAAAGAGATGGCATTGTGAAACTGTTTGGATGGTGATGTGTCTGGCAAGAAGGAGTATACTAGAGACATTGTCAGCAAAGCAGCTATTGAGAATAATACAAGAGCCGAGTGTAGGTTTTTGCGTATGCTGTGATCTACTCGTTTGATTATTGACCCATCTGGATTGCCATGAATGATCGGCGCAAAGTTGCTTTGCTTTACAGGCATGATTAAACAATTGTCGCTATGGTGAGGTGCAAGCAAAAAGAGATGCATTTATAGCTGTCAACCGCTTTGCTTGCTTTTACTTGGATTTCTCTGAGGGACTGCTGCCAGAGATTGGGATTGCTATCCATTACTTTCATGCTGAGAAAGACAATGATCTCGCCAGTCAGCAGCCACCAAAAAAACAGATGAAAACTCCGTTTCATGTCTGTTCCAGATTGGCCAAATCTTAATGGTTTTCAACTCGATTGAACTATTTTGCCAGATTCGACTATATAAAATATGATGCTCATCCTATGCCTCCTTAAGCTTTCTTAGAGTGCTTTTTAAGGCGCATCCAATGGCACCAAGTAAGGTAGATGTTTTGAATAAACTTATTGAACAACTGCAGAAAATATGAAAAGAGGTTTTTGGCCAAAAAGTCGAAATTTTACATATCAGGGTCCCACAAAGATGATTTCAGGGAATGTGTTGTATCGATAGAAGCATTTTGATCTAATATATACCATAGTAAACTTTTTCATTATCAAGGCCAAAAAAACGATCGTTTAATTTTCAATGAAAACCATGAGGGGTACCTCATGCTTTTTGGTCGATTTTTGGCCATGTTTTTTTGGTCCCCAAAAAGTTGAGCAAAGGTGTCAAATAGTAACTGACAGATGAGAGCAATTGTTTGGTACTATTCTGACAATCTAAAACGGCCTTGAACGCGAGAAAACACAGCTCAAATGCGCCCAGATTTTGCTGTAGTAGGCACACTCTTGACTTAAAAAGGGATAATAACTGTATGATACTTGCCCGTATATGAAATAGCTACGTGTATATGGATGTAGAGCATCACATAAGAATCAGATCCACAAATAAGATAAAGGGCGTTTATGTGTAGGTGGAGGGTTATAATGATAATAGTAGTATTTTGGTAAGATGAGCGAGGGCAATCGGTAGCATGAGCTGCCGCTGCGCAAGTTGGTTCTCACCGAAGCGAAGCGTAGGTCAGGAAACTACCCAAAATGTCGAAAGGCTCGTATATGATAACAGGATTATGGCAATAGAGAAAGTTATCGAACGTTATCCAAGCCAAACGGTGATCTATTGGTTTATACTGCTCTCGTTTAATGTAGCTTTATCACAAGTTTTATATGCTTAGTGTTCAAGAAAGCAAATCAGCATGGGATGATTTGCTACCTGATGGTTATATCTACGTACAAAATCTTGCCGGGCTGGGGTAAACGAAGGCCAGGAACTGCGTTGGAATAAACAGCAAATTCCCCATCGACAGGGTACAAAACCTGCTGCATTTTTCTTGGAGCAGATAACACAATAGTCTCTGAGTACAACAAAAAGACAACAACGCACTGGTATTACCTGATAGAGAATCTGATTATATGTTTAATGTGAAACGAATGCAGCAGATCAAGCTGACTTTTTTTTTTTTTTTTTTTTTGTGTATGTACATGCACTCACAAGATTCAGTTGATGTTTATGTCTGTTTATAAAGGATGATCTACTTTGCCTCTCTGTATGTGTGCAAGGTACCTTACACGGGAGCCGTTATAATATCATCCCGGGATCGAATCCATAAATGCTAATAGAACAATGTGTACCTTGTACGCATACAAGATTCACTGCTCCGCTTGTATACATTAAAGAAGAACCTTATTTACATTTTGATTTCTCTTTTTTCTCTCTCTCTCTCTTTTTTTTTTTTTTTTTCATCTTTAGTATACTACCACTCGACTTGTACACATATTACAAGAAAAAATGAGCAGAAGAGATGACGACTATGACTACTTATTCAAAGGTAAGCCGAGGACAGAGAGGATGGTGCGATATCAAGTACTCAAAGCAACCGACATTGTTTTCCACATTACTAGTGGTTTTGATTGGTGATAGCAGTGTTGGTAAGACCAATCTTTTGGGGAGATTTACTCGAAATGAGTTTAATCTCGAGTCGAAAAGTACTATCGGCGTAGAATTTGCTACCAGGAGTGTAGAGGTGGACAACAAGGTGATAAAGGCTCAAATATGGGATACAGGTATGTTTTAATATGACAAGGAAGATTTAAAGGAGTGAGTTACACAGTTATAAATCACTTTTTCCATTTCCATCAGCCGGTCAAGAACGTTACAGAGCCATCACCAGCGCGTATGTTGTATAATGGAAGGGCCAATTTACATGTCATCTAACGGAATAGCCCATAGGTATTACCGCGGTGCAGTGGGTGCTCTGTTGGTATACGACATCTCCAAGCATTCTACCTTTGAAAGTGTGAGTCGTTGGCTGAAGGAGCTTCGAGATCACGCCGATGCCAACATTGTGATTATGCTTGTCGGCAACAAGAGTGATTTGAGACATTTGAGAGCAGTGCCCACAGAAGAGGCCAAACAATTTGCAAGTAAATATCGAGAGTGGTGAAGCATCATTATTCAGATGACTAATGGTTTCCATCCCTACATCATATGCATGAACAACAGCCGAAAATGGATTATCATTCATCGAGACATCAGCCCTGGATGCAACCAATGTAGAGCTTTCCTTTCAAAGAAATTTAACTGGTAAATTTTATAATTCTAATACGCATTGATAAAATGAAATTAATCATATGCGTCGAAATAGAAATCTATCGCATTGTATCCAACAAGGCATTGGAAACGTCCAATAATGCAATCAAGCCAACCGGAGGACAAACCATCCTTGTTTCTCAATCTCCTGATGAAAATCAGAAATCCTCTGGAGGATGTTGCTAAGTGTCCTTGATGGCATGTGAAAATGTAGAGCGCACATGTGATCCCCCCCTTTATGCCATGAATCTCTAAGCAATCGACCTATGTTCAGATCAACACGGTAAAAAAAACCAGATAACGCACTAAAAGAAATTAAGCTACTAAAATAAAACGCTATGTCCATCCATGATTGGATATGACCACACTTTTCCAATCAGCATCAACACGATTGTACCTGAAATCAGCCAACCAAAAGAGATTGCACTAAAACAAATTAATGAGAACCAACAGAACACACACCCCGCATTTGTGTGTGTGCTACCTTGTAGATTGTATAAATTTTTTATTTTTTAGATTTCTATAAAAAGCTTCTTTTTTCTCCTTTTTCTCTTCTCTCTCTCTCTCTCTCTCTCTCTCTCTCCTGTCTTGATTTGATTTGGGATCAATTAAGTCGAGGTTACATTTGATAAGCAAAGCAGTGAATTAAAATGACTACATCAGGTAAAAAAAAAAAAAAAAAAAAAAAAGGGTTTCTCTGTTTGGATCCCCCAATGTTTGGCTGTCTATCTTACTCTTCATTTCCTCCCCATTGTGTTACCAGAGCCCCAAATCTTCACTAGAAAAGAGTTTGAAAAGATCAACCAGGCTGTAAAGGATGGCGATTCAGACGCCAAAAAGTACATTGTCATTGATAATAAGCTGTACGATGTAACAGAATTCGTCGAGGACCATCCTGGTGGAGCCGCTGTCCTTTTGACTCATGTGGGAAAAGATGCATCAGGCAAGTAGATTGAAAGCGATTAGAAAATTTTTTATGAATGACTAACCAGGGCCACCATATAGATGTCTTCCACGCTATGCATCCTGATTCAGCCTACGAAGTATTGGCCAATTACTATGCCGGCGATCTGGAACCTGATACCAAGCCTGTCGATAAAAAGTCTGAAAACTCTGCCAATTTTGCCACTGAAATGCGTGATCTCCGTGATAAACTTAGAAAGGAAGGTTATTTCCATTCCAGTAAGCTCTTTTACGCATACAAGGTTTTGTCTACATTGGGTCTTTGTGCAGCTGGTCTTGCTCTTTTGTACGCCTATGGTCGCACATCTACATTGGCTGTTGTTGCCTCTGCCTTTATTGTTGGTATTTTTTGGCAGCAATGTGGTTGGTTGGCTCACGATTTTGGTCATCATCAATGCTTTGAGGACCGTTCCATCAATGATGTCTTGGTCATTTTCCTTGGTAACTTTTGTCAGGGTTTCTCCTTGTCATGGTAAGTTGTTCTGTGTGAATGGGGGAATTGAGAGAGCTGACAAAATGAGCTAGGTGGAAGAACAAGCACAACACCCATCATGCCAGCACCAACGTTCATGGCCAAGATCCCGATATCGATACCGCACCAGTTTTGTTGTGGGATGAATATGCATCAGCCGCCTACTATGGATCATTAGATGAAGAGCCCACCATGTTATCCCGTTTCATTGCCGAGAGTGTCTTGCCTTATCAAACACGTTATTACTTCTTTGTGCTTGGCTTCGCTCGTTTCTCTTGGGCATTGCAATCTCTTATCTACTCATTCAACCAGGGTGCTATCAACAAATCCGCTAAACTCAACCTCTATGAGCGTGCCTGTTTGATCTCTCATTGGATCATCTTCACCTACTGCACAATTGCATGGAACAGCAGTTTCTACAACATGGTTCTCTTCTTCCTGGTAAGTCAAGCTACTACCGGCTACACTTTGGCTCTGGTATTCGCTTTGAACCACAACGGTATGCCAGTGATCAGCGAGGAAAAGGCCGAAACTATGGAGTTCTTTGAGATCCAAGTAGTGACAGGTCGTGATGTTACTCTCACTCCTTTGGGTGATTGGTTTATGGGCGGTTTGAATTATCAAATTGAACACCATGTAAGTGTAAACACAAACAAAACGCATCCATTTAATTTAACTCGTCTTGTCTATCCAGGTCTTCCCTAACATGCCTCGCCATAATCTTCCCAAGGTCAAGCCCATGGTCAAGGCTCTCTGTCAAAAGTATGACATTTACTACCATGACACTGGTTTCTGGAAGGGCACAATGGAAGTATTAAAGACGCTAGATGTTGCTTCCAACATGTCATTACAATTAAGTAAGAAGGCTTTTTAAGTATATATAATTCTCCATTACAAAAACACCATCACCATCACCACCACCTACTCTAGATTTATATATATATTTATTATCGATACCACTTTACTTACAATTACTACAAAACCAAAAAAAAAAAGACACGCTGCTACAGTTTCATTCATCCCTTGCTTATCAAATAAATCACACATGTAAAAATAACACTGCCATGTGTAAATCACAATAAACGCATACCGTATCATTTGCCACATGGATCCACATGAGCATCTGCCCTGTTACTCGATATGTATAAAAGCCTACAAAACCACAATCGACTATATAAATACGCTCTCTTTCTTTCTCTCATCAAGCCATATTCCCGTCACCCCCTTACTCTCATTCAACTACACTCCAGTCCTTTGCCTATACCATGTTCAATCTTCAAGCACCCGTCATTCGCCAATTCATCCAGCACATTGTATCCCAATTTCAATCCTCATCCAGCACATATGGTTACTACAGCAGTTCGCTTAAGCAATCACCATCGCTACCGCTGCACTCGGCTCAAGACACACAAGATGACGACGAAGAAGACCACTTTCGATACGCACCCAGCTCCATCTATTCAGCAGATTCTTTTTGTGGTCAATCAATAACAACAACAAGCTCCGTGAGCAGCACTTTAGATTCCGTGTTTGAAAAGACCTATGTTTCATTTCCTGACTTTACACCATCCACCACTTCAAATAGAGCCTTGTTTACGCGACCTGAGGTGATGGCTGCAACCGCTACGCCCATATTCTACAACACTCCTCATTCAAAGCCTATCTGGATAGCTTAATAGGATGTCTTAATAAACTTGATTTTGTTCCATTTGATATGGTTCTTTATTTTATTAAATTAAAACACGTGGTGATATTCGTATACCAACTAGTCGGTTTTTTCAATGTTGAGCAAACTATGTTTATGTCATATCAGTTTGCAAGTACACCCTATTTTTGAATCACACACACACATATATATAGATATACTTACATAGTTGCTAGGAATGATGCCAATGGCACCATTGTTTTTGCGTGCTTGCCACCAATTGCCCTTTCTATCCACAATCTCTAGTATTTCCCCCTTTTCAAAGCTCAGTTCGTTTGGATCCTGCGCACTGGCATTGTCTGCAAACACAATACAGTCAACACTATGCACTATGTCATGGCCAATAGTACCTACATGCATGAAGTGCTTGCACCTTTTCTGTGTACTCAATGGGGCCCAAAGAAGGTTTTTGGATGGCTGCAATGGTATTTACCGAAGTGGTAGAATTGAGAGGATCTAGATTCCATCTATATTAGTCATGGTATTTACAGCAACACTGTAGCATCATTACGCACAAAGAGCTCTGTTTAATGTGGCACTGTTGGGCTGCGATTGTTTAGATTCATTGTTTAGCTTTTCAGAGTAAAATTCTGGTTCAAAGCCTTGTGCTGCGTGCTCTTGGTGGTGATGTGATAGTGGTGCTTGCTCTACATGGCCCAGTCTGCCAAAAAAGGTCGATTTATCACTACCCAGCACAAGAATCCACATGTACTGCACTGTCAGCAAGATGATGTATCCAGACACATAGGCTGTGGCTGGGATCTTTGGTATGTTGGATTTAGTGTATTGGATCACATAATCCACTTGAATCGTCAATAGTGGGATACTGGAAGCTAAAAATGCCATCATCTGCACAGCCCTCAGCTATTTCAGTATCGACTACGATGTCTGCACACATATTCTGTAGAAGCAATCACTTACAGCCATTCTGTACTGTGGCACTGTGCCTGACATGAACACCATCCAATGTCCCAGCGTAATGCAGAGTTGATATATCATGACCCACCATGCACCATTTAGCACTTTGAGCATGCACGCACCACCAAATGCTATGATCCAGCCACACTACAACAGCTTGTCCTTAGATCAATTGCAATCCGCTGTGCCATGCGGTACCTACCAGAGCTAATATGCTTGTAATCAATATGAGCGGCTTTTGCTTTAGTCTTGTAAACGACATGTTGGACATGATTCAGGTAGAAGTAAAAGAGAGAAGAAAGAAGAAAGAATGGCTGAAATATGAGGGAGGGGGTGTCAAGTTTTTTACATGCACATATACACATAGTGGTATTGGAAAAAGCTCGGAATTTTTGTTGTGTTTTTCACTTTAGTTTTTTCAATGCGATATGTATACAAATACAGGGTGAACATTCATCAATGCATCTGATTTCTAGGGATCTTTCAGACACTGTGAATTGCCACTGATGGTCTCTTGTAACAATGATGGCTCTTTTTTTTTTCGATCCGTAAGAGCCATATCCACTGTATGGCAATCCAACCGTCTATCTGTTACTGAATCGAGATTTGCAGGTTACGCTGTTTGGAGTCACATACTGTTATGAATGGCCGAATAAAATGTTGTGTGCATGCGTGGCAGTGCATTTCTTTATCTCATCTTGAACAAATGACAGCAATTCCTGCTAGTTTATTTGTCCAGTTCATACAACAGGGTCTGGAAAAGGGCTTCATCAACGGCATTACAAAGACATTAGATGGCGAGTACTACTGCAATGATCAGTACATAGAAACGTGCATTTCAGAACTCGTCGAGAAGAATGGCAAGTGTGTGTCTATCTGCGCTGCACACTTGAATACTGACAAATGGACTACGCACAGGCAAAATCAATGTCGAGAAACTAGCAGAGCACCTCTGTATCGAGCAATACAACGTGAAGCGAGTGATTCAGCACATATCCGCCGACAAACGATGGGCAGTCTGCGATGATTTGATATTGACTCAGTAAGATCAAGCACACAAAGATGGTTGTGTACATTCGGATTAAGATGGGCGACATACAGGGATTGTGTCGATGGTATCAAAAAAGATTTGAAATCGAAAATGGATGTATCTGGGTCCCTATCCATCATTGCACAAACGCAACAGATGAAGCTACCGTACAGCTTGTTGAAATCAGTACGTGGAAGAGCAGTGGCTAATCAACGTCAGTAACCGATAATGCAATTGTAGATCTTGGACGATACGATGACAGCAGATGGACAATACAGTCGATGTTCGCAGATCCCCGATGTCATTTTCACAAAGACATACATGGATGGCTGCCAAAAGAAGATTTTGGATGCGCTGAAATCATTTGAAGAGTAAGAGGTTCTCATAGCATTGTCTCTGAGAATGGAGTGGGCTAACCTGATGTGTCTCTGGACAGATCCTATTCTATGTTCAAACTCCAAAAGTCTCAAGATATCCAGGAAGACATGTTTTATAGTAAGGAATGACGGGTTGACGGTGTGTGTGATATGTTGCTCATACAACTATAGTGCTTTTGGAGCAAATTGTCAAGAATCCGAGCTTTGATCTGGGGTCACTCCGTGGAAAGAGAAACCGCGCGATTTTTGAGCCTAGTAGCTTCAAGAAAAGACAATTGTCCTTGATCAAATCCATATTTGAATCCAATGATTGCATTAGTAAGTTTAGCCTACCACCCTCTGGCAAGCTGAGAACAATTCCTCACCACATTCTTTAGGTTACAATAGCATTGAGAATTTGTATACGTTTTCGAGTCCTGCAGATTTGATTGCAGACAGCTATGATAAAGACTCGTTTTTGACTTTGAATTCATGCTTTATCAAAACGACGGTAAAGGACAAGGCGAAATCCATAATAGAGAGCATTCTGGAATACTGTGATGTGAATGTAAGGCTGCTGTCAAAGAAAGGAGCAGGGAAATGCTAACCTTGACGTGTGCTCATTCAGGATTTGCTGCCTGCTATATTGACATTTGAAGATGTGAACAAGGTGGTTGATATAATACTGTCCGAGATTAGCAGCACCATCAAACTGATTGACTTGGACGGAGGCTACGTGGTCAATGCGGCCTATGTGCAGAAACTGATTGCTGAATCAGACAACTATCTGAGGAATCTCTCTCGCACATTGAAGCAGAAATTGAGCAAAAACTATGCCGGCAACAGCATACATTTGAGTGACAACGATGTACGTAAGATGTATAATGCAAGATCTCAAGACTAATGCCACTGTTAGATCATCAAAGCGTTCGAGAGTCTTGGCTGTCCCCACACCATTGCTGAGAGACTGCTCCCATTCTCAAGAAGCGCCATGTTGACACAGTTCTCAGACATTTTGCAGACACCGTATATCGAGACAGAAGCCATTGTGTCTGGCGATGCGTGGATTTTAGAGCAAAAGACTCGCGCACTCAAGAAGCTTGAGAGCCTCAGACAGTCCATTTACTTTAACGATCAAGCAAAGAAGCTGTTTCAAGATGCTGCTGCACAAAAGAGCCTGGAGAAATACATCTTAAAGAACCGATGCACCGAGTTTCTCTTTCATCTGGTTATCTACCTGGTTTTGGATCAGTCTTACAACAAGGCAGAAGTGAATCAATCGACATCCCTGTGCATTAAATTGGAGGATATCGAAAACCAGAGCATTGTGGATGCCAAGCAGCAGCGATGTGTTATCTCTTACTTTATCAGAGAAAACGACCATAAATACGACAACACATACGTAGTTGAAATTGAGGAGATGCTAAAAAAGAAGAAGCTGGATCAATTCATTACATCTATCCTGATCAAAGACAAGCAGCACCTGTTCCGTGGTCAGTTACCATTAAGTTCTGAACAGATCAAGAAGACTGCAAATGAAATCACCAACAAGCAGCTCCATCATCAGTTGCAGCAGTTACCCATCTCTGCACAAACTGTACCGCAAATGCTTCACCTCGTGTCTTTGTTGATATTCCAAAAAGTGTTTCAATTACCTTTGTATGTTACAGGCAAATTTGTGCCCGTGATCTTGGATGAAATTCTACCACATCTGCCCAGCAAAGAACAGGATCTCCTCAACACTGTGCACCTGTCTATTATCAACAATCAGCGCCAGGAACACATGCAAGAGTATGAGAGTTTACACAGCCTTGGAATGAAATACAAGTTGATTTGAGAATTATCTATACATACACACACTACCCCTAATAAAAAACCTAACCTATCCAAAAATGACTTGGTTGGAGCACCTCTCTTTTTCCCTCTCTTTTTTTTTTCATCTTCTTTCCTTTGGTCTCTCTCTCTCTCTCTTTACCTTGTACAGTATGGACAAGCTACCAACAGAAGTAACCTTGCTTATATCAGCATACTTACCATTCGAAACCTACATTCAATACTCTCAAACATGTAGAGCAGTTCAACAAAGTCTGAGTTCATTCAATGTGATAAGCTACCTGAATAACCGCTTTAAATTCGGCCATGGCAACCACACAGGCGCCTTACTGCTGTTTGCGTTTCACAACATTCTCAAAGTGCCCGAGAGAATACGACTGATGATATTGGAGCACTTTATTGACGCTTATCAAAAGGACAATTCGTTTATTCGGGGTTGGTCTCTTATTCATGCAGTCATCTGTTCCAATCCTGGTAGATTCCTTGAATTACTGGAAAGAGATAGCAATCATGGAAAGAAGCTTGTAGGCCCAATGCCTCCATTTAACGAAAAGAAGAGAAAGCTGTTGATCCAGCAACAGCGTTTATTTGCAAAGAAGATTTACAATAGTATCATCGCCTCCAGTGTCCCGCATAAATGTTACCTTCGCTCTTCCAAAACATATCAAGCCATATTCACAAACCTGCTGCACTCAGGAGATTTAAGCACTACAGAACAGTGCTTGAGAATGCTGGGCCCACCACAGAATTCAGTGATACTGTCGGAAACTGACTATAACGAGCGGTTTCCTATCACAGATTACTCAGGAAACATCATTCTGAAGAGAAAAAGAAACATTTCGCAACAAGAGAAATACGACAATCCGAACCCAGTAGATCTTATTTGCAAGCAAGATCAGTATCTGACGTTCACGCCTGCGCAAATGCGATTATTAGCAAAGCAACTCTTGCAGTTTTATAGAGCCAAAATCACATTCTACCCAAGCAGCTACAACAGCAAATCTGCCAAGAGCAAGCAGCATCACGACGATACAACACAAGCAAAGCAACATCATTATTATCAGAGCCATTATCAACATCGAGATTTTATATAAATATATAGAGAGAGGTCTCTTATTTTTAAACACCAATAAACTTCCAACTTGCTAATTGCATAGCCTTCGTTATGAGATAGTAGTAAGCACGTCTACGTTTGGAGGCCAAGTAGGTATCTGATGCTGCAAACTCTTGATATTCTCTCATACTGGTCAATGATTTGGGTGCACGATGAACATTTTCCAGCATGACAGTAACATTGTCGCCAATTACGCCATCCACCTGCCATAGAACACAAGTCTTCATTTGTTCAGGGTCATTGATTGTCCATGTAAACACACGCTTTTGTCTTGTGTGAGCCTCTCTAATGATTGATTGGCCATCTTGTCCAGCGAGAGCGGCAAAGGGTAAACTGAGAAAGTCCACGTTATCAATGAAATGTGCACGAGCAGCAGTGACAGACAGTCCAATGAAACAAAGCTTAAATTTGGAAAACAGTTCCTTGGCCTTTTTCAAGAACTCCACATTCCATATGCCAATGATTAACCGATCAAATAGTTGAGGGTATGTGTCTGTATAAGTGTCCAGTAATTGCTTGAGGACATCCAGAATTTCAATGGGATTATCAAACTAGGATAGACAACAGCACATGTGAGAATGTATTACAAAAAACCAAATAAACGTTATCATGAGGTTTTACCTTGATATCGACAATCATATAAAGTCCCTTTTTGTCCTCACTAACCTCTGGTTGAATAAGGTAATCAAGCACATCGTTGAATCGAGGAATAGGTTGAGGAGGCTCTGTTTTTGTAGTAATACCATCAATGTAGCCATGCCAATTTTGCTCCCGAACAGGGCCCAAGCCAGTAGATGTTCTGTTCATTGTCAAATCATGCATCATGACAATCTCATTATCTTTACTCAAGCGAATATCTGTCAAAACAAAGCCATTAGTTGTGCTAGTTATCCCACCTTGTCAACTTGAACAAACCTCCTTCCAATGCTGTGGTTCCAGCTTTCACTGCATTTTTATATGAAATAAGTGTATTTTCTGGATTTTCAGCAGAGAAACCGCGATGAGCAATCACATCAGGAATATCTAACAGTTTGTTAATTTCACTCTTTTCAGGCATTATGGGAAAGGAGCTAAAGAAATTTACGAATTTCAAATTTAGGTTCCTGGGTGTTATCTGTCATTATTTCAGTTTATGGTAAAGAAAAGGGGGGGGAGAAAAAGATAAAGAGCGAAAAAACTTTTATAGCTTTGCTTTTCTAATTAAATTGTTTTGACTAAAATGGTCGATTTTTTTAAGCGGATTAGAAACTGAATAAAGATGCCGTTTATGCCTACTATCAGTTAATCCACTATGAATGGATAGATAATCTGATCATGCTTTTTGCTAGTTCTGCCAATACGAGCGATTCTCATTCACCATACATTTTATGAAGCTGATTCCCTCTGGATTTGGATATAATTTGCACCTTCAAACGTCATTTACACATTTTAGCTCCAACATCAAAAGGAGATACATCCGATTTGGAAGTGAAGCAGCCCTTTCTTGATCTTTGAACACTGCAATGCTATCCTTCGCAAATCATAATATGTCAAATCTTGGATATCGTCTGAACCACTCGCTGAGGATTCTAGGTATAAGCTTGTAGGCAGGAGAGCTACCAAGATTACTAATATACCTCCAATATGTTTCATATATACCATTCTTCTTGGGTTCATATCATTGTCTAGCAGTGGGTTGCTTTCGTGTTCTATACATCTTTCGTCTTAGACAGCAGGAGCTTTTAATCAGCAATGTTTTCGCATACATGGCGGTTTCTAACATTCATTTTTGCTATAAACGATCTGTGTTCCCGTATAACGTAACTGACAATAAGCGTCTATCATCAGCTTCAATGCTGGCCATAACCGCATTAGCTATATGTGTCTCGGGGCACCACAGGTTGGATATTGAGAAACGAAGATCCCCTTTGATGTATTCAACGCAATGTGTTGCACCCAAGAGATTGAAAGTAGAGGAACTTGCACAATTTGAAATTAAGCATACGGCCAACACCTTGCACCATGATGATATTTGTAGAGAATGCCGAGTGCAATTGCTAACAAGGAGGTATATGATCTAACAAAGTGAAAAATCATCGCAACATTTAATTCCTATGATACAAAAGACGACAGCCACAGACTATATTAAAATCGGGTTGGAATGGTTTCTCGGAGCTACACTGCCGAAAAGGCAAATTAGCCAAAATCAATCACTCAAACGCTTTTTTTTTTTTTTTTTTTTTTTTTTTTTTGCTTTAGTAGTGGTGCATATAAGTTTTCTGTTGTGCGCCAACATTAGTCAATATACGCCCTGGATTTATTTGATAGACTTGAGCGCCCTATGGACTCTTCTGTACTGTTGTTATTAAAGAAAGACGTATTTTTGCCATGGCAAACTCCATTTTTGAAAGAATGCATCACAATAGGTCTCATTTTGTAGAGCAAACACATGAAAGAAACATTTAACTAGTAGAAATGAAGCCTGGATGAATTGGCAGTTGTAAGGATACTAGTGTCGAAACGTCGAAACACTGGTTTTTTGTAATAATTTATTAGTTATTACTTTACACTTTACTCAATCATTTGACGACCAATGCAGCGACTAAAAAATCCGTTTATATCATTAGCAATCCCTCAAAGTGGGCATATACCATAATCATTTTGTTTTGTTTTGTTTTGAAATCTCTAGCATTAACATAGGGCCAGAAAAAGCAATTTCCTCCTTTTGCTGATATGCGCAGCACAGCTTCAAACCTTTGCCAAACCACATTAAAGCAAAATATTACCAAACCGTTCTCACTATAATCTTTTCCAACGCCTACTTCATTGATCTATGGCCCGTAATCACTTGAAATTAACTGCTTTCAATAGCTTTTATACATAGACCTTTGTTCAAAATGTCTCTAGTTTGAATTTCTACAACAACAACAACAACAACAACAACAGCTCATTCATTCTAGTATCTAATAATCACACCGTCGTTTCTCTCCTCGCGAAATGTGGCTTGATGAGGAACGTGTTACTTTCAGAGCTATAACACAATATTTTAAAACTTAATTCTGGATGACCCTAACGTTGAAATTGGAATCACTGTTGTACATTCAGAATTTGAAACGAGGCTGGAAGATAGCAATACATGAAATTAAAGCATGTTGGGAATCAATGATAAGCAGAGAGTGCATATTTGGTGGAGTGTTTTGTACCAGGAGTGTCTGGCAGTACTTAGTATACTACTGTAGTACCCATTATTACTACATAATAACTTTCTCCCCCTCCCCCCACACCTCATAATAAACTTAAAGAACATTACTCTTATAGAACTGTTTGATAGACTCTAGATCAAATGATTGCATCTTATCATACTTTTGAATAAACAAGAATTTAAATTTTAACTATTTGGAGACCCTTTTATTATTAGAGAAACTATAGCATGATAAATGACAGATCAATAAGAAATCAACTAGTTGTAACCCTTCGTTGTTTCCATCTCTTAGCCAATCAGATTGCTTGAAAACTCCGCTGACCTAAAAAAAATTTTGCGAGGGTTTCCCCCTGTTTTGATGTGAGGCAAAATTTTAAGCGCCGCTACAATAGCATTATAGCCGCTGCTACCATCAAATTTCCCTCAGGTGCTAGAGCATGCCTTACTTACACCACCTAGCTTTAAATTCAGGTATTGAGACCCTCAATCATCACTAAAGTAAGTAGTGATAACCAAGTGGAGGCGGCCTATCTACCTCCTAGCCTCGGATAATGTCTTGTTGAGCTTCAGGGATAGGCACATCCACACAACGTAAAAAAAATGGTATGCTTCATTCAAAGAAACATAATAATAATAAAAGAATGAAGAAAAGAGCATGCTACAATACTATAGGAGTATAGTAGTATGTAAGCAAAAAAGAGACACTTACATGAAGCAAGTCAAAGAAAAACATAACAAACATAACATCAACGATGTTCAAAAAAGCTCGTTGCTGCTGCAAGAAGAAAAATACATACATGAGCAACGCGCATGGTAGTAACAGTCGGATATAAAGCAGCATGGCACAGATACGCACAACTGCGAAAGCAGCAGTGGTATTATGAGTTTGCGATACAACATAATGACTAATGTTGTTTCATGTAAAGCTACAGAGGAAACACTACCAACAAAAGAAAAGAAAAAAAAAGCGCAACAAGGCAAACATTATGAATGCATTATCACGAGAAAGGAAGCAATAATATAAGCGTTCAAAGAAGTTTTATATCATTGCGACCAGAAGAAAGAAAATACTGACCACTTACCACAGCCACAGATAGATCAGAAGAGTACAGGCAATCACCGGAGACAGACCAGAAACGACCAGATTGGCAGCAGCAGCAGCAGCAACACCAGCACCATAAAAAAACCGAAAAATAAACGACAGCAGAGATCAGACAAAGACCAAAGAAGCAACCACTAGACACGATAAACCAAAGAAGCAGACAGCAGAGATAGCAGAGAAGTACTGGCAGCAGCACCCACATCAAGCAAACAAAAAGAATCATCTAAACCTAATAAACAAATTCAATTAGTGTTAGTTCTACACCTTCCAGTGCTCGTTACCGAATGGTACCTAACATATTCCACTTTAGAGAAGCAGTATCAAGTCCTTCCAACGGTACAAGGTAGTGATATCAGAAGCTACAGTGTTATTATCAATCAAATGGTTTCTAAATCAACCATGGTTTGACACTAAAACACGTTTTGCAAAAAGGGTGAAAAACGGGGACATGGAAAAACGAGAGGGCATCATATCCGACGTCACGACCTGTAGATTTAGTCTCAGTCTTATACCGTAGCAACGGTAATTGCGGCAATTTAATTTGAAATTGTGCAGTGGCATTTTCGTGTTCAAACTTGACTTGACCTCACATCCTTTAATCGTTTTTTCTAAATTTGACTACGAAAACTGTCGTTATAACACCAAACTTTCTAATACATTTCTAGAGAACTAAAAAAGCCGCATCAAATGGTGCTAATTACTTTTAGCTTTTACACCGAAAATAATGAGCAATTTGCAAAAATATGAAAACAGGTTTTCTGTGAATATATCGAAATTTAGCATATAAAAGTCTCATAGAAAGAGTTTCCAATGTTGCATTTCTTCTTTACGATCAATTTGATCTAATATGTGTCATAGAAAAAGTCTTCATTTTTGGGGTGAAAAACACGATTGTTTGATTTTCAAAAGTTTTCCCTTGCTAATACTCATGGAAATATGATGATTTTCATGAATTTGCAACGACTCAAAAAAAATTGAGATAAAGCATCAAAAAGTAAAGCGTGGTCAAGAGGAGGCATGTGATGCTATTCCAAGCGCTCAAAACGCTTTGTGGCATGAGTTATTCGTTCTTGAATATGGCTGGATTTGAACAGAATTCGACCTAAAACGAAGGGGGTAGTCGGTTGCATTGCCAGAAGAGTAAGTCAATTACGCTTGCGGAATACATCCACTATGATCTGCATTATTCCGACAATTTATCCAGTTATCAGATTTAGATATAAACTATATGTGCACTGGATTAGATATACAATACAGATTTATACTATAAGAAGATATGATCTTCAGATACTACGTTAATACTATAAGATCCATACTATATAAGATATAGGCTATAGATGGCATCACAGACATGGATGGCGCTATAGACTTATACTTGTATTCCGACATTGACTACGGATGTTTGCCATATCTGGATAGGCACCAAGATTAATGCAATATGAGCTTGTTGCTTCAGATGTGCACTTTATGATCCACGCTATAAGACACATGCCTATATCCGTGATACTAGCTACAGATACTTTATGTACTACAGACTCGTGCTATATATGAGACATGCTACAGACATGACATATATCCAGATACATGCTAAAGATGTATGCTCAGCGATATACACTCAGATATGTACTGTTGATATAGACTAAGGAGATTGTACCTATCGGATACATGCTACTAGATCGATATTATTTATCCTTATAGAAAGAATAGATCAGAATACTTCGGATGAGAGTCTAATTATTCATCCAGACAAAGCTAAATCATGATTAGCTTGCTGGAGTTGTCTTTTAGCATGATTAGACATTAGTATGATCGACATTCAAGCGGGACAGTTCATGAAA